AGAAAACTAGTCCTAGTTTGACTTTAATTTCCCTTTGTTTTGTTGCATAGTTGTGTTTGTCTTTGTTGTCAGTGACATCATGTAATTATTGATCCTGAAGTTATCAGGCTAGAATCATACTGAACATAATCACATCTGGCATACATAAGGTGTGCTTCAGAGGCAGAGTAAAACAGGGCTCCAGATAACTTTCTGAGCCATTTAGTATTTACATGTATTATTCACATTGAGTATTTGTAGTTCCCTTTGGGTATTTAATATATGTTTACTCACTTGGGCCAAGTCTATTAAGTATTCAAAAACCAACAAGAACCAATTTTTAAAATGCTGTTTGAGATGGCAACTTGTTCATTTTTCACTGCAGCAGACATCGTTTAAATGATTCCCACATTCGATTGCCAAGCATTCATCTGTAAAGGAATATAGGCACTCAAACTGCAAATGCTACTTTGGGTACTTACTGTGTTATACTATTGGTTCTTGGGACATATTTCATGTGTATTTCTAAGCAAGCAGCTCAAAACTATTTGGGTAATGGCGATTTATCATTTGTTCACACAAAGTAGAGTTTATTTTGATCTTTGAAATGTCAAAAAAAACCATTTGTACAACATGCTAGACATAATTAACATGTCACGTATGAATTCTATAATAATTTCAGTGAAGGTACCAACATCATCAACTAATCACGAGATGCAGAATCATGTTTTGAATTTTAACAACTGCTTTATCCGTTTGTTTCCACTCCACTAGGGCTGGACCTAAAATCTCCAAACCCGAGTGTTAATCAGAGGTCCCTGTTTTATTTGAGACTAAACTGGCCATAATAAATGCCAGTGTCGGGCACGAGATGCATGTGTAATTACTGCCCTCACGTCCACGAATAATCACTCATGAGTCGGTGTGAGTCACCTCCCTTTCCTTCCATTCAAGTCCTGCGCGTGCTATTTATTGGACGCTTTTATCATCTCCAATGCATCCATTTTAGACGATGCAACAAATTAGAGAAATATGTTGCTTGCGTCGGATCTCTTTTACGACTATTTGGCCAAGTTTTTTCGGAAATCGTGACGATAAATCACTGTATGAAACATTTTGTTTTGTGACTTGGGACATCCCACTTGATATTTTGTTAATCGTAATTCTACCGAGGTTATTGTCAGTAAATACGGAGGGGGTGGGGGATTGTAAAAGAGATGTCAGCTCATTAGGGAGATGTCTTAATGATTTAATGGTATGCAGAGAAACATTTGTTCCAGTGCATGAATAGCGAAGACAAAGTAACTCATATCTACTGTTTCAACATTTCATAAGAACTCATGTTCAAAATGCACTATTAATTTTGCAGTCATATTTATTCTTGTTTAAATTGTCATGAGAAGCAACATGGTCTTTGAGTGGAAGTAAAATGTATACCTATAATGATAATGATAATAATAAAAATAAAAATAACAAAAATAAAATGTTATTTATGAGCAAAACATTTAGACTCATTGCTGTGTTATTGTTTTATTTAATTCATATAAAATCATAGGCCATTGCATACAAATTGCATACATTTGTACAAATTGTAGTGGATGTAAATAAAAGTGACAAAAAACATTTCAATACAATGTAGTCATAAGAAATATCTGCGAAAAGCAGTCCATTGTACGATTCCAACCATGCATGTCATAAGCAAGTGTTCAAGAAACGCTATAGTGATGATACCAGATAGTGGAGCATATCCTGTCCCACCAGTGGTACTAATTGCAGACACATGCAAAGGCAAGTCAACCTGAAAAATAAACACATGCTTATTATATAGTGGGAATCGTACAATGGACTCTGCTTTTAGTAGATATTTCTTAGGATTATGGAAATGATATTTCTCACTCACTCTCCCACTCACCCACTCACTCACTCACTCACTCACTCACTCACCATCACATTCTATAAACTGGATAGAAAATGCAATATAAATCAACAGTGGCCTAGCAGATAAAGCGTCTGCCCAGAGAGCAGAAGGTCAGTGTTTCAATCTCTGGCCCACATCATACCAAAAGACTTTGAAAGTTGGTACTTGTTGTTACCCTATCTGGCGCTCAGCATTAAGGGGCTAAAACAGAACTGGTGGACTGTGTCTTAGTGGGGTATTCATGTCGAACTGTGGCATGGTATCTCAGTGGGCTAGCACTTTAAAAACAGTATAAGTCCTGACTCGTATAAACACATGCACACACGAACACACACAGCACAGCACAGCACAGCACAGCACAACACTATACACTCAATAATCTTAAATGTGTTATTAAGCTTACCCAAACAGTGTTAATGTATAGGTACAACTAAAACAGGTGGAAAATGCTGATGTATAAAGGTTCAGGAAGTGTCTATTTAATGATACCTCAGGATGAATTTCAAAGGAGATGTAGATAAAGACTACTAATATTGTAAGGTGATAGCCTGCTCTCAGTTACTTTCTTGTGAAGTTAAAAATCTGCCGTTTTCTTTCATCATGTTCATATCAGTCCTAGTGTTGTAATAGATCGTGTGAGAAGTCCAAAACTTGCATGTGTCGGAAGGAAGAAAACTTAGTCATGCGTCGTGGGGAAACATGCCTGATAATTTCCATATGATTACATCCAAGTTTTCCTCAACTTTAAGATTTGACATTTCCAGTGGGCCAAAATGGCCGTTATCCTGCCTCATCCTTTCCTTATTTATCGTTTTTTCTGCAACAGTTGATAAGGTCACAACAATTTGCATGACAATTTATGTCACATTGAGACTTATCAGCTTGATAGGGGATGAACAACCCTTGCTACATGCCCAATCAAACCCACACCAGTTTATTACCTGACCTGGTCACGTCTGCTCCAATTGTAACACAACAGATAGCCATGATAGATATGAAGACACCATAAAACTGACAGGCTATGTTCTCAATGGGAAAAGGAGAGTAGATTGATTCCTGGGGACACGTTGCCACATTTATTTGTCTGTTGGGAACAGCCAAAGAGATATAGAAAATCTATGGAACATCGGCAAGATGCGCCCATGGTCATGGAGAAAAGCAGACATTGTTTTGGAGCTGATCATTCACGGCAATCTATTGGCATTAGGTTGTTTGTTGATCCTGTTTAAGACTTTGTGTCTAGGATTGGCTGTATACAGAGGATTGAGAAGTACCCATGGTAGTTGCTGAGGTCCATTGATGAAGACTTCTCACGCCGACTATGAAGGCATGGCACTGATAGGGCCATCTATTTGTGGAGGTGATAAATCAGCCGTATTGGCCACGGTCTGGAGCTTCTACACGGATCTTGAGGATAAGATTAAATACTGAGCAGTTATTGTTCACAAACTGAATCCTGTGGCAGTGCCCTTGAATAGGTTCTTGTCCTTGCCTTATACTTGTTTGATGCTTTACATGTAGTGCAGTGCAGACACTATGAGTGAGTAAGAAAGTGAGTTGGGTTTAATGCCGCTATGAAAGTGAGTGTGTTGGGTTTAAAGCAGCTTTGAAAGTGAGTGTGTTGGGTTAAATGCCGCTTTGAAAGTGAGTGAGTTGGGTTTAATGCCACTTTGAAAGTGGTTGAGTTGGGTTTAAAGCCACTTTGAAAGTGAGTGTGTTGGGTTTAATGCCGCTCTGGGATTGGGTGAGTTGGGTTTAATGCCGCTTTGGAAGTGAGTGAGTTGGGTTTAATGCCGCCTTGAAAGTGGGTGAGTTGGGTTTAAAGCCGCTTTGAAAGTGGGTGAGTTGGGTTTAAAGCCGCTTTGAAAGTGAGTGTGTTGGGTTTAATGCCGCTTTGAAAGTGAGTGTGTTGGGTTTAAAGCCGCTTTGAAAGTGAGTGTGTTGGGTTTAATGCCGCTTTGAAAGTGAGTGTGTTGGGTTTAAAACCGCTTTGAAAGTGGGTGAGTTGGGTTTAAAGCCGCTTTGAAAGTGAGTGTGTTGGGTTTAATGCCGCTTTGAAAGTGAGTGTGTTGGGTTTAATGCCGCTTTTGAAGTGGGTGAGTTGGGTTTAATGCTGCTTTGAAAGTGAGTGAGTTGGGTTTCATGCCACTTTGAAAGTGAGTGTTTGGGTTTAATGCCACTTTGAAAGTGGGTGAGTTGGGTTTAAAGCCGCTTTGAAAGTGGGTGTGTTGGGTTTAATGCAACTTTGAAAGTGGGTGAGTTGGGTTTAATGCGGCTTTGAATGTGGGTGAGTTGGGTTTAATGCCACTTTGAAAGTAGTTGAGTTGGGTTTAATGCCACTTTGAAAGTGAGTGGGTTTGGTTTAAAGTTGCTTACACAGTATTCCAGTTATATCACAGTGTGCGGGAAAGTCTGTAGTGATGCAGGTCGCAGACGTTTGTACCGCTGTGGAGAACCCATAAAAGATAACCAATCACAAGTCCCACTTGTGGATCCGGAGATCGGGGATTGAAGCAGGATCAGAACTTAGTGCCTTGGCAATCAAATAGGGACAAATTTGTTGGTATTCAAAAGTTCTTATAATCTTAATTTAAGAGGTATCGTAATGTTGTATTTAATGCAATCATGTAAAATGAAATCACTTCCACTTTACTGGTCCTGTTTCCAGTGATAGAGAAGTCACCTTGACCAGGCCATTACATTAGTTAGAAATATTAACATTAATTGAGCATTTTTTATTCCTTTTTTGAATTTTTACTGACATTAGCTGCAGACTTGGGGCCTGCAAGCACTGAGCAGATCTAGATAAAACCAAGGGGTGCTCCCTTTTTTCAGACATCTTACATGTCAACGTACCGTGTGACCTTTCAAAATCCTTGATATGCCTATACGTCCAACCTGAAAAAGGATTGATGTAGAAAAATTGTTTCCAGTAGAAACGGAACAGATTTGTCTTTTTGTGGGAGTTAGTCAAAATCACAAGACAAATGACACCAGTCCAAGTGTTAAACCCAGAGGGCACAACAAGCGCCTGCCATATTGGTTTGTCAAGACGTGGATAAAAAAACTCTTCATTTGTGTTTCCTGCCTCCAATTGTTTCAGGTCGTACATCTCCTTCGACATCCTGCGGCGGGTGATGACTCACTACTTCAACTATGACGTCTTCTATGCCATGAACATCACCGACATCGATGACAAGGTACCACAAAAACGTTCAACAAGTTCCACTTACTTATTACCACATTACTGAACTTACATAAATCAGAGGAGGAAAAATCATATTTACTCTCACAGATTTATAGATGACCTGCTCTCACACATCTTTTCTTGAGATCAAAAGTTTATGAAATTGCTTTGATGACTTTTGATACAGATAATTCAATTATTTATTATCCCGAAACTCAGTTTTCTGTGTTAAATCAGAATTCATGATAATATAGCAGTGAAATATGTAGCAGTGAAATATGTATCAGCCATGCTGTCCTTGTTGTGGGTTGATGTTCCTCGTGATCAACAACTGCTGGAGCCTGAAGGAATTTCATGAAATGAGTATCTAGAACAAAACTAGTTTTCTATGCAACAATTTGTGCCTAATTCAGCCTAGCCATGGCCCCAATTAACCATGGGGTCCTTCTGACGATGCTCCTATCTGCTGTCGGACCAACCATCGCCACAAACCATTTCTTCTTCCTTACTCTTGGCACCATTCTTTTTCTAGCCAATCAGAAATTAATCTCTATTATTCATTGTAGGGATTGAATTAATCCCAATAACGGGGAATGTTTTCTGTGATCACTCGAGCCAATCTTCAAGCAAGAAGAAGACTGATGTTAATGAGACGATAATGCCACCAGCTTTTCAGGCGAAAAATAAAAAATTGAAAATCTCCTGAGAGTGCTTTAGTTTTGTAGACTAATAACGTCGCGGCTTGTTTGCTGAGATTTGTTAGATAGTCTGAAAAAGGTTTAATCTAAATGCCCAACTTGTTTTATATTCAGTTTAGGAAGTGTTTGATAGCTGCTTTGCCATCTTGTCCACAGTTCCTATGAATAATCATAGTGGCAAATACTGCTACTTCACAGAAAGTCATTATGGAAGAAAAAGGGTCCACAGTTAATAGAGGACAATCACTGATTGGTCATAATTGTGTAAATATTTGTGATATGACCTTCACCTTTATGCGTGCTCTCAATCAATTTTATCGTGGTAAGATCTCTAATCATGTGGTCAGGTGATAATTGTCCTTCTCTACGAGCTGATAAGTTGGCACTATGTAAATCCGCAAACTGGTGATCTTTAATAAGAGTGCATTTCAAGCCAGTTGATTGAAATATGATGAATATGGATACAGATAGATTAAGAATTAATGTGCTGCAGAAGAAAAGCAGCAGACATTTGCATAAATTGTCTGCAATTAACATTCCTAGTCTTTCCCATTTACAGGAAGGAATTTCAAATTTACTTTTTTTTCACTTAGCTATGATTGAAAAAATCAAAATGACAGCTGAAGTCAACGTGTGAAAATCTTTATTTTCTCATCAATTTTACATATTTCTTTCTCCAGTGGGATTTTTTCTTTTATTTGTCAGTTACATGATAGATGTCTTCAAGAAGGAAATTAGTTTAATGTTTGTAATTTGATTTTGAAATATGAATTTGCATGCATGTGATAACTTCTACATTAGAAGAGATGGCGGTCTATGTTTTTGGAGTTCCTGTGGGCATTAACCATCCCTTTCTTTTTTTAGTGAGAGTTGTTTAATTTACCTTCAATAAATGTTCATTTTCTTCCTCATCAACTACTAAAAGCCCAATTGCATCTTTAGAAAGAACATAAGTTATGACTGTGTGTTTTGTCAATTGGATTTGAGCATGCTTTGCATCAAGGGAACTGCAGCAATCACATCGTCATTATGTGATAAATTGTAAAATGACAGCTTATTCAAGCTTTGTGAAATTTCCAATATTTTAACCGACCATATAGAATGTGTGACAGCAAGGTTAAACATAAACAGCTCTGTCTATTCTACAAACCTTGGCCCATTCCACAAAGCGATTTTTAGTGCCACTGTCGTAAGTCTATGTTTATGTATAGCCGTCTTAGCGCTAAGATCAATAAGTGGAATGGTGGCCAGTATTCTTCCAAAATACTATTACATTTATCCGTCATGCATCAAGCTGATAATGTTTTCATGTGACAATAGAAGCATTGTTAATATGCAATTTGTATTGTTTGACATTACTTCGTCTTTGCTTATCAGGCTGACTCCCCTGGATATAACTGAAACACTGATCAACACGGAATTAAACCCAACTCACTCACTCACTCACCACTGTTTCAGATCATTGTCCGTGCCCGCCAGAACTACCTTTACGACCAGTATGTGGGTCAAGGTCACAGCCCTGAGAAGATACTGGCCGATATCAAAGAAGCAATGGGCGTAGGTTCTTGTTTAATCACTGAGACATCTACATTATTTTATTCCTCCACATGTATCAAACAACAGAATAAAATTAAAAATGTATTACAGATCAACGCTTTGTTAATGTCCAGTGTATCTAAAATTGAAGGTATCCTTTATATGACCCAAAAGATATAATTTCTTTCTTACAGCCATTTCAAGCCAAAATATCGTCCGAAACTGACCCTGACAAAAAGGTCATGTTGGAGAAAATGAAGGTGAAGGTCTCAAATGCTGTAGGCGTCATGGAGACCTCAATGAACAATGGTGGGAGCTTGGATGATGCTAGAGAGGTACGGCTTGATCATGATCAAAACAGGCAGAGCTAGGAGGTTCACTTTTTGAATTTGTAACTTCAGTTCTTATTTTGAGTTTGTAACTTCAGTGGAGGTGGTCCTATAGTTATCTCTCATGCTATGACAGATATGAAAAAAATTGGGTGTTCTTTAACTTCTTTTGAGTAGTATATCTGCATGTTAAAAACGGTTTCAGTAAACTACTATAAGAGCATGTGTGTCAGTAATTGAGGGCTATGCCAACTGATAATAACAACATGTCCTTTGCAATTTCTGCTGGCCTTCAAAACCACAGTGAAGTCATCTATAGAATTTGTATTTTCTTGTCAAAGAACATGTTTCTGTTGGCTACTGCTTCTAGACCAGCAGTGAAGTGAATTCCTGTGTCATATATTGTGATATATGTTTCAATCCAAAGTCAAATGCTGTCATGTAGCATACCAGACCCATGAAGATCCAGGGTAGAAAAGGTCTTCAGCAACCCGTGCTAGCCGTCAGAAGCGACAATGCTTGTTGTAAGAGGCGACTAATGGGGTTGGTTGATGCATGTCATCGTATCCGACTTGCGTGGATCGATGCTCATGATGTCAATCACTGTATTGTCTGGTCCAGACTCGATTATTTACAGACACCATCATATAGCTGGAATATTGCTGAGTGCAGCTTAAACAAACAAACAAACTGTAATTTAACTATCCCTTCTTCATGTCAGTGGTGGCACAGAAATGAAAGGCGCTGCAATTCACTGTGTGGAGTTTCTTCACTCAGGGACTAGGGGGCACGGGTGGCCCAGTCGTCTAAGGCGCCGCGATTTGCTGTGCAGAGTTGCGTCCCTTGGACAAGCCAGAAACCTATGATTGTGGGTTAGAATCCTGGTTCGCCCCGATTATGTTTCTAGGTCTGTCAGCGCCATACCCGTGCTCGTGGGTTTCACCGAAGTGGTAAACGTCTGAGACCTGCATCACTTCGGGCCTTCCTCCCACATTAAGCTGACACGCCGCGATATGACTGTAATACTGTTAAAAGCGGCGTTAAACCCAACTCACTCACTCACTCAGGGACTGGTAATTTATTATAAGAAATCTCAACTGAAAGCAGAGTCCATTGTATGATTCTGACAACATCATAAACAAGTGTTTATAAATCACTATCAAATAGTGATGATACCAGGTGTTTTCGAAAAAGTGAGTGTATCCTGCCTCGGTGGCACTCATCACAAACACATGCAAAGGCATGTCAATTGTTCACCTGAAAAACATGGGAATTGCATCGGACATCAGACTGCAACCTTTACAATCTTACAAAGAGTCCCTTGATGCTGCTAATACTCTTTAGGAGCTTGCGAACATGCTCCTGCAATATCTGCACTGGAGTTGAGTTTAAGAGTGATAAGGACTTTCAGTGCTTGCAGCATCAGCTGAGGATGAGGTCCATGCACCTGCAGGAGGGGGCCGCTAACTGACTTATACCACGTGGGCCACAAAGATGAGGCTGGGGTCGTTACGTAGGATAGCAACCCAACAAAACAATAGACGTGACACACCCTGGTGTGCCTTGATGAGGTCTTAAAGACTTGTGTCTAAAGTTTGCAGCATATTATCTTCGTTCATGTTGCAGAGTCTCCTGAAGAATGCGAAGGACGTGATGGCGCAATGGCTTGACAAGGCCTCTGGTTCAACTGTGTCGGACAACTCCATCTTCTCGGACCTTCCCAGACACTGGGAGGAGGAGTTTCACAATGACATGGAGGCCCTTAATGTAAGCTAGAGCCAGTACCTGAATTGTGTAATCATGGCCTTCTTAATAATACAATTATATTAGTCATAACTCTTATAGTTCCATTTGGGGGCACGGGTGGCCTAGTTGTCTAAGGCGCTGCGATTCGCTGTGCAGAGTTGCGTCCCTTGGACACGCCAGAAACCTGAAACTATAGTTAATCTGTCATTCCAGTTGAAAGAATCGACTGCCATGACAGATTAACGATAGTCATATGAGGGGGCACGGGTGGCCCAGTCGTTTAAGGCGCCGCGATTTGCTGTGCAGAGTTGAGTCCCTTGGGCACGCCAGAAACCTATGATTGTGGGTTCGAATCCTGGTTCGCCCCAATTATGTTTCTAGGTCTGTCAGCACCATACCCGTGCTCGTGGGTTTCACTGAAGTGGTAAACGTCTGAGGCCTGCATCACTTCGGGCTTTCCTCCCACATCAAGCTGACATGCCATGATATAACTGGAATACTGTTAAAAGCGGCGTTAAACCCAACTCACTCACTCTAGTTCCATTTTCAGTCAATGAAATCATCTAGTCTGATGAGTTATTACCCACGTGTTGAAGATACAGGTGTAAAATACTAAATCCGTACGTCACACGTGTGTCGGTCAGGATTGACTTCATTTTATTGGATTACCGTGACCTCTGTCACACCCGGGCTACATTTTCATTCATAAAAAATCGCAAGACATCATTCATTTTGCAAATCTCTCTTCCAGCACAATGACATGTAGGCTCTAACTGTTATAAGACCCGTGAAGATCCAGGGTAGAATAGGTCATGATGTAAATCACTGGATTGTCTGGTCCAGACTCGATTATTTACAGACCGCCGTCATATAGCTGGAATATTGCTGAGTGCGGCATAAAACAACAAACCAAACCAAACCAAATCTTAGTTATAAACCTATCTCAGTTCTAACTCTTCTTGAACCATTTCTTTTGTAAACTTAATGTTTAACTCATTGTAAAAATAGAACTCAAAAGATTTTTTTAAGTTAAGGACCACCCAATTCATTCATATAACTATAGTTAATCTGTCATTCCAGTTGAAAGAATCGACTGCCATGACAGATTAACTATAGTAATATGAGGGGGCACGGGTGGCCCAGTCGTCTAAGGCGCCACGATTCGCTGTGCAGAGTTGAGTCCCTTGGGCACGCCAGAAACCTATGATTGTGGGTTTGAATCCTGGTTCGCCACGATTATGTTTCTAGGTTTGTCAGCACCATACCCGTGCTCGTGGGTTTCACTGAAGTGGTTAAGGTCTGAGACCTGCATCACTTCAGGCTTTCCTCCCACATTAAGCTGACACGCCGTGATGTAACTGGAATACTATTAAAAGCGGCGTTAAACCCAACTCACTCACTTACTCACTATAGTAATATGAAAGAATTGGGTGGTCCTTAATTTCTTTTGAGTAGTTTATTTTCTTTCTCGCTTCCAACAAACACAATGACACTGGCAAATTAAGCTATTTCCAATTAAGCTAATTAGAAGAAACTACAATAAATATGACTTTCAGCAAGTCAATGTATGGCATTTATGATATATTTATCCATTCTCTAACCACTATAGTTCATTTCAAGGCATCAGTAGCGGTAATATGGTCGTGGTTGCTATAAATAACGGTAAGTTGTGCAATCTTCCGATCACTTCACATACGATTTTGCCAAAATGAATATAAACAATATTGAATGAAGTTTTGAATAAGATTAATAAAATAGATTACAAACATCAGTCCGGATATATTATGAACTCGTTTTATAACCAGACAGTGTAATTACATGATTAATTTGCATACTTCAGTACGGATTTATTGACATATTATTTCCGGTGTTACGTGCTCACAGTAATGTCTTTGTGTTGGGGAAAAAACATCAAAACTCTTCAACCCTGTGTATAAGATGACCCCCCTTAATAGCTCCTTAATTCTCAGTACGAAAAACTCGCCTTATACACTGCAATATATGGTAAGAGATAAGGAAAATATGAAAGAAATCATTGTGAAAGCTACATGATGTCTTCATAGGAAGATTTTTAGCTCCCCGAGTCCGAAGGAGCAAGCTGAGCTTATGCCATAGCGTGGCGTCTCGTCCATCCATCCATCTGTCGTCAGTACATCAACAATTTATTCAACCAAATTCTTCTTCTGAACCACTAATTGGAAATTAACGAAATTTGACTGGAAGCATCCCTATGTGATGGGGATTGAAAATTGTACAAATGGTGGGGCTGACCCCCAAGGGGCTGAGGGGCAGGGCCATATAGCGGTAATTTGGCATTATTGTTTTAAACGACTTCTTCTCTGGAACTAAGAGATAGATATCAACCATATTTGGTTGGAAGCATTATCCGGTGGTGAGGATTCAAAATTGTACAAATGGAAGGGCTGATCACCCCCCCCCCCCCCAAGCGGCTGAGGGGCGGGGCGAAATAGGGGTAATTTGACATTATTGCTTTAAACGACTTCTTCTCTGGAACTAAGAGATGGACATCAACAATATTTGTTTGGATGTATTCTACTTGTTTGGAAGTAGACCTCCTCTTCCTTCCTCCTCTCTCTCCCCTCCCCCATCCCCCCAGGGGCTGAGGGGAGGGGCCAAAAAGAGTACTTGGACACAGTTAAGAACCCCGCCGTATAACCATACGTACAATTGCTGAGTATAATGAGAGGTATGCACATATGCTACCAGGGCTGGCCCTTCTGTTCATCTGTCTGGCTCTCCCAAAGGAGTTAGAACCTTGACCATAAAATGCAAACTGATATCATCCCCACCCTTTAATAAACAGATACATTGTATACATTTGTTTGTTATGAAGAGAATAATACATTAATGCCAATAGGATTCGCCCTGGGGTCAAGCCTTGCCTCTGGAAACTTGGATCCTTGATCATAACATGGAAACGGTTCAGATCTTTATGGGGGGCACGGGTGGCCCAGTCGTCTAAGGCGCTGCGATTCGCTGTGCAGAGTTGCGTCCCTTGGGCACGCCAAAAACCTATGATTGTGGGTTCGAATCCAAGTTCGCCCCGTTTATGTTTCTAGGTTTGTCAGCACCATACCCATGCTCGTGGGTTTCACCAAAGTGGTAAACGTCTGAGACCTGCATCACTTCGGGCTTTCCTCCCACATTAAGCTGGCTGGCCGAAATATAACTGGAATAATGTTAAAAGTGGCGTTAAACCCAGCTCACTCACTCACTCAGATCTTTATGCAACATTTGTATGTAGAGAAATACATGTTCATGCAGTCAGATTTGCCATACACCAATTTTAAATGCTGAAAGAGTCAAAACTACGAAATATTTGCAGTATTATATACATGTACCATGCAAATGTATATTTTGTCATGATTGCGTAAATATCCAGGTAGCACTACAGGCCCTATGGGCCTCTTGTTGTACTTACATCACATGAATGTTTTCTGATTTCAAACAACTTTACTGCTTTAGGAACTTTTGTTTCAAGAAGAGTTGTCATCGCTTTACAATACAAAAGCAATCTGCCTTGTTTAAAAATCTGATTGAGATAGCTGGGAATGGTTTTTTTTAACATAACCAAACACTCATTGCTCTTTGATGCCATGGTCTGAGAAATAATTTTGTAAAGTTTGTTAAATATTCTGAACTCTTTCAGAATAGGAAAGTATTTTTATTTAAAATACAGACACAAAATGTTGAAACTCTGATATGAATATTTGATTGAGGAAATCTGTGTTTTGTTTGAGACATATCACTTGTCAGATTTAAAAAAATTATTTCTTGGGGTTTGTGAAGTGAAATTCTGGGTCCTCCCCATCCCATTCTATGAGACAGTGAGGAACCAGCCCGATAAATAATGCACTAGGCAGGCCAACCAACATGGCTGTCTGCCATCTTCAGGTCAGGGGGTCTGGCTAGATAATTCAGTGTGATTGTGTAGCTGTTTGAACTTGAAATGTTGAACATGATGATAATGTTGTGTCTTACATGCTGGACAGCTTAATTTATGTCTCGCTTGTGTCATAGCTTTAGGAACTTGGTGAGATAAGGAGGATGGGTCTTACGTCGCGTCGCGTCACATTCAAGATTATTGCACTTATGTAGGAGTGTGGTGTGGCTGATTGTACCAGTCTAGACTATCCCGTTTCATGGTGCTAGACAACCGAGATACCATGCTGCAAATAAACATGGACTCCCCACTCAGACACAGTATACTGACTCAGAACCGACCAGTCCTTGTTTTCGACCAGTCTTTGTTTTGTTCCCTCTATGCTGACTCAGAGCCGACCAGTTCTTGTTTTGTCCCCTCTATGCTGACTCAGAACTGACCAGTCCTTGTTTTGTCCCCTCTATGCTGACTCGGAGCCAACCAGTTATTGTTTTGTCCCCTCTATGCTGACTCAGAACCGACCAGTCCTTGTTTTGACCAGTCCTTGTTTTGTCCCCTCTATGCTGACTCAGAGCCAACCAGTCCTTGTTTTGTCCCCTCTATGCTGACTCAGAACCGACCAGTCCTTGTTTCGACCAGTCCTTGTTTTGTCCCCTCTATGCTGACTCGGAGCCAACCAGTCCTTGTTTTGTCCCCTCTATGCTGACTCAGAACCGACCAGTCCTTGTTTCGACCAGTCCTTGTTTTGTCCCCTCTATGCTGACTCGGAGCCAACCAGTTATTGTTTTGTCCCCTCTATGCTGACTCAGAACCGACCAGTTCTTGTTTCGACCCCTCTATGCTGACTCAGAGCCGACCAGTCCTTGTTTTATCCCCTCTATGCTGACTCAGAACCGACCAGTTCTTGTTTCGACCCCTCTATGCTGACTCAGAGCCGACCAGTCCTTGTTTTGTCCCCTCTATGCTGACTCGGAGCCGACCAGTCCTTGTTATGTCCCCTCTTTGGTGACTCAGAGCCGACCAGTCCTTGTTTCATCCCCTCTATGCTATCGTTTCCGGAGCAGAAGTCGAAAACCGTTAAATATTTCTTCATCAAACGTTGCATTTATATCACTTAAGTGGTGAAGTTGTGCCTTTTGCTATTTTGGAATTTTTCCAATTTTTTTATTTTCCAATTTTCATGAAAGCATGCTGGACATAGGCTAACTCTCTGAGTGATGTTTGTTTCCGGAGCAGAACTCCGAAACTGTTAAAAATTTCTTCATCAAACTTTGCATTTATATCACTCAAGTGGTGAAGTTGTGCCTTTTGCTATTTATACATTTTAGAAATGTTTATTTTTACGTTACCATAGCAACAAGTTGGACTTAGGTACTATAAGGGTGGTGTTCGTTTCCGGAGCGTAACTCAAAAACTGTTAAATACTTTCTTACAAAACATTGCATGTCTACCAGGCACATACTGAACTGGTGCCTTTTGCTATTAATTTTTCTTTTTTACGTTTCCATGGCAACAAGTTGGATTTAAGTTTTAATATAGGGTGGGTTCACTTAAGGAGTATATCAAATAAACTGTTAAATATTTCCTTGCCAAACATTGCACATACTGAACTGGTGCCATTTGATATTCAGGATCTTTTGTGGGTAAACAATGTATGCTTCTTCAAGAACATTCAACTCTTGATTCATTACATACAGAATTGCACATTTACTTGTGGTTACTTTACAGACAGCTGCCGGGGGGGATATGTTATCTTTCTGATGACTCTTGTTATTATATGGTCTCTGGCAGCTCTAAACTATCTCAGTAGTGTAGTGGATAGAGTGTCTGCCCACAGAGGGGAAGGTCAGTGTTTTGATCCCCGGACACATCATACCAAAACATGTCATTATTAGAGGGGAAAAAAACAAGGACAAGTCAGCTCGAAGTCAGTATTTTGATTCAGAGTGGGGTATGTTTTTACACCGCTTTTAGCAATATTCCAGCAAGATCACAACAGAAGACACCAGAAATGGGCTTCAGACATTATACCAATGTGGGGAATCGAACCTGGATCATCGGCGTGATGAGCCAACACTTTAGCTACTGGCCCCTAAAACTGGAAGAAGTCCAGATGAGTACAAGCAGCCACATACAAATATGCATGCTCATCGTGATAAGAGTGAAATAACCTTAACCTTAAACCCCATGTCATCTCCCCTTTACACGTGAGACCAGCAGGTGAGCTACCCGCACTAGGAACACACGAGCAATGCTGTCTAACTTTACATTGCAGTTACTGTCTTCAGCCTATCTTACAATTTGTTTCAAGTTGAATTGTATTTATTTCAGTGGAATTTGTAACAATCTTTCTCAATTTAATTCAAGGCCGACATGTTTCAACCTGTCTTACACATGTTCAATGCTGGCAAATCCCATAGGACTTCTTAACAGTAATTAAATTGATCAATAAAATTCAAATTGCATGATCATATGTTGGCTTTGAATCAGTAATTTTCTACGAAACTATGTGTTTTCTTAACTCCATCCCATTGTTTCCTTCAGCTGGAAATGACTATCATGAAACTATAATATGCAATTATGTGAAAAATACAAAAAGATTTTTTAAAACTTTTTAATTTGATTTCAACTTTCCAATTTTATCCAGTATGCAAAAGCCCGCTCTGAAGGATATTATCCTGTTGCAATATTTTTTCCTGAATCAGTTGTTTTCTGCCACATTGTCGTTGACAGCTCGAGGGGTCAAAGACAGGGTGGTCTTTTGTCTATTTTTGTGTGAAATTTTGTCAGTTTTGAGAAATTATTTGCATAATTTCTTGAAGTAAGAGTCCCATGGCTCCAGTGTGGCGATCGCTGATTAAGTTTCTTTTCGGTTCGTCGATAGTTTTAACTTCACGTCTTTATGAATCGTGTAACATATCGATTGAATGTTCGCGATTTGTTGGAAAGACATCATCAGCTAACTTAAACGTTTTAAACTGGCACCTTTTTGATATCACATGCCTTCATGCATGAAATTCAGGGTGCTAAGGACGGTTTCATTTCAAATGTATAGAGACGTTCAAGATGGCACTCATTGCACTGTTGAGAAAGGGCGTCAGGTGGTCTGTAAATGGTGCAAGGGATATGTCCATTGGTCCTACACTCGGCTTTCGCTGATAAACCTTTCGTCAGATGTTGTTACTGCATTTAAAACAGATCAGTTTTCAAAGGTGTTTTTATCATTTCAAAGTACCGAAGATTAATAGTTAGCTGACACAATATGGAAAAATGATGCATAATGCGAACTGTCTCCAAAATGGTGACAGCATTAATTCCGCACCACTGGCAGGGTCACATCGGGCACTTAAAGCAACACAAAAATATTATCTTGGTTAGTTATGACATTATTTTTGACAAAATGCATTTTATTTTAGCTAAATTATTCATAAATATTTGAGATTTTTTTTAAGCTAATTCATGGAATGTGAGAAATTATGAAAATGTTGGGTTGGAGGTCATATATGTTAGCCTTGCCTTGAATCGTTATTCATCGATTGTTGTCACGTTCATCTGTTCTTCTTTCAGGTGTTGCCGGCTGATGTTTTGACAAGAGTGAGCGAATACATCCCCGAAGTTATAGATTACATACAGAAGATCATTGAAAATAATTATGCGTAAGTGAGCTTTACTGATTCTGCTATTCGGTAGTTGTTTTTGTATACCATTTGTCCATCGTCTCCTTGATGAAGTTAGCAAAGGGAGGACAAAGTTGTTGTTTAACTATGTGCTATATGTCTGTAAATAATCGAGTCTGGGCCAGACAATCCAGTGATTGACATCATGAGCATTGATCTACGCAATTGGGATCAATGACATGCATCAACCAAGTCAGCGAGCCTGACCACCTGATCCCGTTAGTCACCTCTTACGACAAGCATAGTCGCCTTTTACGGCAAACATGGGTTGCTGAAGTCATAATGAAATACTACCCGATGAAATATGGACTGTATATAACTTGATCTGCTTTCAAAGACCCCACGTTATTAGTTTCACAAAATAGAAATTGAAGAAAAACAACAAATGAATTTCTTCATAGAATCAGGTGCTTTTGAAAGTAAGAAACATCAAAACTCAACCAGTCTCATTCAAGTTGTTTTTTAGGGGTAACGGAATATTTTGATTTGTTTGTTTCTCATTCATTGCTCACTGAAGATCATGTTACTGACAGTGAAATGTCAGCATGTGAAGTACATTTCTGTGAAGAATACTTTTTACCTGTATTTAAATACCTGGCATGCAAATGAAATGAATATATATTGTCAACTGGTGAGTTTATCTGTCTCAAAGGGAGGCAACTGCTGCAAACTGATTTCCATTGTTTCTATTGACAGCGGTTGTCGGGGGATTAGTCCAGTGTGTGCCATGATGAAACAATCGTCTAAGATGGCCATTTTAAGAGCTCAGCTGCTGTCATGTGGACTGTCCAATTGCAGTGAAATTTGATCTTCCCTTGATAATCAAAAGCCATGTTACAGATTTCCTAGGATGAGATATTTTTGTCACATATTTGATTTTTAATGATAATAGCAGTGTGTAATGATAGTCGTTGAATTTTAGTGTATTGGATTTGATGGAGACTTATTTTCAAAGATCAGATTTATTGAAATAATTGTGACATTTTGAGAGCTTGAATCGTCTATCAGAGCCATATATATCTATTACTGCACGCATAAATCATTACTGGTTATGTTATCAATGCTAATAACAGTAGGAGGGTTTAATGTCAAAGTTGACCATTTGTGATTCATTTTGAACAACTCTACATTTTCATCTTTTGTGTGTTTTGATGTTCGTGAAAGCCAGCAAATAGCAAAAGGACACCATATCATGGTTTCATATGAACTTCGTCAGATAGTCAACATTTTTGTTCACTTGACTGGAAGGAGGGTTTTTCTTTCTTACAAACATGAGAGTTAAATTTTGTTCAAAGCACATGAGTGAGTTTGAAGTTTGAAATAAAGGCTGAAATGTTCAGGTCTCAGGCAATTACAACTTTGGTGAAGCCCACAAACATGGTGTAGTGTTCTTTCAATGGTCAAGAGACAACCTGCCAACTTCCCACTTCGTTTATTCATCAGACTACAAGTGACAATCGGTAGCCAAGCCCGGGCACGCATTGCACATGCGTTATGTCACAATGTTTCCAAACCATTAATAACATTACATGAACGACTTCTGTTTACCATCAGAATTTATCAAATAAAACCTAATATTTTACACATGGGTATGGTGCTGACAAACCTAGAAACAGAATTGGGAGCAAACTGGGGTTCGAACCCACAGTCATGAGTTGCTGGCAAGCTCCTCACAGCGATAGTCCGTTCGCGGAGCTCTCTATACAATCGCTGCCACCAGTCAAAACTCCCCACTGTGATAGGTGGCCCCAACCATGCTTGGAGTTAACTCGCAACCGAATGACCTTTATGTTTACAAACAAGTGACGACTGTCGTGACGCCGAATACACTTACCGCTGCTAAATTACTTTCTTTTTTTGTCAATTTGAATTTCTATTTCATTAAAACTATCATCTTTAATTGATATAGTAAGAATGTAAGGGAGAAGTTGGTTGATTTTCCGTTAGTCTGCAATCTCGAACCAATCTGATTATTAAAACAACAAAGTAAATTTATCTGGAAAACATGGTCAGTCGTACACCTTTTCAAAATGAAATATGATGGCATCCCCAAAGACATAAACAAAAGAATAAACGTTACTACATTTGGGGTTAGAGGGCAAATTTCAAGATTCTTGTAATGGCCGTGCCCACACTGGTGGCAGCGATGTTACCGAGAGTGTAATGAAGGTGTCACGCGCTGGGAAGGAGCTTGGAGTTGCTGTCACCCAAGGGACACAACTCTACACAGGGAATTGTGTCACCTTTGACGACTGGGCCACCTGTGCCCCCCAAAGTTCCATACCTATTTAAATGTGATTAAAACCAAATATCAGGTCAAATATAGCAACGCACATGATATCAGGAAGGGTGCTTCTAGGATGTAGCAAGCATTAACCGTGATCTCCCTCTTACACTTTTCCAGGTGAGCTACAGTGCTGACCTCTTAACAAGACAGTTGCAGGAGGAGTTTATGAATAGGCTGTATCAAATGATTAATTTAACCCTTGGTATTTCATTAATAACCTGACTTTTCAGTGATCACTGTTGAGATTCCAGGTTAGAATAGGCCCCCAGCATTCAATGCTTATCATACAAGGCTGAATGAATGGTGGTCAGACTCGGTGACGTCGTTGATTGAGTGTTGATTCCATGATGGCGTGGATTGTTGCTCTGGCTCTTAGTCACTGGTTTTTCTGGTCCAGACAAGATTATTTATGGACCACCTTGATAGGGTTAGAATATTGCTAACTGGGGCTTTAAACAAACAACAATAACAACAGTAAACAGGATATATATTATTCTTTCAGGTATGAATCCAATGGATCAGTCTACTTTGATACAATGGCATTTGACAAGTGCGCCAGTCACCATTATGCGAAGCTGGTTCCCGAAGCTTATGGAGACAAGAAGGCTCTGTCTGAAGGAGAAGGTGAGAGAAGGTTCTGATTCCTGCGAGTAGTGTAACTTATCTAGCTGGTACAGAAACCTGTCTGTTGGCAACAAAACCAAACTCTTCAAATACTGTAACACGGCGAGAAAAATAATTGGCATCACTCTTCAGGACATTGGCAGTACTTTTGAACAGCAAATAGTTAATAAAGCAAATAAAATATTAAGCGATATTTCAAATATTTTACATCCGGAGTATCAACTTCTTCCTTCTGGCCACTGACTATGACTGCCAGTGTTGAGAAAAAAATGGGGCCTGGAATTCAGCATACCAGTCAGTACCAGGTTTTGTAACAAGTTTTGTGATAAATAATTGTTGCCACTTTCAACATTTGTGACTGTTTTATTTATTTGTATGTGTGTGTACCAATGAGCTTATACCTTGTACTGATGTAGCCCAAATTTCCTTGGGGATAACAAGGTGTTATCTTATCCTATCCTATTACATCATAGCCATAATCCTGCATTTTACCTGTCCTCACACTATAAAATCTTCAGATTGTTCAACAGATGTCCTCTCCCCTGTAAGGTATCAAATATTAGTGGTACGTGAAACAGTATTAAAACTGCTCAACTGTAAAAACTGTTCCCATTTATAGTTAGCTCACAAAACCAGTTTAACCTTCACACTGTATTTTCTATAGTTATTTATCTCCTTGCAAGAGAGTAGATTTGTTTGGGAACATGTTTGGGAACATGTTTGCCCGGATTGTCACAGTGAGATTCGTGGGCACGGGTGGCCCAGTCGTCTAAGGCACCTCGATTCGCTGTGCAGAGTTGCGTCCCTTGGGCACGCCAGAAACCTACGATTGTGGGTTCGAATCCCGGTTTGCCCCGATCATGTTTCTAGGTTTGTCAGCACCATACCCGTGCTTGTGGGTTTCACCGAAGTGGTAAACGTCTGAGACCTGCATCACTTCGGGTTTTCCTCCCACATTAAGCTGACACACCGTGATATAACTGGAATACTGTTAAAAGCGGCGTTAAACCCAACTCACTCACTCATTCACAGTGAGATTCCCCTGGGACCCATGCACAGCTATCGTATTTCATGTGCAGTGATCTACCCTGCATACTGGATTCCAGATGAGACTTGTGTAATTCGCTAATGAATAAGGAATTTCAAGGATTGATGGAGACTTAAGATCCTACTGAACCAGTTTCTTCATGTTCCAAATGAAGTCCAAGGGGGGATTTCATCTGAGAAACCATCGAGTTCCAAGGACTCCAAAGGTTCCACATCCAAAGATAAGGAATCACAAGTCCATGAGAGCATTGAGGAGCAAGAGGGACAAGGACAAGGAGCGTGTGAATCACTCTGCCCTCTCTGCTGACCCGCCCAATGTGACGGAGAAAGTAGGTCACAAAAGAGTGACTCCTCAAGTGACTACCTGGACTTGCAGACTAAATGATAAATATTGGAGTTGTGGCAAGCAAGTTGCTGACGTCATGAACTTGAATGCTCCTGTCCTCTTCGAAATGGGACAGATTTATGATGGCTACCAAAATGATGCATTCGGCTATAACAACCTCCAGTACTGAAGCCATTCATCAGAAATTATTGTCTATGAAATATAAATTGTCAATGCAAGAGAATAAGCAACCTAGATTTTCTACCGAAACAGATTCCACGTGGCGTAATGGGCAAATAGCTGTGTAATTATATGAATGGACGACTGAAAGTCAGTGATGAGTGAGTGAGTGAGTTGGGTTTAACGCCGCTTTTAACAGTATTCCAGTTATATCAGTTCATTGCACGTTTCATTTTTTTAAATTTTCAATCTTTTGTGTGCATTGTGTTAAAGTATTAAGATTTTTTTATTTTTTTTAAATTGGAAATAAAAACAAAATGTGCGGCAGATTTTATGATGATGGGGGTGGTGCCTGAGAACCAAGACTATTAGTTTTTTTAGCCTAAAAGTAAGTATTTATTGCCTCACGCACCACAGCAATACTCCTGCCATGTGACGTCAGTCTGTAGACAAACCAGACAATCAAGTGATTGGACAGATATCGTAGCGTTGAAAGGATCTAAGCTCATGGACAATAAGCCAAGACGGGTACTGAGGATAGATCTTGGAGTGTTCCCTCTACCAAGTTCAATGAGGAAGTTGTATGTGACACTACGAAGACATCGGGTAACTTCCATCACCCTCCACTTCTTCATGTGTGTCTGTTTACACAGCACGGACGGTACTTGTTACTTCAACCAGTGGGTACAGATAGAACCCTTCCCAAGGCTTTCCGCTTGGAAAATCTTAGAAACACTATTAGACCTCGTCCTCTTCTAGCGTCAAGGAGAAGTAAACCCTCTGCTACTACTAAAAGGCGACTATACTTGTCGTAAGATGCGACTAACGGGATCGGGTGGTCAGGCTCGCTGACTTGGTTGATGCATGTCATTGTATCCCATTTGCGTAGATCAATGCTCATGATGGCAGTCACTGGATTGTCTTGTCCAGACAAGCTGTCATTTAGCTGGAATATTGCTGAGTGCGGCGTTTACCAACAAACAAACAAACAAACTTGTGCAGATTTGTCACTTGACGGCTTTCATGTCATGAAGCAGGCTCATGACCAGGGCCACGCTTCACGAAGCTATCGTCTCAGCACCATTCCTTAACATAGACTTAAGACAGTCGTAGCGCTATGATTGTGAAACAGGACCCAACCTCAAGTTACCAGCTACACCTTTGGCCATTCAGACGTTATTAGACAAGAGAGCTACATGGAAACAGAAATATGGATCACAGTCAAGGATTCTATTCTCCTGTTTACCTGGTACCCAAGAAGGACACTACAGACATGCATGTCATCATGAATATGAAGATTCTTCACATGGAATGTCTGTTATGTTCCCTAAAATTTCAGATGGAATCGGTATGGAAAATTTGCACAGCTCAGGATTTGGGATTATTTTATCAGCCTAGACCTCCAGGATGCATGCTTGCATGTACCAGTTCATCCTGGATCCAGGTAGTATTACCATTTTCAATGGTCGCCGCTACAAATTTCTCGTACCGCTGTTCGAGATATCCATCGCAACTGGCTGTTTCCCCAAATTACAGACCCGATCATCAGATTTGCTCACATCCATCTAGTGCATCTGCATACTAAGCGCTTGACACATAGAAGCCCCGCTTATCTCTGTCCTTGATCCTTGTAGCCACAGACAACACAATGGTGGAAGCTTACATCCAGAGACACGTAGGAACCTAGTTGATTGGTTTAATGAGCAAGATTACGTGTTTATTTGCCTTGGCAGACTCAATCAACTGCAGGATGGAAGCTCTGCATATACAGGGGAAGCTCAGCATCTTGGCAAACAGCTTATTACGATGGTTAAAAAATGGTACAGTTAAGTCACGTTAATCTGATGTTGTTGGCTGCATATGATTATGTCGGATAAACGAAATTAGGTAGTATCAACATTCGTGATCGAAAATCGGACAACTACACAATAGATTATGATAAAAACATGTAATAAAAAAAGTAAAAAGTAAATATTCATATTGTTATTTTACATTGTTAGCCGTATAGGTTTTCTAATCATGCAACTTCTAAAGCTCAACACAAAACAACTGTTATGGACTGTATGACTTTTTCAAAATACTTTAAAAAGCATTGTCTGGAGTGGAAGTCACGAGGTTGGAACTGGTACCGCAAGTTTACAACTGGGCAGAGCATGACCACGGAGTACGCTGATCACTGTGTCGGATTAACAAGACTGATTAATGAGTGATTTCGGTAATTAGTTGCGAATCAGATGTGTCGGAGTTGGAGTGCAAGATTGTCGGATTAACGGGTCTAAATAGCACTGATTTAATCGGTTCCCATCATTAGTGTCGGATAAAGCGGATTGTCGGATTAACGAGTGTCGGATTAACGAGACTTGACTGTATGTCTATCCGAAGGTACTCCATTGGATAACATGGGTGTGGGACACTCCTTATCTGGACTGACCCGTGAAGATTCCGGGGTAGAATACGTCTTCAGCAACCCATGCTTGCCGTAAAAGGTGACTATGTTTGTCGTAAAAGGTGACCAACGGGATCGGGTGGTCAGGCTCGCTGATTTGGTTGATGCATGTCATCGATCCCAATTGCGTGGATCGATGCTCATGGTATTAATCACTGGATTGTCTGGTGTCTGATTGTCCAGACTCGATTATTTACAGACCGCCGTCATATAGCTGGAATATTGCTGAGTGCGGCGTCTTACAGTCATGACGACCGCCTCCGTGGTCTAGGGTAGAGCGTCCGCCTGGAGAGCGGAAGGTCCGGGGTTCGATCCTCGGCCGCGTCATACCAAAAGACGTTAAAAGATTGTACTTGTTGTTACCCAGCCTGACATTTGGCATTAAGGGGCTAAAACAAGGACTGTTCGGCTTGGAGTCGATATACTGTGGTTGAGTGGGGTATTCATGTTAAACTGCAGCATGGTATCTCAGTGAGGTAGCACTATCAAACCAGACTAGTGCAAACTGCCACACACATGCACATACACATGCATGTTCGTTGCTTTACAAGTGCAATTATGTAAGGATAAGATATATGGATGAGGTATGGATGACGTTTCGGTGTAGGTCTAACACCGTTATCAAGCAAGATACCAGGGCTGGCTGAAAAGTTCTAAGCCTAACTGTGAAAGACCCGTACCAAGTCGATGGTTTTCATTTATTTCTCCACATAGTCCTCTTCCAGGTTTACAGACTTTTGACAGCGATGCTGCAAGGCGTGGATGCCGGTCAAGAAGAAATTTTCTTCAGCCACCCTAAAAAAGTCATTCACAGAGGAAATGACGTTATCATTACTAGGAAAATGGCGAGTTCCTTTTTCATTTGGGGAAACAGGTCGAAGTCTGACAGGGCCAAATCGGGTGAATACAGGGGATGGTCAATGAGTTCGAAGCCACAATCATGGATCGCTGACATGGCAACCACCGATTTGTGAACAGGAGCATTGTCTTGGTGGAACAGGACTCCTTTAGTGAGCATTCCCCGTCGCTTAGCTTTGATAGCTTCACGCAACTGTCTCAGTAGGTCAGCATAATATCTTCCATTGATAGTCTGGCCTTTTTCAAGATAGTCAATCAGCAGAATACCCTTGGAATCCCAAAAGGAACCGACTTGGCTTTTTGGGGGGCTGGTGATTCAGGATGCTTCCAATGTTTAGACTGAATTTGGGTTTCTGGTTGAAAGTGATGAATCCAGGTCTCATCCATGGTTACAAATCAGGCCAAAAAATCATCGGGATCTGCTTCAAAACGGCATAAATTGCCATGGGACGTCAGGAATCTGACACGTTTCTGATCCGCTGTCAAGAGCTTTGGCACCCATCTTGCAGAAACTTTTGTCATTCCCAACTCGTTGGTGATAATGTGCTCAACCCTCTCATGAGAGATGCCCACAACACTGGCAATATGTCGAGTGGTCAATCGTCGATCAGCCATCACCATGTCATGCACCTGGGTAATGTTTTCCGGAATGGTTGCTGTTGAAGGCCTTCCTGGACGCGGGTCATCGTCAAGGCTCTCTCTGCCACGCTTGAATTCTGCAGCCCACTTCTTTACAGTAGAAAAGGAAGGGACATCACCCCCTAAAGTGGAGACCATGTCAGCATGTATCTGTGTTGAAGTTAGCCCTTTCAGTTGCAGGTACAGTCTGTTTGACTCCAAATGAGAACGATGAATTGCAAAATAACTCGAAATCCAGAAAAGTGTATGAAACATCAATACGGTACTTGACCATGAATACCCTGTACCCAACAAAATCTGAATTTTGTTTATTTTAAGACCCATGACGAATGAAGTTCTTTAAGTAACTATCATGTAATTTTGTATAAAAAGGTGTACATGACACGTAGGGGGACAAACCGTGGAAGGAACAGCGCAAGCACGGTCTGCACGTGCTACTCAGTGACCGTGTTCATTCAATGACAAGATGCGCTACTCAGCAGATGTTAAACAGTTGATGTTGAATGTGTATGATTTCTTTAGAAGTGAAGCAGAAAGAGCAAAGCCATTTTATGCAATTAATAAATTCTTGAAACGAGCTTCAAAAGCTCTTGGTATGTCCCCTCAGAAACTTATAAATGTTGTTAGTCGACGAGATACAAATAGTCAGGCCAAGGAGGTAGGGAACATGTCAAAACCACGCAAGGTTGATAAATTAGACAGTTTTCAGAGGGATCAAGTCAGACGTGCAATTGTTAAACTGCACTCAGAAAATAAGTACCTGTCCCTAAGAATTTTGAAGAAACACCTTGAAACTGACCATGATTTACGTGTTACAAAGTACAAACTATGGCAGCTGTTCCATACATTTGGTTACAAATACAAAAAGATAACTGGAGAAAATAGGGCTGTGTTGTGTGAACGGTCTGACATTGTTCGTCTCCGAAATCATTACCTTCGTACCATCAAGCAGAAACGTGAAGAAGGATATGAGCCCGTCTTCTTAGATGAGACATGGGTAAATGCGTCACACACAGCCAGCAGTCAGTGGGTACCCAGTGGTGACTGTAAGGAGTCTGGTAGAAAGTTACCAATGGGAAAGGGTGAAAGACTCATAGTTCTCCATGCTGGTTCTGCTAGTCAGGGTTTTCTCCCAGACTGTGACCTCGTCTTTAGAGCCAAGGCCAAAGACAACAGGGACTACCACACAGAAATGAACGGCAATGTATTTCTGGAATGGGTCAAAGATAAATTAGTCCCTGCTTTGCCTACCAAGTCTCTCATTGTCATGGACAATGCACCGTATCATAGTTTGCAGGATCCAGAAAGCAAGACTCCAACCTCTCATAACCGTAAAGGAGACATGGTTACTTGGCTGCAATGGAGGAACATTACCTTTCCTTCTCGAGCGACGAAACCACAGCTCTATGAAATCATCAAAACTATGAAACCTGACCCCGTGTATAAAGTTGGCAGTTACATCAAGGGTCAGGGTCACGCTGTCTTACGACTGCCACCTTATCACTGCGACCTGAATCCAATCGAGTTGGTATGGGGCATCGTCAAGGGTGACGTTGGACGATCGAACACAACGTTCAAATTACGAGAAGTTGAAAAAACTTGTAAAGGAATCCCTTGGTCGGGTAACAGTAGAAACATGGAGGCGTTGTGTGGCCACAGTCGTTGACAAGATAGAGCCACGTTATTGGTCACGAGATGGACTACGGCCAGCAACAGTCCAACCTATAATAGTGGCAGTCAGTTCAGGCACCAGCAGTTCCGACGACGAGATCTTTGGCATGAGCGAGTCAGATTGCGACTGAAATTATCATGAGCCGGCCCCTCTAACGCTCTGTCATTTCCCCTACCACAGAACGTGCAGTGCATGCGTGCTTGCGCGGTTCCTTCCACGGTTTGTCCCCCCTACGTGTCATGTACACATTTCTATTTTGTTTTGTCCATTTCTGGTGATTTCAATGGGTAGGTTCACAAAATGGTCTGGTACAAAGACAATAATAACACTACAGTTGCAGTTCTTATGTCTATGATTCATTAAATGATTGTACTTGTTGGTGGCAACAGTTTGTTTAAATCCGATTGTGATATCCCACTTAGGCTTAGAACTTATCAGCCAGCCCTCAAAACTTGCTTCATAAAGGTGTCAGGACTTACACCAAATTGTCTCTCCTAATTGTAATAAAAAAGTTGTTCATGCATATATCTTATCCTTACTTACTACTCCAACTTCTAAATGTCTCTCAAAGAAGTGCAGTTATCTTGAATGCTACATTAAACCCTATTTCACAACAACTTATATGTTTTTCAGGTGAGCTGAGTGTGTCTGAGGATCGTATGGGGGAGAAGCGGAGTCAGAACGACTTTGCGTTGTGGAAGGCCTCCAAGCCAGGGGAGCCATCATGGGAGTCGGCCTGGGGCAAGGTGAGTAGCAGCAACGTCATCAGGTGAACTGGAGTAACCCACGAGTACTGGAAATCGGGAAAGTTTCGCAAGCAGAAAGTACCACGAAAACTGAGTGACACACACTGGCAGTAGTTTCATGAAGTTACTTTTGCAGACCAACAAGAAATGAAAATCGTAAGGAGGCATATTTCTTTTAGTCACTTCCACACAGTGTCAAGCAGCCAGAGCATGGTTAAATAAGTAATCCCTCATCCTGTTTCCTTAATTGCAGATTGTCACTCAGCGTCAAGAGTCTAATCAGGAGAGTTCTGTAAAGTGCCACCTCTCGTCAGTTCGCTTACATAACACTGAGTAGTCCAGACGTACACCAGCCAGGCTATACTGTTAGATAAACAACCTCCCCTATCAACTACAGCAACGCAGGCATCTATAGTTTAAACAACACTGACTGATGCTGAGTTATCTTTTCATCAAACTGCTTCCTACTCATTAAAAACAACACTTTCTAAAGTATTGTTGATCTGTGGTAATCTCATCAACAGGGTGTCGCCAGACTTTCCAGACGTAGTAAAGGCTATTGTTAGCCACTCACAATAATTTACTGGCACAAAACTTTCCAAATTTACAGTTTTTCATGTTTATTATTCTCTTTGCAAGAAAGATTTGCTTCACATGTCTCTAAATCTGAATCTGTTGCCATGACAACCTCATTATTATTCTACTCAAAAGAAGTTAAGGATCAGTGATTCTTTCATATGACTCATGAATCTGTCACACCATGATGGATTAACTATAGTCATTTGAAAGCATCGGGTAGTCCTTAACTTCTTTTTAGTAGTATAATAATGAGGTTGTCATGGCAACAGATTCAGATTTAGTGATTCAGTTTGTTTCACATAATGATGTAAGATTGTGCATATTGTGATATTGTGTACAAAGTAGGGCTGGGACAAGTCCAAATTTACTACCCGAGTACCCACTCCCCTATTACCCGACCCTCTGTAGGTCTCAAGAGATAGGTACAAACTGTCTGATTGGGAAAAGTTTGCCCTCGCAAAAGGTATTTAGATATCGTATAAAAAGATCTGGTCATGCATACACTGAAGTTTACTGCAAGAAGTTTTATCTTTATTGAAACATATACAAGTCCGAAGGAATGGGTGCATAGAAAGAAAGAAATGGGAACATTATTGACTTGTATTGTAACCCTAGAGTTTCAGGTAACCTTTGTCATAAAACAATAGATCATGTGACTAACCACGGGGCCGGGTAGTCTTGTGGGTACCTGTGTCCGCTCTGCACCCGCCCGACCTGAGTATCCAAGTTAACCCCCCCCCGTCGTTTCCCCCCCCCCCCCCCCCATCCCAGCCCTTGTACAAAGTTTTACATTTGATGAAAATGTGTAGGACAAACTTTCTTTGGAAATATTTTTGGCATGGTTTGTAAATTAGGAGTTTAACATTAGGAGTTTCTGTGCATGTGATTGAGCATTCAATGCCAGAGTAACCTGGAAGATGTCAAAATGCCCATACATCGGATATTCAATAACAGTGGTAATTCTTAATACTTGTTACATTTGTCTCGTTGTGCTTGTAAGTGCTGTATGTAAAGCCTTGCTGATGTCCCCTGTCCTGATATTGCTGGAAGTGGTGTAAAACCATACTCACTCCCTCACTCACTCACTCATTGTAAGTGCTGTGTGTAAAGCCTTGCTGTGGTCCCCTGCCGTGATATTGCTGGAAGTGGTGTAAAACCATACTCACTCACTCATTGTAAGTGCTGTGTGTAAAGCCTTGCTGATGTCCAATGCCGTGATATTGCTGGAAGGGGTGTGAAACCATACTCACTCACTCATTGTAAGTGCTGTGTGTAAAGCCTTGCTGATGTCCCCTGTCCTGATATTGCTGGAAGTGGTATAAAACCATACTCACTCACTCATTGTAAGTGCTGTGTGTAAAGCCTTGCTGATGTCCAATGCCGTGATATTGCTGGAAGGGGTGTGAAACCATACTCACTCACTCATTGTAAGTGCTGTGTGTAAAGCCTTGCTGATGTCCCCTGTCCTGATATTGCTGGAAGTGGTATAAAACCATACTCACTCACTCATTGTAAGTGCTGTGTGTAAAGCCTTGCTGATGTCCCCTGCCGTGATATTGCTGGAAGTGGTATAGAACCATACTCACTCACTCATTGTAAGTGCTGTGTGTAAAGCCTGGCTGATGTCCCCTGTCCTGATATTGCTGGAAGTGGTATAAAACCATACTCACTCACTCATTGTAAGTGCTGTGTGTAAAGCCTTGCTGATGTCCCCTGCCGTGATATTGCTGGAAGTGGTATAAAACCATACTCACTCTCTCAATGTAAGTGCAAAACATAAATACCAACTGGTCTGTTTTCAAACAAGTCATAAACAAATGATAGTAGTATTTGGCTGTCAAAGGACACAGTAGCTCCCCCACATGTGAAGATCTGGGTTAGAATTGTCTTCAGCAACCCATGCTTGGTGTAAGAGTCAACTTAAACAATCAGGTGGACAGGCAAGGTGACTTGGTTGATGCATGTCATTGTATCCCAGTTGCGTTTATCGATGCTCATGATGTCAATCGCTTGATTGTCTAGTCGATAAGTTACAAACCGCCGTCATACAGCTTGAATATTGCTGAGTATGGCATTAAACAACAAACAAAGACACTAGCTCTTGCAAAGGTTCTCAAGGATGAGGACTCCTGCGAGAATCACTGACAGTACATCATCATCTCAGACACATACATTGTCTGTAACAGTTGCTTTGTTGTGTTGATCCCTGTGAAGATCCGGGCTAGAATTGCTTGTCTTTAGAGACTGTTAACGGGATTGAGTGGTTAGGCTTCATTACGAAGATCGATGCTCGTGATCTCAATCACAAGATTGTCTGGTCCAGACTTTATTACTTACAGAGCACCGTCATATAGCTGGAATATTGCTGAGTGCAGCTTTAAACAATAAACAGACAAACAGACAGACTTCATTCAGCTCTCCCAGTGGCTTACACGTTTATCTGTGCTAAACATTGGTTCATTTTAAAACCTCTTGCAAAACATCCAAATCCCTCATTTGAAAGCTATAAAATTGAAGCTATTCAATTCCATGATTGAAAAAAGAAAAAAACCATTTTGTTTTCAATTATTCCATGTCTTTAGTTCTGTTAAAAACCATCGGATCTGTCCATGGCTGCACCTGGATAGTTTCTCCCTTGTGTTGGGAGCACATGGTGTTGTGTGGATCATCAGTGTCTGAGGATCATTAGGGGGAGGGAGGGAGGGAGGGAGGGACGTCATGGAGGAGCAAGTGGCAGTTGCTTCCAGTTGTGTTCGAAGCATAAAATTTTAGGGGTCCTTGTCTTTACCCAAATTTTGAATGTTACAATATTGAGGGGGTCTGTAGATACTTTAGAAGCCAACCTCACTGATCTCCCTTGATTTTGAACACAAGTCTTTTAGCACCATACTGTATTTGTGGTCTCACTGACGTGGTAAACGTCCACGACCTGCATCACTAGTCTGTCAGCACCATACTGTATTCATGGGCCTCAGTAGCGTGGTAAACGTCCACAACCTGCATCACCAGTCTGTCAGCACCATACTGTATTCATGGGTCTCAGTTACGGGTAAACGTCCACGACCTGCATCACTAGTCTGTCACCACCATACTGTATTCATGGATCTCAGTTACGGGTAAACGTCCACAACCTGCATCACTAGTCTGTCAGCACCATACTGTATTCATGGGCCTCAGTAGCGTGGTAAACGTCCACAACCTGCATCACCAGTCTGTCAGCACCATACTGTATTCATGGGTCTCAGTTACGGGTAAACGTCCACGACCTGCATCACTAGTCTGTCACCACCATACTGTATTCATGGATCTCAGTTACGGGTAAACGTCCACAACCTGCATCACTAGTCTGTCAGCACCATACTGTATTCATGGGTCTCAGTTACGGGTAAACATCCACGACCTGCATCACTAGTCTGTCAGCACCATACTGTATTCATGGGTCTCAGTAGCGTGGTAAACATCCACAACCTGCATCACTAGTCTGTCAGCACCATACTGTATTCATGGGTCTCAGTAGCGTGGTAAACGTCCACGACCTGCATCACTTGTCTGTCTGCACCATACTGTATTCATGGATCTCAGTTACGGGTAAACGTCCACAACCTGCATCACTAGTCTGTCAGCACCATACTGTATTCATGGGCCTCAGTAGCGTGGTAAACGTCCACAACCTGCATCACCAGTCTGTCAGCACCATACTGTATTCATGGGTCTCAGTTACGGGTAAACGTCCACAACCTGCATCACTAGTCTGTCAGCACCATACTGTATTCATGGGTCTCAGTTACGGGTAAACATCCACGACCTGCATCACTAGTCTGTCAGCACCATACTGTATTCATGGGTCTCAGTAGCGTGGTAAACATCCACAACCTGCATCACTAGTCTGTCAGCACCATACTGTATTCATGGGTCTCAGTAGCGTGGTAAACGTCCACGACCTGCATCACTTGTCTGTCTGCACCATACTGTATTCATGGATCTCAGTTACGGGTAAACGTCCACAACCTGCATCACCAGTCTGTCAGCACCATACTGTATTCATGGGTCTCAGTAGCGTGGTAAACATCCACAACCTGTATCACTAGTCTGTCAGCACCATACTGTATTCATGGGTCTCGGTAGCGTGGTAAACATCCACAACCTGCATCACTAGTCTGTCAGCACCATACTGTATTCATGGGTCTCAGTAGCGTGGTAAACATCCACAACCTGCATCACTAGTCTGTCAGCACCATACTGTATTCATGGGTCTCAGTAGCGTGGTAAACGTCCACGACCTGCATCACTAGTCTGTCAGCACCATACTGTATTCATGGGTCTCAGTAGCGTGGTAAACGTCCACAACCTTCATCACTAGTCTGTCAGCACCATACTGTATTCATGGGTCTCAGTAGCGTGGTAAACGTCCACAACCTGCATCACCAGTCTGTCAGCACCATACTGTATTAATGGGTCTCAGTAGCGTGGTAAACGTCCACGACCTGCATCACCAGTCTGTCAGCACCATACTGTATTCATGGATCTCAGTAGCGTGGTAAACGTCCACAACCTGCATCACCAGTCTGTCAGCACCATACTGTATTCATGGGTCTCAGTAGCATGGTAAACGTCCACGACCTGCATCACTACTCTGTCTCCACCATACTGTATTCATGGGTCTCAGTAGTGTGGTAAACGTCCACATCCTTACATCACTTTGATGACCCTATCTCTGACATCAAACGGACACACTCTCATCCAACTGACATACAGTTCAAAGCACTTTTAGCTTACACTTACTGACCCAACCATTAATTATTTAAAAGATTCCACTCTAAGGTTCTATGCACTCAAAGAATACCTTACACATGAGCCCAAACTGGCTTGGGCAGAAGTCTTTTGCTAATTTCCATCACTAAACTACGTTATGTTATAATGTTAGGTGTCACAGACCATGTGAACTTGGCTAATTGTGTGCCGCCTATCCCCGAAGGTATGGCTCATTTCTTCTGCTTTCAGTCACAGACTGGTCCAGACTCAATAATTTACAGGCTACTGCAATATGGCTGGAATATTGCAGAGTGCGGCGTTACTCTCGTGTTCACTTATGGTATTTCATTATAATGTTACGATAAGAATAAAGATTGACTGTAAAGTTCAAACATGATTCAACACCAGTTAGTTGAAAATATTGCAGAACATCTGATGCCTCTTACACAAATCTTAATTCTCACAAAACGATGTTGAAACAGCAGTCAGGAAAACAGCATCACTTTGGAAGTGTCACATGATGTGATGGGACCATTGTGATGTCATCAGTTACCATGACCTCACAATCAAATGACATCAATTATCTCTCTGCCACTGAAGCTTGTAAGCTGTACATCTTACAGTCATGATGACTGCCTCCATGGTCTAGTGGTAGAGCGTCCGCCCAGAGAGCGGAAGGTCCGGGGTTTGATCCCCAGCCGCGTCATACCAAAAGACGTTAAAAGATGGTACTTGTTGTTACCCTGTCTGGCGCTCAACATTAAGGGGCTAAAACAAGGACTGGTCGGCTCGGAGTCAGTATACTGTGTCTGAGTGGGGTATTCATGTTAAACTGTGACATGGTATCTCAGTGGGCTAGCACTATAAATCGGCATGTCCGGTCTAGTACAAGCAGCCACACACACACACACGTGCATGCACGTCGCTATATAAGTGCAATAATCTTGGACGCGACGTTAAACCTCATTTCACCTACAGTCACGACACTTGTCATAACTGTTCACAAACTGAAACATTTGGCAGAATGATTTTGGGATGATAATAGAATTTCACTTTTTGGCTTCTGATATCAAATATTTCAACACTCATCGATAAGAGTTTAGAGCACCTCCGCAAACAACTTTTATCAAGGTGAGGTCGTATTTTGTCACAAGCTGGTTGGTGATTTTAGGACGTTTCCCACACTTGTGAGAACCATAAGCAAGTCACAAGTTGTGTCCCTTGACAATTTTCAGATTTTACTAGTGTTTCAAATTTATTAGAAAGCTTAGGGGTCAGTCGTGATATCAAATATATTGAACTTACAATTAGGAAGTAATGTAAAGTATAGCTATGAAATGTACCAGATCTCTAGTTCCCTAGGGAATGTATTGTAGTCCCTAGTTTACACATGCGTCAGAACCTCTGTCTCTTATTTTCGATAGTTTCATTAGGGCTATCATAAGTTTCTTAGCCTAGCCCAGCAGGAAAATGCATTGTAATTGCGCATTATAAAATCCAGCTATCTGATTGGCTAGACGCTGTCTTGTAGACACCCATGCAAGTGGGTCGTTCAGACGGTAGTGACGTCATGATGTCATATATCATCATCTGGTTATCACGTCATACTTGACCCTGTTCATATTACAAATAGAGAATATTGTATGAGTGTTCATGTCATACTAACAACGCGTGTCGGTCTGACGTGACGTTGATTAATGAATAATTTGCATACTCGTATATGCAAGGGGCCGACGTATGGTTCCTGTAGGAAGTGACAACTTGGAGGCGATGGCTTGCGGTATATACAGTTTTACTTTATACATGTAGATATATACATACAAAAGACACTATGTGCCAGGTCAGCACATAGTGGTAGTGGTTGTTGTCTAGGTGCCCCGGAGCACCCAGCCTAACCCTAGCTAGGCTAAGGGTAAGACCTTTCTTTTTCTCCTGCCTCTCAACCTCTCTGGACCAAGGCTTATATAGCCAAGGTCACCTGACATTTAGTAAGTAATAAATATAAATGTCAACAGTTATTCATCAGTGACATACTTGCACATCTCGTTCAGGATGGCAGACGGTCGATGTACACAAAAATGGGGATTAACAATTAGGATTAGCATCTTATAAATAACAGCAATTAAGTGTTTCAAGGCATATAGATGTCATGGCTCCAGGGTAATGAGCCTTTGCAATTAAATGTTCTTCAGACAATGGGTGTTGTAAATCAGTCGCTATGACAATACTATGCTTATGACATGAGTGTCTAAATTCTGGTATTTCCCGAGCAAAATATTAACTAACTCATTTACTCACTCACTCACTCAAGCTGCCAAACGTGGTCACCCATCCAGCTACTCTCTGCCACCATTGATGGTCAACAAGGACATATACATGTAGTAGTAAGACTATGTTCATTGGCTAAACTTTATTAACAATTGATGTATTTTTCTTCTTGAAGGGGCGCCCTGGTTGGCATATTGAGTGCTCTGTAATGGCTAGCTGTATCCATGGAGAGTCTATGGACATCCACACTGGAGGGATTGATCTCAAATTTCCGCATCATGACAATGAACTAGCCCAGGCAGAGGTAAGGCCACACATTTGTTATTTTTCGTTTCAGTCCCACCACCCCTACTGAAGAGCAGCTGGAAAAGAAGTAAATGAAACATGAAAATATTTATTTTTATTGTGTCTCCCGCTAGTAATATGGACCCTCTTATGAAATAGAAAATGTTATAAATCAATTCCATGTCTATCAATTGTCAGTGATTCAAGAAGCAAGCTGCAGTTTTAACTCCATGACAGAATGACTTTCAAATAAATAAATAAATAAATAAATAACACAGCTATTTATGTTTCTATTTGTTTCGACCGACCTTGTGGGGAAAATTTGGAATAAATCCATGAAACATAAAATTAAAACAGTTTGGCCTGAGGTTACCAATCATTCTGGTTATGATGTTGACTGGTTGTGCATCTTGTAGGGACTGGATCATGGAAGATACTCAATGGCGATAGTGTTTATGTAGGAGGATACTCTGATAGGAACTGAATTCTGCAACATCATCACTCTTCCATCCATGGCAATAGTACAGTTTATAAGTGTATTAGGAGGATACTCTCTGGTTACTCTGTATAATAGCTGATGAGAGTTGATTGATAAGTTCTAAAGCTCACATAGGAGGAATAGCAGTGAAATCTTTGTTGTGGAGTTACATGATGTCATAGATGTATGTCCACAAAAACTTGAGTCATGTAAGTAAATTGGGGGCTATTCAAATGCCAATCTGCATCTCATGTTGAGCTTCCTTCTTACTTAACGTGTGAAGATCAGGGGTTGAATAGGTCTTCAGCAACCATGTTTGCTGTAAGAGGCAACTATGCTTGTCGTAAGAGGCGACTATGCTTGTCGTAAGAGGCGACTATGCTTGTCGTAAGAGGCGACTATGCTTGTCGTAAGAGGCGACTATGCTTGTCGTAAGAGGCGACTATGCTTGTCGTAAGAGGCAACTATGCTTGTCGTAAGAGGCGACTATGCTTGTCGTAAGAGGCGACTATGCTTGTCGTAAGAGGCGACTATGCTTGTCGTAAGAGGCAACTATGCTTGTAGTAAGAGGCAACTATGCTTGTCGTAAGAGCAGGCTACCAGTATTGTTTTCCAGGTAGCCAGTGGTAAAATCAAGCAGTCAAGCCAATGTTGTAGGTAGCCAAAAGCATTAGAAATGATCTTTTATCAAATAACTATTATGGTATGTATACAAGTCATGGCACTAGTCTTGAAATTGTATATAAGTGGAAACTGTACTTGAGTTTTGTTATTTGTGACTCTAACAATGGTGCAATTTATGTTACTAGATTACATAGGTATATCCTTGCTTATCCAATAAATTATCAACTAAAATAAAATACTAATTACATTAATGTTTATGTATTTCGGTTCATTGTTGACTTTAGGAGGAATTTATTGTGAGTACAATTAGTAGCAGACATGTTGCGTCTAGATCTGTGTAGCAATAGAATTTTGTCACCACAAGATATTTTTCAAGGTAGTCATTTGGCTACCTCTGAATTTTAGACAGTAGACAAACTGAAATTTAGGTCGCATTGGCAACCATTTTAGTCGCAACTTTGAGGCCTGAAGACAGGATCGGGTGGTCAGGTTCACTGACTTGGTTGATGCACATCATCATATCACAAATGCGTGGATCAATGCTCAAGATGTCAATCACTGGATTGTCTGGTCCTGACTCGATTATTTACAGCCACTGTCATAAAGCTGGAATATTGCTGAGTGAGGCGTTAAACAACAATCTAACAAACAAACAAACAAGTTCTTATGTTGTGATGAACGCTGGAGCTGTTTGTGTCCAGGCTTACTATAAGAACAACCACTGGGTGCGCTACTTCCTCCACTCCGGTCACCTGACCATCGAGGGCTGCAAGATGTCCAAGTCCTTGAAGAACTTCATCACCATCAAGGACGCACTCCAGCGCAACAGCGCCCGACAGATCCGCCTGCTGTATCTCCTACACTCATGGAAGGACACACTGGACTACAGCCCAGAGACCATGGACACCGCTGTGCAGTACGAGAAGCACGTCAATGTAAGGAATCTCAGTCACATTTGTTAGCTCAACTGGGAAAAGAAGGATCTTACTTTTAGAACCATCTCTGTCATTGGGAGAAGTGAAATGGGGTTTGCAATGTGTATGTCTTTCCCTCTCTGTCTGTCTGTCTGTCTGCCTGCCTGCCTGTCTGTCTGTCATTGGGAGAAGTGAAATGGGGTTTGCAATGTGTATGTCTTTCCCTCTCTGTCTGTCTGTCTGTCTGCCTGCCTGCCTGTCTGTCTGTCATTGGGAGAAGTGAAATGGGGTTTTCCATGTGTATGTCTTTCCCTCACTGTCTGTCTGTCTGTCTGTCTGCCTGCCTGCCTGCCTGTCTGTCATTGGGAGAAGTGAAATGGGGTTTGCCATTGCGTTCAAGCACTTATATAGAGACATGTGTATGTCTTTGTCTGTCTGTCTGTCTGTCTTTCTCTCTGTCTGTCTGTCGCTCTGTCTGTCTGTCTGTCTCTCTGTGTGTCTGCTTGTACAAGCCAATACTAATGCCAGTTTTATTCTGCTACCCCACTGAGATACCAGTTTAACATGAATACCCCACTCAGACACAGTATACTGACTCCGAGTCGAGCAGTCCTTATTTTATCCCTGTCATACCGAGAGTCAGGCAGGGTAACAACATGTTTTAACGTTTAGTGTCTATCTCATTAAGAAAGTAAGCAGTCTATACACAAATGTTCAAATGTGGTTTTCATTTCAGGAGTTTTTTCTGACAGTAAAGGACATTCTACGCAACTCTCCAAGTAATGGTATTGCTGCATGGGACAAATGGACTCAGGAGGAGATAACTCTCAATGAAAGGTAAGGTTGAGGCCGTCTCAAGTCAGGCTACAGTTGTGGGGACAACACGGTCTACATTGTACACCAATAAGATCAGTTGGTCTTCCAGATGTTTCTATTGTTGGAATGTTCATATCTATAAATCAATCTCCTAGACTGATAAGTGATGACTTGTATTGGCCGCCATTCGGTCAAAAAATACAAAATTGAAATAAAGGACAAAAGTACGCAAATGTCCAATGTTACAAATAAAGAATGAATGTTACACATAAAGATGGGGATCCAATTTGTAAAAAAATACAAAGTTTAAAATATTTTTGTCCTTTATTTCAACTTTGTATTTCTTGACCAAATGGCTGCCCATAGAGTTGTCTGGTTTATTCTCATCAATGTCATGCGACAAACGCGATCGGGTGGTCAGGCTTACTGACTTTGTTGATGCATGTCATCGATCCCAATTGCGTGGATCAATGCTCATGATATTAATCACTGGATTGTCTGGTCCGACTCGATTATTTACAGACCGCCGTCATATAGCTGGAATATTGCTGAGTGCGGCGTTAAGCAACAAACAAACAAACAAACAAACTCAATATCATGTATGATACCTGCTGGATGAATTTGGCTACAGGCTTGTTAAGAACCATGTCAGAGACAGGCACCCACTATGCTTATGGGGTGGCATGACATACACCAACATGTCTCTCTTTCTGGTGAAATACAAGCACCGTAGTTTACAAGGAGGGATTGATGGGAATATCACTGGTCCAGCACAACATTTGCAATACAATTATGAATTGCCAGTTTTAGACAATTTCCACATGTTTCCTTATGCTTATTTTGGAAATATTCCAGCATTTTTCAATTGGCCAATCGGACTACCAAATTGTTAAACAACACACCTGAATAAATTCTACTGGTTGACCAGCATACTTGTCGAACCCTGGTGACCACTGCAAACATGTCGTAAGGGACGGGTCATTTATTACAGGGGGTGGGTCAGAGGTTTTTAAAACAGTAATTTGCTCAAAATAATGATCCACGCTTATGTTTGTCATGTCTTAGGATGACCCTCCCTATGTCCTTGTGAATTGTTTTCGTGGCCCTCCCCGAAAAGATAACATCCAAACACACTGTATATTTTATTTCAGAATGTCCATTTTTTCATGACCCTCCCCAAATACATGTATACTACTCAAAAGAAGTTAAGGATCACCTGATTCTTTCATATTGGTAATGTTAATCTGTCATGGCATGAGAGTAACTGTTGTAATATGAAAGAATCAGGTGATCCTTAACTTCTTTTGAGTAGTATATTATTTTGTATGACCCTCCCCATGAGACTGTCATATTTTGTGGTGACCCTCCCCTGATCCCCTGTGACCCACCCACCCCTGTAATAAATGAGCAGCCCCTGATCCTGTTCAACTGTTTATAGAGATATCACAATGAGGTAGATATGAAGAAACAGATCATTAAAGGAGAAAGTTGTGTTGCAGATATCTACAGAAGAGGGATGCTGTGAATGAAGCACTTTGTGGTCAGTAGCATGGCATGGTGCTTTATGATGTCAAAAAGAAATGAGCATTGTTAATCTTTATAAAGAGTTTTCTTATATTGTATACCACTTAAATGTTGACTAGCAATGATCACCACTTTGTTTGTCTGCTAACCCACAATTTAGTACCTGAATCTCGTTATATTAAACATTTTAGTACCTGTGAGGATCCGGGGTAGAATAGGTCTTCAGCAACCCATGCTTGCCATAAAAGGTGACAATGCTTGTTGTAAGAGGCGACTAACGGGATCAGGTGGTCAGGCTTGCTGGCTTGGTTGATGCATGTCATCGTATCCCACATGTATGGTATTGATGCTCATGATGTCAATCACTGGATTGTCGGGTCCAGACTCGATTATTTACAGACCACCGTCATATAGCTGGAATATTGCTGAGTGCGACGTTAAACAACAAACAAATCGTACCTCGATAACAAGGATCGTTGCTCAAAATATCGATCACTGGATTGTCTGGTCCAGGCTGGATTATTTACAGACTTCTGTCATGCATCTGGAATATTGCTGAATGCAGCATAAACAACAAACAAACAAAGACCAATCAATTGTCACCCCACTAAAAGATATGTGTTGAAGGATTGGGTAACATTATCACAGTGCCAGTTCACATGGTGTGTTTTTGTTTAGACAACATCGACACACGCACAGCACTGGAGCATGTACGAGAGCTGGTCTCCATAGGAAACAGTTACATCGCTAAAGCCAAGTCGGAGAAACGCAAGCCCAACAGACAACTCGTCTACAACATCGCTGCCTACATCACTCATCTGTTCAAGGTTGCTTGCTAATCATAGAAATGTTTGCTTAGATATTCTGTGAAAGTGTGGATTCATGTTGCTATAGTTAATTCTTATAGCAGTGAGTTATACCCAACTCACCCAATCATACTTTAATGTAAAAACCTGTGTTGTAAATCTGTGCAGCGGATTTACACAAAGCGTGCACACCGTTTTTTACGTTTATATCTACATAACACAAAAAATATTGAAGTCAATTCTTATAAATAAATATGGTCAGCAATAATGATTTCACAGACTGCTCATTTAATTATTAACACACACAAAACTGTAGACAACAGTACGAAATCAGTGCGTTGTTCAGCACAATAACGCAGCACAAGCCCCGTCAGCCAATCAGGAAACAGAAGTTTCTAAGTGAGCGTGGCTTAAGATTTTTTGTTTGTTGGAAACATAAATGCAACAAATATTGCTTGGTCAGCAAATCAAATGCCATGGAAGTGAATGCAATTTATTTGTAGTGCAGTGCAGTGCAGTGCAGTGTAGTGCATTGTAGTGCAATGTAGTAGGGGAAGTTTATTTCAGTATAAAGGCCACAGGCCAGGTACAATATAGATACATGTATTATATACAACGTGGTGGTACAATATCAAGAGGTACAGAGTGCAAAGTACAAATTAGTATTATAATAATGAAGAACGTAAAGATAGGGCATCTTTTATGTATTTAGCACATAATGACAAGGTTTCAATGTTAGAAGTTTGTAGTAAACTTCTAAGGGAGTACTCATTTTTGAAGTTACTGTTGGGAAAATATATGTGTCTTAAAATACTAACAAAAAATGTAACTCATCTTCTATAATATTTTACAAAAAGGACAAAACCTAAGGTTTCTAGGTACACCCTCCTGTCTACCTATATTTTTCATAATTTGTAATTCTCCAATTCTTAATAATATTAAAAATCTCCTTTGGTCTTTTTGGTGTATGTGAAGCAAGTGTGGTGTGGTGTGGTGTGGTGTGGTGTGGTGTGGTGTGGTGTGGTGTGGTGTGAGAAATATGATATCTGCTGTTAGTTAATGTTATTATAAACCGCTGAGGAATAATATAAACTATTATTGCAGGTGTTTGGAGCCATTGAAGGAGATGAAAGCATTGGCTTTCCAACAGGAGGTGCCCGTGCCACTGATGTGAGTAGAACACGTAACAAGACAACAAGTGGCAGGGCCTGATGTTCAGAGAAAATATAGAAAGTGGCAAATATGTCGAGTAAACCAACTTCCATCCCAGTTTCACTGTCACTAACCCAGTGCAAGAAGCATTACACTTGTCAGATGTATCATACACATCTACTGACATTGTTAAATATTGCTGAGTGTGGCGTTAAACAAGAAACAAACAAATAAAAAAATCTAAGTGTATTGTCACATGATCTATTCAGGGGTTAAAGTGGTTAAAGCGTTTGATTGTCACGCTGAAGACCCGGGTTCGATTCCTGACATGGGTACAATGTGTGAAACCCATTACCGGTGTCCCCTGCCGTGATATTGCTGGAATATATGCTAACAGTTGGGTAAAACCATACTCACACTCACTCACTCACTCATAATCGACAGTTGTCACACTCAATTATTAAGGGGTGCTTATCAGGGAACTCAGATGCTTACCATTTTGGTGAAACCCACGAGCATGGGTATGGTGCTGACAGACCAATAAACAAAATCAGGGTGAACCGGGATAAACTACTTTCATGATTACTTGCCTATAAAAAATAATTTTTATCGACTTGTGTTGATACATTTGATCTCAAAAGACATACAGGTGGGCTTCTCTATGTCTCGACAGCTTCTTGCATTGTTTTGTCCATTCCTCACTCACCATGATTGTGTTCTTGTGTCTTCTGATTGGGTGATATCAATCAGCTTCTTAATAAATGCAGTTTACTCCATATTGGAGTATTTTTTACTCTTATTCTGTCCTGGACAAGTTTGTACAATATTCATTTCAGTGTATATTTTCAACCTTGGTCATTTCTCCAACTTTCAAACTGTAACCGCTACTGTTGTGGTGTTGACACAGGTAGAGGAGACTGTCATGCCGTATCTGTCAACACTTGCCACATTCCGGGAACAGGTCCGTCAGACTGCTCGGGAAAAGAAAGGTAACACCAAAACAAAGATCTGTGCAGTTATCTATTTTCTTTACACACAGAACGTATTGCCAAATGCAAATGGCAACAGGTTAATTACAGATTGGCTGGTGACAGTTGAAAGTTTTGAAAGAAAGGATGTGTGGTGTGAGAGACTATTATACTCAACCCTCTAAACTTGCTCCTGCAGCAACGGCCATCTTGCAAATGTGTGATGACATCCGCGACAACGTGCTGCCGAATCTTGGGGTTCGACTTGAAGACCACGAGGGTCAGCCCCCTGTCATTAAACTCGTCGACCGAGATACGCTACTCAAGGAGAGGGAGGAGAAACTGCGGGTAAGTTGTCAGTCATAATCAACTGTGAACATGACAGACAAGGATGGCCACGGCCACTAAAGTACTCACGGAAATGGAAAAAAATCTGTTTTGCTGGATTTAATAATCGACACAAAGCATTACGTAGATGGAAATACAAAACAACAAAACAACTGGAAAAGTACTAGTCTGGATACTAGTCTCAATACAAAATGTACTTTACAGGAGGTAATTTGTAGGCACTTTCAACATTCAAAAATAAAACAAGTCCAAATTGACATGGCAGAAACAGGCTATAGGCACTATGCAAATTAGCCTGGAAAAAAAGTTATCAAAACAACAATAAAAATAACAGCTATGTTTATGTACATAATAATAATGACATGTAAGTTGTTGTTTGAGAAGGGAATATGTTACTTTTACGTTCTGATATTTTTTGACAATGATTCACTATCCCACAATGCCACTCACAAATCACTAACCACTGACAAATCACATGCACGTGGTTTTTAAGCACCTGTTTTCACCTGTCGTCAAGGTGTCATAGGTCATGGGCATTCACCTTGATCTACTAACACATGGTTATGCTCAGTTTCACAATAGTTTGTTTTGTTCATATTTTTACTCACTTTTACGTGTAAAAAGACATAAAACCCTTTGATACGCTGTATTTGTATCAAGGCCAAATTAGTACTAATTGAGTTGTTTGAATATTTATATATTTTGTATATTAACTGCATTTATTTAAGATCTGAGATAAAAAAAACAGTTTTTTTTCATTTCCGTGAGTACTTTAGTAGGTTAGTCGTAGACTAATGAAAGTCCAGAGAAATATAGGGTGTGAGATATTACCAGTATATCAGTAAATTGAGGTTCATTCTTTCCTCGATAAGTATCACAATATTATTTTTTCATGTTCGATATATCAGGTGATATCAAATTGGGATATTTATGATGTGTTTAATATTATAAACTTGCCAAATATTTGGTTGGTTCTGAATCAAGAATTTAGAATTATACAATATATCGTGATATGCATCGGAATACGACCTTGTGCATTGCAAAATATTGTGATATACTTTAAACGTCTAAGGTGCCGCTCTTAGCTCCCAAGACTGCATCCCTCGGACATGCCGGTAACCTGTGATCTTGGATTCGAAAAAATCCCGGTTTGCCCCGATTATGTATCAAGGTTTGCCAGCACCATACCCGTGCCCGTGGGTTCACCAAAATGGTAAACGTCTGAGACTTGCATCACTTCCCACATTAACTGGAAAACTGTTCAAAGCAGCGTTAAACCCAACTCACTCACTCACTCTTGTCTTGTAGGTGGAGCAGCAGAAGAGGGAAGAGAAGGAGAGAAAGAAGAGGGAACAGGAAGCAGCCAAAGTAAGTAAAGACGTCCGCTTCTGCGACAGGAGGATACTGGTTCAACCATCCACGCTGATATTTCCCAAGAGTGAAAGTTATTTATCCACTAGAACAAATAATATAATTCGTGTAAATAATTCTACACTGAATGTATTGTTTGTTTGTTTGTTGTTTAAGGCCGCACTCAGCAATATTCCAGCTATATGATGGCGGTCTGTAATTAATTGAGTCTGGACCAGACAATCCAGTGATTGACACCATGAGCATTGATCCATGCAATTGGGATACAATGACATGCATCAACCAAGTCAGCGAGCCTGTCCACCTGATCCCGTTAGTTGCCTCTTATGACAAGCATGGGTTGCTGAAGACCTATTCTTTCCTGGATCTATACGGGTGTGAATGTGTTTAAATATTGCAAAGATGAAATCTATGAAATTCAGCATAAAAATCCTGATTGTTTCTCTTGACTTCCATGGTAACAATGATTTGACCTGTGTGTACACTCCTGCTGCACATACTCAGTGTTTGTACCTCTGTCGTTGTAAGGCTGCCAAGGAGGCGCTCAAGAGGATTCCACCTGGTGAACTCTTCAGGAAGGAGACAGATAAATATTCAGCCTTCGATGAGCGGGTGAGACTGCAGGCATATTTGTTATAAATGTTCTGTTCCCAGATACATACTACAGTTTCATCAGACAGTAATCACTAGTTTCATACGATGGTTTACGATCAATACAGTTTCATCAGAAAGTATGTGATGACTAGTTTCATACTATGGTTTACGATCAATACAGTTTCATAAGACAGTTTTGGGGGGCACGGGTGGCCCAGTCGTCTAAGGCGCCGCGATTCACTGTGCAGATTGTGTATGATTGTGGGTTCGAATCCCGGTTCACCCGGATTATGTTTCTAGGTTTGTCAGCACCATACCTGTGGTCGAGGGTTTCAACGAAGTGGTAAACGTCTGAGACCTGCATCACCTTGGGCTTTCCTCCCACATTAAGCTGACACGCTGTCATGTAACTGGAATACTGTTAAAAGCCACGTTAAACCCAACTCACTCACTCACTCAGTTTAACTGGTCTAAAAAATCTCAAATATTTTTGTCATTCAAAACATACTTACAAAATTTAAAGCTTCGTGTTTCACATATGGTAGCAGGTTGGGGGTTTGATTGGCCACACCATACTAAATAATGGTCCTTGTTGTTACCCTGCCTGGCACTTGGCATTAAGGGGCTAAAACAAGGACTCTTTGGCTCGAAGTCAGTATACTTTGTCTGAATGGGGTATTCATGGTAAACTGCGGCATGGTATTTAAGTGGGTTGGCACTATAAAACTGCTCATAGTCGGAATGTGTGTGTACACGCATACAGCCATATAAGTGCAATAATATTGAACAGGTCAAAGAGGGTGAAACACTGAACTTCATGTAACATATATAGAGATAATAATACGAGCATGTGTGTCATACTGATTTCATGAAACGAGTGTCAAAATTCTTGTATTTTCCAAGCGAGAGCGTGGGTAATACATGAATTCTAACATCAGTTTTTACTTAAAATCAGTATGACACACATGTGAGTGTAATAATTTCTTTATTACCAATTCTTTAATCCTTTTGAGCTCCCTCATAAAAATGCACTGATGACCAACGCTGTCCTAGAAAAGCACAATTTGTCGAATGACGTCAACAATCTTCAGCTATGACATTATTCCGACCTAAAGTCACAATAAGATTCGTATGATATCAACACTGACCTCCAAATCACGGAAACAATAACCTCGTGCGCGAGAAGTGATATTACACTAGTGCACATACGATTTTTATGAACTCAGTTATGTCTCACCCTATGGGTACTAAGTTAGTACTATTTCCGGCTTAGTTCACGAGAAAATACACACGGTAATCTTAATTTCTGCATATAAAACAATGCCTTTGAGAGCAGGAAATACATTTTAAATGGTAAAATCATCATGTCTAGTGATGTTTTATATCAAATTTCATACTTTTATTGACCAAGTTTGTTATGCCTGTTTATTCACCTGAAGTCGTTGAAGGGATACGATAACGCTCATCAATTATTTGGACCCTGAAGGTAGCGTTGTTTGTTTTATAAAATGTCCGGACAGAAAAATTTAAATGTCCGGTAAGCAATATTTTAAATTGGACATTTGAGATTCCAAATCGGACATGTCCGGCGCATATGACCGTTTCCGGACCCCTGGTACTAACACAATGACTTGTCTCTGATCCGCTCCTTCCTTGCTCTACAGGGGATGCCTACCCATGATGCTGCTGGGAAGGAACTGGCTAAATCAGCTCTGAAGAAGCTCCAGAAGTTGTACGATGCTCAGGAGAAGAAATACAACGAACATCTGAAAACCTTGGAGAAAGGTGACGATAGCAGTCAGGGGGCCGCGGCAGCTCCTTGATGCCGACCTGACCCACAGCACCAGGCTCTTACCACATTGTGTCATGTGTGCTTAGAAATGTTGCAGGTGTAATATTGAATGTCAGTATGCAAGTGTAAGTCGGTCTGTAATGCTCATCATCTGGCACAGTAATATGCTTCCAAACTTTTTTGTATCCTGAACATTGTAACAAGGATGGAGTGTCTCTGTATCTACAAAAATATTTAAGTTTTTATTAGTTGATTCTCAAGCACCCAATGTCATCTCGAGAGAGTAGACAACTCATTAATAAGTCTTGGCGTGTAGTAATTTATTCACAGTGACTGCATATTGGATGTTTTTATTTGTGTGTTTACTGGGCACATGTGTAAACTTAATGTGTGGTTCTAAGATGCCCCGCAAGCGTCCACGTGCTTTAACTGTAATAGTTCAGGGCAAAACTATACTTTATTACACTACATATATACATACTTCATAACTGTGTACTATATCACAGGGGGGCACGGGTGGCCCAGTTGGGTAAGGTGCCATGATTTGCTGTGCAGAGTTGCGTTCCTTAGACAGGCCAGAAACCTATGATCGTGGGTTCGAATCCCGGTTCGCCCCGATTATGTTTCTAGGTTTGTCAGCACCATACCCATGCTCGTGGGTTTCACTGAAGTGGTAAACGTCTGAGACCTGCATCACTTCAGGCTTTCCTCCTACATTAAGCTGACATGCTGCGATATAACTTGAATACTGTTAAAAGTGGCGATAAACCCAACTCTCTCACTCACTATATCGCAGTCCTAGTGCAGTAGTACCCAGAGCCCATTCACCTCTTTAGGTTCAGTGAGGAAGTTGCGTCACCTTTTGACTCTAAATTCCAAAAGAATTTCTCTGGTCCAAGAATTTATGTATATGTCCCTTCTGAACAAGGTCAAGATTCAGATGTTGAAGTGTTCTGCCCTATTGCAGTGTGTAAAATAGCTGCTAGCCCATGGCTAGTCACATTCCGGTCAGGCTAAAGACTCAATAAAATGTCTGTTGATAAACATTTTAATGGTGATTTTTAACCCCATCATCTGGTCTGTCTGTTCATCTGTAATTTGTTTTTGGAGCATAACTTGAAAACCATAAGATTTTTCATCCAAATTTGATACATGTATTAAGCAGGGGATGAAGTGGTGCCTTTTGCTATTGTGAGGGCCAGGGGGATTTGTCATCTTCTGACGACTCTTGTTATTTTATGCACACATTCTAGTTATACAAAGTAAGGAAGTTCACCTGTTTCTGTAGATTAAAATTAGAGTAGAATTGATATCCATAAAGATTGGAGGTAGCGAAACCACTTTGTAATACTTGACTCATGATATGCAGTTTGATTTTACTTTATTGATACAGAATCGGTTTATATAGCAAGTGAAATTTGAAAGTAGCTACCGGTACTAACTACTGTATTCGACGTAATAAGCACCCAGGGCACTCTCAAAATTAGAAATACGGGGCTATTATTAGAATATATTTTTGGTGAAAAAAAAACAGAGTTGAAAGATTATAAATTTCAAGGTTTATGCACCTGAAAAGATACAAAAGAAAAGTCTGTGCGTATTATACACGACATATATTTTTCCCGAATTTAATTGCCCATCATTAAGGGTGCATATAACACATGAGTGCGTATTATACATAAATAAATATGTCTTGTGTACATTGATCAATTGGAAGGGGTGCTAATTGGGATTGTTCACTAGCAATTGTATTAGCAAATATCACCGAGGGCACTTATTAGTGTGGGGCGCTTATTACGACGAATGTGGTATTAAGGTTAGTTAGCCCACCTGGTCAGCAATATTTGATACAACTTAACACACTGCCTCTATGCCAAGATTTCATATAATTTCATTGGACAAGTATTTTTTTTAAAACTGTGTTATGATAGTGGAAGAATTCTGGGTATTACTTGCGATATTTTACTGAATGGTGTTCTATTGCACAGGATAATCACGGATGATATCAATCCTGCAATTCTATAGTTGTCTTTTGACTCAGGTATTGCAACATTCCTCAGGCTTTTTAACTTTGAGGTAGAAATGTGAATTTTGTTATAGTGGCACAAAGAAAAGTTGAGTGTTTGTACTTACAGGGATTTATCCAGTCCTCCAGACGGAGTGCCCTGGCAGGACAGTTGGGAACAATCATTATTTGGTTCAAAATTGGGATTTTAAAAACGAATTATTTTCTTCAAAGCAGGGTGTACCGATATTAACATTGCATTTTACATGTTCAATGCAATAATCTAAAAAAAACCATTAAAATCTCTTCCTCTATATTGGTCCTGTAATCAGTGAAATCCAAGTCACCTTACAAAGCCATAACATTAGTTGTTATGCATATGTTTAATTAATATTATAACACCATATTGACATGAAATCAGAAATTTTAAATTCAAATTTGGGAATATTCGCAGACATTTGCTGCGGACTTGGGGCTGAATACCAGCCTCTGACAGTCTAGTTAGAACCCTGACATGTGTCAGTGATAGATATTAACGGACACAGTCCACTCACCTGATGACTGAATACCAGCCTCTAACAGTCTAGTTAGAACCCTGACATGTGTCAGTGATAGATATTAACTGACACAGTCCACTCACCTGGTGACTGAATACCAGCCTCTAACAGTCTAGTTAGAACCCTGACATGTGTCAGTGATAGATATTAACGGACACAGTCCACTCAACTGGTGACTGAATACCAGCCTCTGACAGTCTAGTTAGAACCCTGACACGTGTCAGTGATAGATATTAACGGACACAGTCCACTCACCTGGTGACAACATGTCAGAAAAACAACAGTTTCAAATTTTGCTAGTCCCCAATTAACCTGTAACACTAGTCAAACTGGCCTAGGTTAGCCAACACTCTCTGTTCCTTGTTTCAGCTTGTGCATTGTATCATTACCTTAGCCTTATATGTTGTGTGCTTGTTCGTATTTTGAAACTGGACATTTAGGAACATGTAATGATATACCGTAGCTAGAAGTGTTTAGAAATCAGTGCAGCAACTGTAGCACATGTCAGCATGTATAGAATGATCAGAGGACAACAAAATCACAACTAGGAGGGTCCAAACCCTTTAAGAGGGGATAGTTATTAAACACCCAAAGAAATTACTGTCAACATTATAAGGGTGACGCTATTTTTTTCAAGGCATTATCATATGCAGAAGCCTGAGGTCTTCCATAAACTGCCCGACGAAGGAAGGCAGTTGAAAAGTCCAAGGGCTTCTGCAAATGATAATGCCCTGAAAAATTGTGTTACTGTTATTATAGCTAAAATGGATGGAATTTGTTATCAAATAAAAAGAAACAACAATATCGGTTTTGAAACATTTACTGCAATCAACACAAATGTCACTGACCCACTTTTACAAATATGGAAAGCGTCACAGAACAAACAAGATGATGTCACTATTGATCGTGTCGTCACCTATCCCTACCCTATGACATCACCTAACAACGGGAGTGATAATGGCCTGTCGTCAGGCAATATGAGGGCATTATGAAGTTACAGTGGCCCACTGATTTCTGATAAGATGCGGGCGGTTTAATGATAATTCTATCCATTTTAGCTATAATAGAGAACAAGTCATCGTCGGCGGAAACAGATTCCATTGGGGTTAAAAGGCAAAAGAGTGGGGAAATAATATGAATGGGTGACTGAAAATCAGTGATGACACCATGTGTTTGTGAAACCTGTTGAACTTTTCTCAAAATTTGAGCAATTAGAAAACGCAAACTATGAAAGAAACATAACTGAATATTTTTATTTAGGAAACACACAATTATGGGCGGAATATGCATGTTATTAGAAGTTCACAGATAAATAAACATATTTGTGGATGTCGTTCTTGCCGGACGGTAGAGGGGGTGTATAACTCTGGCGTCAGGTTGAGTATCCATGCTGGTCACAGCAAGGCTTGGTATTTTCTAGAATCGTGACTGTAGGATATTTTAGCGTTTTTATACATTTTTGCATAATTCCTGCAAAAGAATGAAACTGCTGACTAGTGATGTTTTATCAATTATATTTACCAATATATGAGTCTTGATACATTTTAGCTGGTTTGTATACCTTTCACGGTATCACATTTTGTTTGTTTTTGTCAATATAATAGGTTGTCCAACTATTAACTATCCATTTGCTCAACTTGCAATGTGTCATGACCTCTCTCATCTACAAAACTGAGCTCTTTGAGGGCTATTGAATTCTTCAGAAGTAAACTTTTCATTGCCCCATATTGAGATGATTTTGTATTAATGAAACCACTGTTTGTCACGAGAGCAAATGCCACATTAGAACCACCTCGAAATCACAAGTGAATTTTCACAATCTGTCAATATATGTCCATGCTAAATAGTTACTATTAGACCACAATAAATTAATTTATAAGATTTTCATCAATATAAATATAAAACATGACTGGAGGCATTTTATTTTTTATATTTATCTTTTACACATACTTATCAAGGCATCTGTGAACATTAACTGTCAGTGACTGAATTCGCATGAATTATGACTGTTTAGTAGGGCTATGAATACTCCTCAAAAGAAGTTAAGGAACACCTGATTCTTTCATACTACTATAGTTAATCTGTCATGGCATGATAGATTAACTACAGTTATAAACTCAAATAAACCACTGATTTTAGTTTGTTATAACCGTAGTTGGTTATAAGCATACATACAACATCTATACAGCAAATGGCTGGGACCAAATATTACGTTCGTAATATCCGTCAGTTCGTTATAAGCATTTTCGTTATAAACATATCTTACTGTATACTAATATAAAATAAGCAAGTGTTCTTAAACTTCTTTTGAGTAGTATATATGGTGTATTTCATCATGGAAAAGGGGAGTGGTTAAAGCGTTTGCTCGTCACGCCGAAGACCTGGGTTCGATTCCTGACATGGGTACAATGTGTGAAGCCCATTTCTGGCGTCTCTCGCCGTGATAATGCTGGAATATTGCTAAAAGCGGCATAAAACCTAACTCACTCACTCATCATGGAAAGAAGAAGTGAACAGACACAGCAATGTTGAGCTGTGGGTACAGGGGGACAGTAACATGTAAGACTGGATGTTTGGTATTTATACCAGCGGGGTGAAAATCTTATAATTAATTTATTCTGCTGCTTATGATCATGTTGTATGCTGTCTATGTAGGATTTCAGAGTTGTACATTGATGCTATATACCGGGCTCCAGATAAGCCCATATTTGGGCAAAATATAAATCATCATAACCCAATTAATTTTGAGTTTGGGGTGGTCTGGTAGCCTAGTGGTTAAAGCGTTTGCTCGTCACGCCGAAGACCCGGGTGCGATTCCCGACATGGGTACAATGTGTGAATTCCATTTCTGGTGTCCCCCGCCGTGATATTGTTGGAATATTGCTAAAAGCGGCGTAAAACCATACTCACTCACTCACTAATTTTGAGTTGTTTGCATATAAATAGATATTAAACACCCTACAGTATGACACTGTAGTCACCCAAGAGCCTTTTCATCTTGCATACCTGAATCTCTTTACTCATCTACATGTACTGATGGATGCAGGCATCATCTCGCCTAGACTCTGCTGGAGGGAATACGACACACACATGCATCACCTCGCCTAGACTCTGCTGGAGGGAATACGACACACTAGACTCTGCTGGAGGGAATACGACACACACATGCATCACCTCACCTAGACTCTGCTGGAGGGAATACGACACACTAGACTCTGCTGGAGGGAATACGACACACACATGCATCACCTCACCTAGACTCTGCTGGAGGGAATACGACACACACATGCATCACCTCACCTAGACTGCTGGAGGGAATACGACACACACATGCATCACCTCACCTAGACTCTGCTGGAGGGAATACGACACACACATGCTTCATCTCGCTTTTTGCGGGGCGGTCGGGTAGCCTAGAGGTTAAAGCGTTCACTCGTCAGTCACGCCGAGGACCCGGGTTCGATTCCCGACATGGGTGCAATGTGTGAAGCCCATTTCTGGTGTCCCCCGCCGTGATATTGCTGGAATATTGCTAAAAGCGGCGTAAAACCAAACTCACTCACTCACATCTTGCTTTTTGCAACTGACACTTATAATGAGCTGATGCAACATGAGCTCATGAACAGAAGAAAATTACGAGTTACCTGAAACAACATTTTATGTACAATTATTTTTTAAAATGTCTACTCATTGTGTTAAAAAAATGGGTCCAAGGAAGTAGAGTATATTCAGTACCCAATGTGACTGGTAACAGAGTTGATGCTCAGTGACTCAGAACACTGTCTGGAGCCCGGTATACAGCCATGATGTGGGGGAGGTGACACTCCCCTCGTCTTCTACCACCAACTTTTTATGTAACCATTATTAGCACCAAGTGGAAGTAACTGAAAATAAACACATCACAGAACATGATGTTTCGTCTTATTTGTTTAATTTTCTGTATATGAAATCCACTAGACTACAGAGGCGGTCCCACTTCAAGTGAAGACCATCAGCATGGTTATGACTGAGGATTCAGACGAACCTGGGATTCTAACACAATCATTGGATTCTAGCTTGACTAAGGGGCGCAACTCTGCTCAGCAACTGGTGGCACCTTGCCAAGCCAGGGGGCCAGAAGATGTACATCATGTATATTGGACACTGAACAAACTAAATGATGCCTTAAGTTCACAGCACACACATAAAAATGTGGCGAATGCAAATGGTCCTCACATTATTATCACTGTAATGTCTGGCCCAGACTCCATTATTTACAGACAAGCATCATATAAGGAAGAGAATTTATGGATGTCAACTTATTTATTATGAGGAACACATCCTTTCAGAGTATATAACTCTATTTCAGAGTATGTAACTCCATCATCGTTGTGTTCCTCATAATAAAGACGTTGACATCCATAAAATCTCTTCTTTATGTGTGTTTACCCCTGAAGATCCGGGGTAGAATAGGTCTTCACAACCCATGCTTGTCGTAAAAGCCTACTAACGGATCGGGTGGTCAGGCTCGCTGACTTGGTTGATGCAGGTCATGATCCCAACTGAGTGGATCGATGCTCATGATTTCAATCACTGGATTGTCTGGTCCAGACTCGATTATTTACAGACCGCCATCATATAGCTGGAATATTGCTGAGTGCAGGGTTAAACAACAAACCAAACAACCTTATGTGTGTCACTTCTTAATTCCATTCAAAGACTTGAAGCCTCATATCTGGAATGTTCCTGTGTGGAGTTAAACAACAAACAAAATATTACCAGTAACGCATGAATCGTTATTAAACTGTTATACAAGGTAGTATAATTATGTCAATATGTCAAGCCTGCATGAACTATTTATGTATGTAACTTAATGCCCTAATTTCCAGTGTAAAATGTTCTGCAAATTATCGAGTGTTCGTCGCCCTAGCATTACGTAAATGTCACTCCTATTTTATATACACCAGCAATTTGGCAATTTAGGAAATTTGATTTATGTCGTTCAAAGACCACTGTGTATGTCTGAATGTTTACTACGCAGATCAACCTTGCAGTTAACAAATACCGAAGTTATACAGGGACAACGTCTCAGTGTAATACCTGGCACTAAACACCGCGTCTACACCAAGTCTAGACCACGTCGGGGGGCACGGGGGGCCCAGTCGTCTAAGGCGCCGCGATTCGCTGTGCAGAGTTGCGTCCCTTGGGCATGCCAGAAACCTATGATTGTTGGTTCGAATCCCAGTTCGCCCCGATTATGTTTCTAGGTTTGTCAGCAGCATACCCATGCTCGTGGGTTTCAACAAAGTGGTAAACGTCTGAGACCTGCATCACTTCAGGCTTTCCTCCCACATTAAGCTGACACGCCGTGATATAACTGGAATACTGTTGAAAGCGGCGTTAAACCCAACCCACTCACTCACTCTAGACCACGTCGATACCCAGGCTGGCAATAGGCACAATGCGATGGTGCATGTTTTGCTTGTTTCTGGTTTTAAGACAGCACTCGGTAATATCCCAGCTATACGACGGCGGTCTGGGAATAACCGAGTCTGGACTAGATAATTCAGTGATTGGCATCATGAGCATCGATCTACAAAAGTGGGATACAATGACTTGCAATCAACCAAGTCAAGGGGCCTGATCACCAGATCAAATTAGTCGCCTCTTACGACAAGCAATTGTTGCCTGGAACCTTAGTTTCTGACCTGGAATCCCTACGCGTGCGTGGATCATTTTGAATGGTGAACGCTTTCTACAAACATTTCCGTCACATCAGACACACATTGTACATATTTCTTTAATATTATATTTCCTGTACCAACTCTACATTTCTACATTGTCAACATGTAGACGATCCATCTCACTTTTTAAACTCTTGTTACTCTGTTTCCCATCTGGACGAAGATTTCTCATTCCGAAAGTAAAATCTAAACGACCCATGCCCCCTTTTATTCCAGTTAGCATATCACTTTTAAACAAATGTAAATCCTAGTGTTTTTAAGTCATTTAACCCAATATCTACAGTAGCACTTGAATCGTTAACCTTTAAGACTTGTAATGCGCTTAATACATGTTCCACGTTACGTCTATGTTCTAAAGGTGTATTTGTATTCGTTTAATCCCCTCTATGTATTATGTAACATGTGTGACACTCTAATATATAAAGAATTCCTTACAGGCAATGAGGCTTTATCTTATATTATCTTATCTTATCTTATAATCAGAAACGATGTCATGTATATGTTCATATCCACGTAGATGAGGTATGTAATGGCCAGATTGATGATAATATTCGTGGTAACAACTGAATTAGCTCAGTATACTCAACTAAAAAAGTTCCCAGGGTATACTTATTCATCATATTGTGACTCTGTTAGAAGAACATCAGTATTCCCTTTGTCTTTGAACGTTTCAATTGTTCTTTATGGGCTGAAAATGGACTCATACTATTTCTAAAGATTTTTACACAATTTCAAATTCTGCATGATAATTTGTGTGTTCTTTAAGCAGTTACAGTGAAATGTTTGGTAATTCGTGTGTTCTTTACACGAGTGATAGTGAAGTGTTTGGTAATTCGTGTGTTCTTTACACGAGTGATAGTGAAATGTTTGGTAATTCGTGTGTTCTTTACTCGAGTGATAGTGAATTGTTTGGTAATTCATTTGGTGATATGTTTGGTAATCTTACTGCGGGTAATTCGTGTTCTTTACAATGAAATATTTGGTTATTTTAATAAGTCATTCGGACATCAGGCATGTACCGCTGTTTGAAAGAGAAACTAGATTTGAAGTGGGATATATTTTTCTTACCCCAACACGCACTAATACGGCATTATACTACACCAGTCTGTCTTAACTATCGGTTCGTTGTTTACACAGGAGGCTGAGCAATAGGTGAAGCCATAATAATGAACCAGAGACCATAAAATAGATTGTATGGTCCCTGAATGTCATGATAGTCATATGCCACCACTTATGGCTTTCTTTCCACATCAACCTGACAATGCGCGATACTGTTGAAAGCGGCGTTAAATTCTAGCGTCACTACTCTTTATTTCCAGCGAACTGACAAATGTCTACAACCACCACACCGTCACGAATACACTTCCCGGTATATAAACTACGGATAGGCGAGGTGAGGAGTGAATATATTATTTGGAAATGATTCCATGTCATTTGATTGGCTGATAATAGAATGGGCGGGGCTTGTTTTGCATTTTGCGCTGAATGGTTTCACTGATTTAGTATCGTCTACTTTGTGTGTGTGTGTCAATGTATAAATAAGTACTCTATGAAGTTATTCTTGTAGACTTATTTACTTAAGAATTGTCTTCAATATGTTTTTACGTTTATAGTGTCAGTGAGTGAATATTACGCCGCTTTAAGCAATATTCCAGCAATGTCACGGCGGGAGACACCAGAAATGGGCTTCACACATTGTACCCATGTCGGGAATCGAACCCAGGTCTTCGGCGTGACGGGCGAACGCTTTAACCAGTAGGCCACCCCACCGCCCTGTAAATGATTAAATAAGTAGTCTGCGAAGTTATTATTGTAGACCTATTTATAAGAATTTCTTCAGTTTGTTTTTGCGTTTATAGAGGTAAAAACCTGCAGCACGCTTTGGGTAAACCCACTGCGCAGTTTTTACGTTCATACCTATGACCGCAGTTCTCAAGTGAGTGGGTTTATGCCGTTTTTAGCTGTATTATAGCCTATAACGGCGGGGTCATCAATGAACTTCAGAAAGTGTACCGTGTTCACGGGTGTTGGGAATCGAACCCGGGTCCTCTGCGTGACGAGCGAACGCTTTGACCACTTGACTACGACCGGGCCGCTTCCAAGATAAATGAATGACGAGTGTATCACGATTAATCTGTTTAAAACGTGCTTAGCAGATTTGCCAAAGTGGATCTTCAATTTTCTCTGATTCTATGACACGTGTTCAGCTCTATAAGTCTAGTTCCAGAACTGTGATTCAAATGTAAACGTTCGGGGTAAATAATAAAAAATGAACAAGAAATCAGTTGCTACAGCGATAACATACATGTAGTAACTCTTTCAAATATATAACCCATGTCGGTATGCATGGTGATTCTGTTAAGACAATCTGGACCCTTAACTTCAGTTCTTTCAGGATGGTATGCACTGTCACTACATACACAAGGAACAACCCCGTGCTGTCACTGCTGTCGAGTTCAGTTACAGCAGCGTGGCGACGCTATGTCAGACATATGTGATCGTGACATACACGTACTCAACGGCAGGGGACCCACAACGACCTCGTGCACTGCTCATTAGATCATGACTTGTAACCACTGCCAACAACCCAGTCTGATCACTTACAGACCTACAGCTACCAGACGGCATAGCGACATGCCAGCATACGTTCAACCATAGGTAAGTGCCTGTTATCACACTGTCCGGCACAGTTTTGGCCCCCTCTGTCCACCAGTATTATCAGCGGTCAAACTTATGTAAGTCTCAACCCCGATTTGCTCACAGTTAAGCAGTAAACGGATTTGGGGATTAAGCTATAGTCTGTTTCACAATAACTCCAGGACTATACTGAAATTTGAATAATTAGTTCAAGTATTAACGACAAGTTTAATGTAAATATTGTAAACATGTGTAAATAAGTCTTGTTCTATTCTTTGATTTTCTATTGGAAGAGCTGTCTTGATTTCGTTAAACTTAGGTGCAAATATCGGATGGTATGGTTTATTTTGTTTCACGTGATCTGTGGTACCCATAGAAACGTAAAACAAATAGGACTAAAGTATTGTGTTGAAACAACAAATGCTTTTCGAAATTGTAAACATTTTAACTAATTTCCCTCATATATTAAACAATAAATCATTACATTGCGACTATGACGTTAAGACAAGCAAGTTGCGTTTTCAAATTGTGTGAGTATACATAAGACTTCTCTTCGTAACAATGCTTGCATTATGTTTACTTCGTTTTTTCGTCAAGGCTTGTTGTCCCCGCGGGGATTTCGGGGATGAAAAGTTTCACAGCACCCCTTGCGTGACTTAATGACTTAATGATTAACGTCGTTACAATATGCATAGGACCGCCTCCGTGGTCAAGTGGTAGAGCGGAAGGTCGGGGCTTCGATCCTCGGCCGCGTCATACCAAAATACGTTAAAAGATGGTACTTGTTGTTACCCTGCACACACACGCAGATACACACTCACACACACGCGTGCATGCAGGTCGCCATATAAGTGCAATAATCTTGGACGCGACGTTAAACCCCATTTCATATCACTTCACCTCACCAACAATATGTCTTGTGTTATCGTGCCTGGATGGCGCGGATCGTTGCCTGTGGAGTGAGTGAGTTGGGTTTAACTCCGCTTTTAACAGTATTCCAGTTATATCACGGCGTCGTTGCCTGTGGAGTCAACTTTTAGTTTGTCCAGCTCAGACTCGTGTCAGACTTGTTTACCTGATATAGCCGAAACCTTGCTAACTGCGTCATACAATAACATTCACTCCAAAGTCTGCACTAGTGTTTTTCTTTCTGTGGACAGTCAAGTGTTTAGTCCATAAAGGGGATAATGGTTGTCTGGTTCATGGACGTGCTGTACAATACATACACGTAAAACATTTAACGGATTAATATATTTCATATTACTACTACTTAATATATCACTTCCTTATATTACTTCCTAACATTGCTTGCTATAACGATAAGGAAAGAGTGAGTAATGTTTCACGCCGCACGTGCACTCTTGGATTAATGCTATCGTGCGAAAAGGAAATACAGTTAATACATTGTACATTTGTAAGACGAATTAGTCTTGGATAACAACTTCAGTAAAAATAAAGCTGTTATCCATAAATTGTGTTTACTTAATAACTTTAAGGTAAACCATTTCACATAAATATTATTTCATATTGTCCGTAAAATAGCACTGTTGTATAATAAATATATAACATATGTGACGTCAGCTATACTGTTGAGATGGGTTCACTACAATGTTAATTACAATATTTCACTGACACCCTCTTCGTCAGGTTTCCTTCACGTATAATGGGCGACTTTGGTGGACAATATGGCATTAAGGATTAATCACATCACTTCTTTGGTTGATCAACAGGGTATTCAGCGATGGAGCCATGTTGTGTAACGGCGCTGCTCACTCAGGGTGATCAGAGTGCCGGATTCGGGGGTTAGGTAATACTTGTAACCCAGGCGACCGTCGCGATCCAGTCACAAACACGAGCAGACGTCAACCAGCAGTCGGCCATGGCGGACCACAGAAAACTCGAAGTGAGAGAAAAGTTTAAGAATCGTCATGAATTGAAAGGAAATTCTGGATACATATCATCCATAGTATCCAAACTATCATTCCACGTGGTCGTCAACAAGGTCGGACCGTTTGTGTTCTTTATTGTCTTGTTTGGTGTTTTCTACTGGGGAGTAACGGAAGCGCTGCCATTCCTCTACAGCGAATGGGATGCCGTGTATTTGATAATGAATCAAATCTTATCCTGTGTTATTTCGTTTGAAATGATGATAAACTGGTTCTGTATAAGGTATGTGGATTCGCACTACAACCCCTTCGTTCATGGGACCGAGCCTACGAATAAAACCGGAAGTGGACCCTGTATACCAGTCGAGCAAGGAGCCGACCACCAGGTCACTGACTTTCACCGGAGTGAAAAGGACATTAATTCCAATCAGACTAAATCGAACGGAGTCACCAAAAGAAAAAAAGTATACCGAATGTTTGTCGCAACCACGTTGCCGGACAAAGACGGTCACTATGAACGTGAATCATATGACTATTGGTCCTGGTCACCGTGTGTCGTCTGTAGGCGTCCTAGGCCGCCACGATGCCACCATTGCGTTCTGTGTCAGAGGTGTGTTCTGAAGAGAGATCATCATTGTTTTTTTGCCGGATCTTGTGTCGGGGTCAACAATCAGAGACATTTTATAGTATTTCTCTTCTGGACTTTTTTCGGTTGTTTTTATGCTTTTATTCATATGGCGCCTTATGCATACATTGAAATCCTTCCAAACATAGCCTATGTTGACCTTATACCCCCTGTCTCACTCGTGCGTGCATTATTCGGATACCAGCACTATATGATTAGCTTCCTAACTTTCCTGGGATGGTCGCTGACGTATTTTGTAGTCCTCTCTGGAACCCATCTCGTGGATTCTTTCAGTATTTTGTTGACGTCGCAGACGACATTTGAACAGGCCAATGATATCAACGTGACCGACTTTCGGACCAATCTGGAACGTATACGTGGCGTGTTTGGAGACAACTGGGTCCTCAACTTCATTTTTCCGTGTCATCGGATGTTTAAACCAGCAGACGATCCCGTGCTTTGGTCATCTATCAGAATGTGAATATCCTCGTCTTAAAGAAGCGGACTGGAAACATATGTTCAATCCAAATCCATGCGATATTTACCAGTAATGTTATAACCGCGTGTGTATCACAAAAGTGAGTGAGTGAGTCGAGTTTAGCGCCGCTTTGAACAGCATAGAAAAATAATCGAGGCGAACCGGGATTCGAACCCACAATCATAGGTCCGCAAGGGACGCAACCCTGCGTGCATCACAAACGTAAATGAAATAAACAATAACCCATGTCAGTGTTTATAATATGCGTGACAATGTTTCTTTTAATATCAAAAGAACGACCCGGATTAATAATAGTGAGTATGGTTTTACGCCGCCAGCAATGTCACGGCAGGGGACTTCATAAAGATAGTTCACACATTGTACCCATATGGCATTGGCTGCCATAATTATTCTCGTAACATGAACAGAAGAATTAGAGAGAGGGTTAAATACAAGCACGACATCCGATAGTAAATCCATCATATGAGCTGCTGAACTGACTTAACTTTGGTCGGAGTGTATTTTCAAAACTTCAATGTTTCTATGTTGAAACAGACTTAATTTATTGTAATTGTAAGTCTTATATTACACTGAGGGGCAAAAGAACGTATATCTATTTTATTTCTTAATGTTATTGAAAATCGAAAGAACTGTTGTTAAATTTGTTTATGTCTACTTAACCATCACTCATTCCTGCAATAGTTTGTGAGTGAGTGAGTGAGTTGGGTTTAACGCCGCTTTTAGCATTATTCCAGTCATATCACGGCGTGTCAGCTTAATGTGGGAGGAAAGCCCGAAGTAATGCAGGTCTCAGACGTTTTCCACTTCGGTGAAACCCACGAGCACGGGTATGGTGCTGACAAACCTAGAAACATAATTTGGGCGAACCGGGATTTGAACCCACAATCATAGGTTTCTGGCATTCCCAAGGGACGCAACTCTGCACAGAAATGATGTAAATTTGTGCCGAAAAAAGCAATTTATTGATTTTCAAAGATAATATGTCGAAGATACCCGCCAGCATTGTGTATTATGCGAAAAAAAATGGATTAATTTTTAAAAACTTTAAAAATAAAGTTATATTTTAAAATTATGTAGAAGTATTCATTGGGGGCTGACACAGCGCCATTAAGTTAATATTTCGGTCAAATACCGCTAACTTATGATATTTTCAACTGAAAGTCAAACATATGTTAAAATCACGGACCTATGTATGTATGTATGTATGTATATAGGTCCGTGGTTAAAATAAACTTGGGAGTATCGTTTCTTTTGCTCCCCGGTTAAATGATATTGTACCACCGTCGGTTGTGATTTGAGAATAAAAAATGATTGAATGGCCAGACATTTTATTTTGGAATCTCACATTGATACCATCAGATCTAGTGTTGAATCTGCATGGATATGAAGAATTCATACATTTTGTTAGATGTTGTGTCTCTAATTTTGTTACGAGAGAAAAAACACAACAAACAAAATTTAACAATTATTTTATAATATAGAGTGTTATGTTCTGCTTGGCTTTCGCATAGATTATTTTATCCTTTCCTCCGTAGAAATGACAAATATGCACATGGAAAAAGTTAAGCATCACCCCTTTTATCACCTCACGAAAAGGAAGTCAACAGTTTGTGTACGGGGCAGACACGATAAAGGGAGACAATATGCGGGGAGGTAACTCTTGCAAGACAATTATTCCGTCAAAGTGTTACGTTCACTGCAGTGAAATATCAAGTGTTATGTTCACTGCAATGAAGATACCACTTTTCTCAACTTCAGAAGACTCAGGTGAGGTGAGGTGAAATTCGGTTTAACGTCGCGTCCAAGATTATTGCACTTATATAGCGACGTGCATGCACGTGTGTGTGTGTGTGGCTGCTTGTACTAGTCCGGACTGATGCCGATTTATAGTGCTAGCTCACTGAGATACCATGCCGCAGTTTAACATGAATACCCCACTCAGACACAGTATACTGACTCCGAGCCGACCAGTCCTTGTTTTAGCCCCTTAATGCCGAGCGCCAGACAGGGTAACAACAAGTACCATATTCGGGAAGACTCAGTCTCTCACACTGAAGTGCATTATCAGTCTTGAACTTCCATGTATCTCTTTTTAAAAACTATGTATGACATTGATCTCATCATTTTGCCACGGATACCTGATCGAACGGTCGTACAAGAACGCAGTGTTATATAAGGACTTGGTTATATCATGGTGTTATTTTAAGCCGCACTCGGCAATATTCCAAGCGTCGGAGCCTCGGAGTTTTCAAACTTTTACCGACGTGTGTCGATACATTTGATGTCAAGACACAAGTGAGGGAGATTATATATGAATGATTAAATTTTGAAATAACCGGATCACCGACACATCCGGGTAATCTTCGAGCGTGTCCAGCAATAATTGCTGTAACCCGTCATGAATGTCATCATCGTATTGAGGTGAATGGTCAGGATGTGCAAATGTCAAAGAGAAACCTATTTAGAAAAGGGTTGTTCAGGAGACCTTTGGATAACTGTGTTATCATTATAGTTTAAATCAAAATAATATATATTTCACTTTGTGTGAGTTCACTGGAGTATGAACCTTCATAGAGTGAGGGCCAAACTGTATGAACGTCTGGGTAGGGGATTCATGTAAACTGATGCATGGTATCTCAGTGGGCTAGCACTATAAAATAGGCATCAGTCCGGACAAGTACAAGCAACCACACACGCACACACGTCCCTGCACATATCTTTATAAGTACCAAAAGACGTTAAAAGATGGTACTTGTTGTTACCCTGTCTGGCGCTCGGCATTAAGGGGATAAAACAAGGACTGGTGGGCTCGGAGTCAGTATACTATGTCTGAATGGGGTATTCATGGTAAACTGCGGCATGGTATTTAAGTGGGTTGGCACTATAAAACTGCTAGTAGTCAGAATGTGTGCGTATACGCATACAGCCATATAAGTGCAATAATATTGAACGGGTCAAAGAGGGTGAAACACTGAACTTCATGTAACATATATAGAGATTATAATACGAGCATGTGTGTCATACTGATTTCATGAAACGAGTGTCAAAATTCTTGTATTTTCCAAGCGAGAGCGTGGGTAATACATGAATTCTAACATGAGTTTTTACTTAAAATCAGTATGACACACATGTGAGTGTAATAATTTCTTTATTACCAATTCTTTAATCCTTTTGAGCTCCCTCATAAAAATGCACTGATCACCAACATACTGTGTCTGAGTGGGGTATTCATGTTAAACTGCGGCATGGTATATCATGCACTATCAATCGGCATCAGTCCGGACCAGTACAAGCAGCCACACACACACGTGCATGCACGTCGCTATATAAGTGCAATAATCTTGGACGCGACGTTAAACCCCATTTCTCCTGATTGGACTGCGGTGCAGATTTTGCGTGATCGAATCCTGCTGGCCATAGAACCTAAATGATGGGGGAAAAAGAAGTCTCTTCACTGCCAAGTGGTGTTAAACGAAACGAACGAATTAACGCACGCACGCGCGCACCACACACAGAGAGGTGCATGCATGTCTATATATAAGTTCAATAATCAAGAACATGACCCCATTTTACCCACCTCACCTTGAACTCTTTAAACCGCGTGGCTTCCCAGGACCTGCGATTACATCAGTCACGGGTGATTTAAAGTTTACACACTGAAAAGTTAAACTGAAAATAACCAATCCGACCTTACATTAGTTTCTGTACAACAGGTATACTCACCCAAGCTAAAAAAATGGCTCAGTACTCACTGAACAGACATTTCGAAATGCAATCATTATCTGAATGTTTACAACCAGAGGGAGAAAGGCGATTGTGCCCCTCTTCCTTTGTAGCCACCATGGGGGCACGGGTAGCCCAGTCGTCTAAGGCGCCGCGATTCGCTGTGCAGAGTTGCATCCCTTGGGCACGCCAGAAACCTATGATTGTGGGTCCCGGTTCGCCCCGATTAAGTATCTAGGTTTGTCAGCACCATGCCCGTGCTCGTGGGTTTCACCGAAGTGGTAAACGTCTTAGACCTGCATCACTTGGGGCTTTCCTTCCACATTAAGCTGACACCCGTGATATAACTGGAATAATGTTAAAAGCGGTGTTAAACCCAACTCACTCACTCACTAGTAGGCATCATAAAAAAACATAAGTGAAAAAGTTAATGTTTGTATTTCAAAGTCAGCAACGTTCCAGCAGTCCAGCAGAGACCATATTTTATGGTTTGGTAACTGGCCCACCCATGACCCAATCAGAATTTCACCCGAGTGCCTTTGATATCAAATATATCAATACGAGTTGATAAAAGTGGAAAGACTGAGGCTTGCTGAGGAGTTTTTCCACTGTTATCAACGAGTGTTGATATATTTGATATCAAAAGACAGGAGGGTGAGATTATATTTATGATCCAACATCACTTTTTCAGTTTGTAGACAGTAATAAGCAGTGTCTAAGTGTGCACCCTGGTCTGCAAAGCATTGTGATGCAATTTCATTGCAGCAATATCTACAGTGTAGATATCGCTTGACCTCACCCAAGCAATATCTCGTGTGGGAGCCAGTTTTGGATGATAAATGACGTTCCACAAAGTAAATTAGTGTTCTTTCAAGTTCAGAGTACTGGAGCCCAATCTCATCACCAAAACAGTGGAGTCCACTAAGATCTGATATCAATGAGATTGAGTTGCGCCCTAAGAGGGATTTCCGCAACTGAATCCCTACTGAACTCCACATAAAAATTGGAGATTATTAATTTATACTTGTAGTCTCCAATATGTGTAACATCATGAGAAACTGGATAAAAACAAAAGAAGGCACCATTATCTTTTCACATGTTTTTTTTATATAATGTGAACAATATTTTCATACAAAGATATAACATTGCCATTAGGAATGTGCAAAATACCTGTCAAAAAATGTATATTACAGAATGTGTTTTGTTACAAGTGCATGCTGATCTGACTGAACAGCTGGGTCAGTCAGGTGAAACGGATTAGACTAAGATGGTACCACATCAAAATGTCCTCAAGTTTGTCTGGCAAAAAACGCAACATACATATGATAAACGTTACGTTTTACATTTATTAATACCAATTTTATTACTGTAGCATGAACACATGTTTTTGCCAGGTGACACAATACACTACACTGTTTTTGCTAAGCCAGCAGCCGTTTTTGCTAAGCCAGCAGCCGTTTTCGCTAAGCCCGCAGCCATTTTCGCCAGTTTGGTGCCGTTTTGATGCGGTGCTGTCTTAGCTGTAACCAAGGTTACACACTGTTTTGAAAGTTTTCATTTATGTAACATTGTGCCATCATTACTTTGGTGTAAGACCAGTTTGTGACTTAAACTGTAGTGGTGTGTCTCTTCTGTGAAACCCACCAGCCAGAACTATTCTGGAAGATAAGGGTGAGGTGAAAAGTGGTTTAATGTCACTTCAAGGTTATGTCACTCATATAGACGGCATGTGTGTGAGGGTGTGAGCCCATGGAAATACCATGCCGCAGTTCAACATGGACATCCCACTCAGACACAGCATACTGACTAGAGCCGACCAGTCCTTGTTTGATACCCTTATGTGCCAGGCAGGGTAACAACAAGTACATCTTTTAACGTCTTTTGGTAATGTGCATCTGGGATCAAACCATGAACCTTCTGCACTCAATTTACTACACCTCGGAGTTGTTAATAGGCCAATGTCTGTTCAACTTGGTTGGTCAGTTGGTTTGTTGTTTAACACCGCACTCAGCAATATTCCAGCTATATGATGGCGGTCTGTAAATAATTGGGTCTGGACCAGACAATCTAGTAATTAATATCATGAGCATCGATCAAGACAATTGGGATCGATGACATGCATCAACCAAGTCAGCGAGCCTGACCACAGGATCCCGTATGTCGCCTCTTACGGCAAGCATGGGTTGCTGAAGACCTATTCTACAACGGATCTTCACGGGACAAGAAAAGGCCAAGGAGAAGGCCAAGGAGCGTAAGAAGGTCGAATGTGGGATTCTAACTATAAGCCTACTATGGCATGGTTAGGGGAGGCAACTCTGCACATTAAATTGCTGCACTTTTGACAATAGGGCCAATCCTGACCATCATGTTTAACAATACAAATATTATGTTGTTGCAAATAACACGTTTACAAATAATAATAAATAAATGATGCACACATGACACCTTTGATTGAACACATCAGAAAGACATTTCATTGATGGTGACCTTGACATAATGAACTGTACATAACTATTACACATTACAAAAACAGTTGATAACCATAACAACAATAGCACATTGTTTTCTCAAAATAATAAAAATATCCCAGAATGCATCAGCACCATACCATCCAGCAATGGACAAAAGAAAAAGAGATTGCAATACTTCATTTCCACAAAAATGTTTTGTTTTGTTTGATTGTTTGTTGTTTAACGCTGTACTTGGCAATATTCCAGCTATATGACGGCAGTCTGTAAATAATCGAGTCTGGACAAGACAATCCAGTGATTGACATCATGAGCACTCATCCACACAATTGGGATATGATGACATGCATGAACCAAGTCAGCGAGCTTGACCACCCATCCTGGTAGTCGCCTCTTACGACAAGCATGGGTTGCTGACAATCTCATTAAAATCAGATCTTAGTCCTCCCTTCCGCTAAACAAAGCGAGAACTAAGGTCTGATTTTAATGAGATTAGGGTTGCTGAAGACCTATTCTACCCAGATCCAACAAAAAGAATAGTAGAAAACCTCGAATATCCTGAAGTCTTTGATAGGCATCTAGAAGTTGGAAGAACATGAATACATTCATTAAAAATGTCAGGTGTTGTTGAATATTCTGCTTATTTTCCCCGGAGTTGTATAATACACACTAGACAATATTTACTTTGCCATGGGTTTTACAAAAAGTGAATAAATAATCACTGGCTATGAGTCTGAAAATCAGTGTTAGTCACGATATGGCTGAAATATTGCCGATGTGACTTTAAATCTTAGCTCACTCACTCACTCACTCACATCCCAGTGTAAGCTTAAATAAAGATGAACTATGATTGTTTCTGGGTAAAATATTGTGATTGAGTTATACCTCAATTTTCAAAAATATCTTTTCATGAATAATTAAAAATGATTAATGCTTATGCAAGAATGCAAATATATCTACATGTATAAATAATCTGATTTCCTTGGTTGACAATGTAATCTGTGGTTTATGCTGTAATATCAATATGATCATCACAGTAGCTGTGGTTTTGGCATACAAATTTACAAAATTTCACATTAAACAAGGACTTTTAAATACGTTTTTTTGCAAGTCATTGCACAAGCCCCATAACCCCTGGAGAAAAAGGTGGGAAAGGTCAAGTTCGACTGCCAACGTGGTTGGAGGGTCAAGGTCGACCCACCTGGTGAGTTTCAAGTCAGTATGACAATTTTCATTTTTGATCTTAAATACGTTTTTGCAAGTCAAGTCAGACCTGAAATGAGCCGCATTAACCCCTGGAGAAAAAGGTGGGTAAGGTCAAGTTCGACTGCCAACGTGGTTGGAGGGTCAAGGTCGACCCGCCTGGCGAGTTTAAAGTCCACATGACAATTTTCATTTTTGATCGTAGATGAAACAATGGGCATTAGACTTGGGTGTTTTACCGACCAAAAAATGAAAATTGTCAGACAGGTCTCAGTCCTTGCCAAACGAAGTTTGAGGTCACCGGACCAGCCCTTAGCTGCTCATTTTTTTTCTTTTTGACTGAAGACAGTCTCAACAGTCTCTGTTCCTGGTGTAGATGTGTACTAGTCATTTAGTTTTGCACCTCCATTTTTACAGACACCTTGACACCATGTGTCAACCTAGCATGTGTTTATTGTGACTCTTGTGTCGTGTGCGTAATCCCCCCAACTCTTCCTGGACCCGTCCCTTGGCATGAGACAGCCACGTGTTGCTGCATGTCAGGGACTGTGAGAGGCGGGAATGTATGGTTGTCTAGGGAACTCTGTGTGTCTGGAACACAGCCTCCTACAGCACTCGGACGAAGTTCGCAGGGAAGATGCCGACCTTGTCCTGCAGACTTCCCTCCCACCAGTCAAACTGGGAGTCCGTCCTTGTCAAAATCTCTATCCTGTCTCCTGCAACAAACATCCGAATAGTCGGCACTTGTTCCACAGGGATAGACACAGCCACTAGTCTGTTAGTCCGAGACTAGTAACAATCTAGATGAACCAGTTGTTTTACCCCCAAATCTAGTTATTTTACATAACTCACTAGTCCGAAGTCACATGTGGACTAGTTAGATATGACCAATGGCAGGGTTTTACCTTGATTCACAAAACTTGGGGGCCCATGGAACATTTAACAATTAATTTCAAGGGTCTCTACATGAAATATGAGGGACTTGTAAATTAATGAAATGGTGTACTTTACTGTCCTGAAAGATTTGATAATTACTGACCATAATTACAGGACCTATGTGTTGTCAAGAATTTGGTAAAATGAATATCATTGTGCATCCCTTTGGATGCAATATGTTTTTTCTCTGCGTCCATTCTATACATTTTTACGTACATTTCTGCATCATGTCAAACTCTGCAATGGGGTCTACCCTGTTTTCAGTGTCATTATTTAACAATACAACTAAACATTTCTGACCCCACTGTCAACTACTCGGGTGGCACGGGTGGCCCAGTCGTCTAAGGTGCCATGATTCACTGTGCAGAGTTGCGTCCCTTAGGCACGCCAGAAACCTATGATTGTGGGTTCGAATCACGGTTCGCCCCGATTATGTTTCTAGGTTTGTCAGCACCATACCCGTGCTCGTGGGTTTCACCGAAGTGGTAAACGTCTGAGACCTGCATCACTTCGGGCTTTCCTCCCACATTAAGCTGACACGCCGCAATATAACTGGAAAACTGTTAAAAGCGGCATAAAACCCAACTCACTCACTCACCACTAAAATACTCAAAAAAAGTTGAGGGCCATCCAATACACTGGATGTATATGTGCGCTGGATTCAATATGCATAAAACATTGTGAAAATTAAATGCAGTACTTCTACAATAACGTATGTTACAAAAAATACAGAAACAAGTATTTGTCACAGAGTGACGAAATATCCCCCGCCATATACACCATAGTACCAAATATGAAGACAATCCAGCGATTAGTTCTTGAGATATTGTGGCAACACCGTTTTCCAACTCCAAAAACAGATTTGCCTGCTGTGACCTTGAAAATGGGTCAAGGTCACCAAATCTGACAGGTGTATGCGGTGTCTGTATATACACTATAGTTCCAAATATGAAGACAATCCAGCGATTAGTTCTTGAGATATCGCGGCAACACCGTTTTCTAACTCCAAAAGCAGATTTGCCTGCTGTGACCTTGAAAATGGGGTCAAGGTCACCAAAACCGACTGGTGTCTGTGGAGTCTGTATATACACTATAGTTCCAAATATGAAGACAATCCAGTGTTTAGTTCTTGAGATATCGCGGCAACACCGTTTTCCAACTCCAAAAGCAGATTTGCCTGCTGTGACCTTGAAAATGGGGTCAAGGTCACCAAAACCGACTGGTGTCTGCAGTGTCTGTATATACACTATAGTTCCAAATATGAAGACAATCCAGTCTTTAGTTCTTGAGATATCGCGGCAACACCGTTTTCCAACTCTAAAAGCAGATTTGTCTGCTGTGACCTTGAAAATGGGATCAAGGTCACCAAAACCGACTGGTGTCTGCGGAGTCTGTATATACACCATAGTTCCAAATATGAAGACAATCCAGTGTTTAGTTCTTGAGATATCGCGGCAACACCGTTTTCCAACTCTAAAAGCAGATTTGTCTGCTGTGACCTTGAAAATGGGATCAAGGTCACCAAAACCGACTGGTGTCTGCGGAGTCTGTATATACACCATAGTTCCAAATATGAAGACAATCCAGTGTTTAGTTCTTGAGATATCGCGGCAACACCGTTTTCCAACTCCAAAAGCAGATATGCCTGCTGTGACCTTTAAAATGGGGTCAAGGTCACCAAAACTGACTGGTGTCTGCGGAGTCTGTATATACACCATAGTTCCAAATATGAAGACAATCCAGTGTTTAGTTCTTGAGATATCGCGGCAACAAACAGGTGGGACGTACGGACGGACGTACGGACGGTCGTGAATACTATATCCCCCGCTTCGCGCTTTCGCGCGGCGGGGGATAAAAAAGATCCCATAGTGATATCTCTGATATTAACTTAAGTACAAGTACTTAAAAACGTAATCTCATTAAAATTAGATCTTAGTTTTCGCTACAGCTAAACAAAGATCTGCGGACATCCAATTACGTGTTACATAAGAACGATCTTTCATCTGACCAATTAGAGCATCGCTTACCAGATCATGAAAGTGACAGTCGGAATGTGTGTTCTAATCATGCAACCTCGAAAATTTATCACGGGGTATTCCAAATGAAGTTACAGGCTTTATCATGTTTATGATGGAAACCATACAATCTAGGCCATCTATTAGCAAGTCCAGAATATTCTTTTGTTCAGGTTTCAAAATTATAATCGAGAACTTGTCAAAATACGTTTCAAAGCGTAGTCGCCAGTTTGAAGCTCGTGCCGTAAAACATGAGAAAGTTACCTTTTGATTGGCTAATGTTGACTTCTTGTCAGTTTTTCCATTGGTCTGTTAAAGTTCGCGAGAGGTCGGTCTTACGTGACCTGCAATTGGATGTCCTCAGATCTTTGATGAGCGGTAGTGAGATCTGATTTTAATGAGATTGTTAAAAAGGTTGCAAATTCTGATTTTGGAAAACATTAAAGTATAGAAGCCTTTGCTTGGATCTAGCATGAACTGCAATGATAACTGTTGCAGTGTCAGAATACTTCTTCAGAGTTGTGAAGTTGTGACCTACCAGTTTTGAATGAGAGGTCACATGACAGCTGACCTCGGAATGGAATCTCGGCTACAGCAACAAGGTTGTCCCACTTGACAACTGCATCTGTCTTCGGAGGTTTGTCTCTACTTCGGATGCTCAGACTAGGTGGCGAGTGACGCAGACTAGGTGGGGAGTGCCGGAGTTGTGCCTTGCCTACAGAGGAAATATATAACAATACTCATCAGCTTTAGAAATTGGCACTAGTCCTGTAGTCCTTGCCAAATTGCCCAATGGTTAAGGTATCATAAGGATGAGTAGAAATTTGCCATTTTTATGGGTTTTGCTATACAATTTCATTACAAGGACCATCTTCTTGAGGCAAAGGAGTTAACTGACTATGAAAGTCCAGTTTCCACCCTTGCCGAACTAGGCTGGTATTATGGAGTTACATTTTGGCTGGACTAACGAGTCTATGCACACGAATTCGAAATCCGGTTCGCAAATTGTCTTGCAGATTACGGTCGATTGCAGGATTTGTAAATCATGTGCACCTCCAACTCATTGTCAACAGATATTTTCCAAACCTTTTCATGTTTTTAATCAAGGTGCTCACATGATTTGATGCACTTCTCGATGTAAGACCCATTTTATCACAATATAGATCTTGATTAATGATCAGATTGTCTTGACTGGGCGCCGCCATTTTGTTTGAAACAAGTGCAAGTGATGGAATCAGATTGGTCCATAGGAGAGGCTCAGAAGGGACATAACTCATAATAACCACTGGTGGCGCTACGATCCAGCCCAGGAATTCCAGCCTAGTTCGGCAAGGACTTTTAAAGTCAGTCAACTCTCTTGCCTCGGGAAGATGTACAAGGACTGGTGGACTGAAACTGTTAGCTTCTACCGCTGCCCATTATTTGTGACCAACCAGGAGACAAAACTACATCTGATGAGCTTCAATTCATATTAATTAATTTTCTGCAAGTTCCCATTTTCATACTTATTTCTGTTTATGTAATAATTGCAGTTTTTAGATATACTGTATGATTAATTGAAAGGAGACATATACGCTAAAATGCTTTGAGATCATATTTTTACTACACTACAAACTAACAAGAGAAAAATACAATCCTTTTTTACAGTCTGCACACATGGCGATTTTTACAGAAGAAAGTTGACGTCAAACATCTTTCTTTATTACATAACAGCACAATTGTATCCCAGCACCTATAAGGTCACTTTTCTCCGAACGGGTCACATATATCAAAGTGAGGATTGCTGGAGCACTTGGAAAAACACAAAATCACCCATGGGGCCTAAACTACTTTAGGCTAAAAAAAATTAATACTTTTGGTTCTCAGGCACTGCCCACATCATCATAAAGTTTGCCGCACATTTCATTTTTATTTCCATTTTTTATAAAAAAAATAAAAAATCCTTACATATTCCAGGTCCAACGGTAGTCAAATACTGTATTCCAGTATTTTACTCATCAAAGGAATAGATTTATGTAGGGTGGCCCTTTCCCAGGTTAATTGTACACAATTGTTTATTTGGTTACACAACTGTTTATTTGTTTACATCCCGAGTTTAAGACCGCTCCCCCCGCCCCCACCCCCCCCAAAAAGACACCGCCCACCCGCACTATATTTAAAAAAAAAACATTGCCTGAGAACCAATTTTGTAATTTTTTTAACCCATAGGTATCGGAGGCCAATATTCCACAATGAGCAATAATATTCACTGCCTTACTGCTGTGCTTGAACATGCCACAATCATACTTATACATCCAAATACCTTGCTGTAACAAATACTTCTTAGTCCCTGATACATACAACCTCGCAGTGTGAGTGAGTGAGTTTTGAGACTAAATTTGATTACTACCAATGTATGGCACCTAAACCGGGATGGAGAAATTAGGCAATGAGACTCGCACGCCTCCTCTCCTCAGCAAGTCTGGTTTGTCTAACATCATTGTAAATGTGATTGAATCTGCATTCATCTTGCATCTTTCAGCTTATTAAAGCAACCCATGGCACACAGAACAGTGGATGTTGTTCGTACAACATGAGAGGTTTTCGATACAATGATCACAAACTCACCTGATGCAGTAGACGCCGTTCGTACAACATGAGTGGTTTTGGTTGTGACAGTTTTCGATGAATAGGTCCGGGCAAATTTGTCCATCTTGTCAGATGATGCTGTTTCCCATGCTGAGTCTTGTGCCGACTCGCGAGCCCACTGATGTGCCGAATCATGTGCCGAAACATGCGACGATCTGTCACCTGTAGACTCGCTCTTATCTCCCTTTTCTCCCGAGCGGAAAGCCTGAGATTAAAAATAGAAATGCATCAAACTACAAGTGAGTGAGTGAGTTGGGTTTAACACCGCTTCTAACAGTATTCCAGTTATATCACGGCGTGTCAGCTTAATGTGGGAGGAAAGCCCGAAGTGATGCAGGTCTCGAACGTTTACCACTTCGGTGAAACCCACGAGTACAGGTATGGTGCTGACAAACCTAGAAACATAATCGGGCGAACCCGGATTCGAACCCACAATCACAGGTTTCTGGCGTGCCCAAGGGACGCAACTCTGCACAGCCTTAGACGACTGGGCCACCTGCGCCCCCTCAAAATACAAGTGCTTTCTACAGGGGAATTACAGGTGAGGTGAGGTGAAATAGGGATAAACAGAACGCTCAAGATTATTTCACTTACACAGCGACATGTATGCATGTGTAGCTGATTGTCCAGACTAATGCTGACTTTATAGTGTTAACTCACTGAGATACTATGCTGCAGTTTAACATGGATACCCCTCTCCGACACAGTATACTGACCGTGAGCCAACCAGTCCTTGTTTTCAAGTAATGCCTTTAAAAACAATTCAGTCCTTGTTTAATCACCATAATGCCAAGCACCAGGCAGGGTAACAAAAAGTATTATCTTTTTTAATTTTGTGTGTGATAAAAGCAGAAATGGGGAAAATTACATTTTGGAGACACACAATCAGCCATTTTAAACACACAATCTTTATGGCATACGGCCTCTTCTACACTGACATCCTGACAGGGAGCTGGTGTTTTGACATAAATCATAATTACAACCTTCTACACAAAATATATAAATTCTTATGAAAACAATATTTCAGTACTCGGAGCCTCTGGTATTGCATTAAAATTCATGAGTAAATGCGATCACATCAATTCTATAGTACCATGCCGACATAACAAACGAGACAGCTATCGTGGGGCCTCCCTAATGTTAGTTTCGAGACATGGTAACAAATCGTTTTGATAATAACATTTATTATATTTCATCGAATAGATAGAATGAAATTGATGGGACTTACATTGTTGGAGACATGTAAGTGTCCTGCTTGGGCTGCTTCAAGTCAAGAATAATTTCATGGGCATGATAAATCAAATCTAGCGTATTCGACGTAATAAGCGCCCAGAGAGCTCTCAAAATTAGAAATAGGGGTCTCTTATTAGAATATTATTTTGGTGAAAAAAACATAGTTGAAAGATAAATTTCATTGTTTATGCTGACAGCCTGAAATGCTTATGTTCGACAGATATATTTTTCCAGAATTTAATTGCCCATAAATAAGGGTGCATATAACACACGTGTGTGTGTTATACCGAACATATTAGTCTTGTGTACACTGATCAATCGGAAGGGATGCAAATTGGGCTTGTTCACTAGCCAATACATCAGCAAATATCGCTTGTGGGCGCTTATTACGTCGAATACGGTATACATTCTTATGAAAACAAGCCCAGAAGTCGTTTATCATACGGTACATTCAAGTTGCAAGTTTATAAATCTACACTCACACTGAGCTTGTGTGCTATGCCGGTGGTGACCACATCTTTGATCGTGTGCCTGTGTTTCCATGCTTGTTCCTTAGCCATCTTCATTGCCGCCCTGACCGCGACTTCCCGGTGAGTGCGGAGAACCTCATACAAGGCGTCACACTCCGCCGGGGGATCTACTTCCCCCATCAAGATGCGGTAGGCTCGGATGTCTTGCCCATAAAACCTACGTACAGGAAACAGGCGCATAACAAACATTTTAAAATAATTGGAAAATACATTTTTTAGAGCATACAAACATATTCTTATGGCAGAATTAAGAGGCTGTCACATTCAGATAGAACACAAGTAACCATGGTAACTACCAGTGATAAATGAACTTTCCAAGCTCATAAACATTACTGTGCATGGATATCAGACACTCAGAGACAGAAATGGGGTACTGGGGACCTGTTCTGTCACAGAATCCCCTCAGGGAGACAAGCATGGGGTACTGGGGACCTGTTCTGTCACAGAATCCCCTCAGGGAGACAAGCATGGGGTACTGGGGACCTGTTCTGTCACAGAATCCCCTCAGGGAGAAAAGCATGGGGTACTGGGGACCTGTTCTGTCACAGAATCCCCTCAGGGAGACAAGCATGGGGTACTGGGGACCTGTTCTGTCACAGAATCCCCTCAGGGAGACAGACATGGGGTACTGGGGACCTGTTCTGTCACAGAATCCCTTCAGGGAGACAAGCATGGGGTACTTGGGACCTGTTCTGTCACAGAATCCCCTCAGGGAGACAAGCATGGGGTACTGGGGACCTGTTCTGTCACAGAATCCCCTCAGGGAGACAAGCATGGGGTACTGGGGACCTGTTCTGTCACAGAATCCCCTCAGGGCAAACAAGCATGGGGTACTGGGGACCTGTTCTGTCACAGAATCCCCTCAGGGAGACAAGCATGGGGTACTGGGGACATGTTCTGTCACAGAATCCCCTCAGGGAGACAAGCATGGGGTACTGGGGACCTGTTCTGTCACAGAATCCCCTCAGGGAGACAAGCATGGGGTACTGGGGACCTGTTCTGTCACAGAATCCCCTCAGGGAGACAGACATGGGGTACTGGGGACCTGTTCTGTCACAGAATCCCCTCAGGGAGACAGACATGGGGTACTGGGGACCTGTTCTGTCACAGAATCCCTACAAGAAGATGGACATGGGGTACTGGGGACCTGTTCCGACACAGAATCCCCTCAGGGAGACAGACATGGGGTACTGGGGACATGTTCTGTCACAGAATCCCTTCAGGGAGACAAGCATGGGGTACTGGGGACCTGTTCTGTCACAGAATCCCTACAGGGAGACGGACATGGGGTACTGGGGACATTTCGGTCACAGAATCCCCTCAGGAAGACGGACATGGGGTACTGGGGACCTGTTCTGTCACAGAATCCATACATGGAGACGGACATGGGGTACTGGGGACCTGTTCTGTCACAGAATCCCCTCAGGGAGACAGACATGGGGTACTGGGGACCTGTTCTGTCACAGAATCCCCTCAGGGAGACGGACATGGGGTACTGGGGACATGTTCTGTCACAGAATCCCCTCAGGGAGACAAGCATGGGGTACTGGGGACCTGTTCTGTCACAGAATCCCCTCAGGGAGACAAGCATGGGGTACTGGGGACCTGTTCTGTCACAGAATCCCCTCAGGGAGACGGACATTGGGTACTGGGGACATGATCTGTCACAGAATCCCCTCAGGGAGACAGACATGGGGTACTGGGGACCTGTTCTGTCACAGAATCCCTTCAGGGAGACGGACATGGGGTACTGGGGACCTGTTCTGTCACAGAATCCCCTCAGGGAGACAGACATGGGGTACTGGGGACCTGTTCTGTCACAGAATCCCTTCAGGGAGACAGACATGGGGTACTGGGGACCTGTTCTGTCACAGAATCCCTTCAGGGAGACGGACATGGGGTACTGGGGACCTGTTCTGTCACAGAATCCCTACAGGGAGACGGACATGGGGCACTGGGGACCTGTTCTGTCACAGAATCCCCTCAGGGAGACAGACATGGGGTACTGGGGACCTGTTCTGTCACAGAATCCCCTCAGGGAGACAGACATGGGGTACTGGGGACATGTTCTGTCACAAAATCCATACATGGAGACAAGCATGGGGTACTGGGGACCTGTTCTGTCACAGAATCCCTTCAGGGAGACAGACATGGGGTACTGGGGACCTGTTCTGTCACAGAATCCCCTCAGGGAGACATGCATGGGGTACTGGGGACCTGTTCTGTCACAGAATCCCTTCAGGGAGACAGACATGGGGTACTGGGGACCTGTTCTGTCACAGAATCCCTTCGGGGATACGGACATGGGGTACTGGGGACCTGTTCTGTCACAGAATCCCCTCAGGGAGACGGACATGGGGTACTAGGGACCTGTTCTGTCACAGAATCCCTACAGGGAGACAGACATGGGGTACTGGGGACCTGTTCTGTCACAGAATCCCCTCAGGGAGATGGACATGGGGTACTGGGGACCTGTTCTGTCACAGAATCCCCTCAGGGAGACAGACATGGGGTACTGGGGACCTGTTCTGTCACAGAATCCATACATGGAGACAAGCATGGGGTACTGGGGACCTGTTCTGTCACAGAATCCCTTCAGGGAGACGGACATGGGGTACTGGGGACCTGTTCTGTCACAGAATCCCTTCAGGGAGACAAGCATGGGGTACTGGGGACCTGTTCTGTCACAGAATCCCCTCAGGGAGACGGACATGGGGTACTGGGGACCTGTTCTGTCACAGAATCCCCTCAGGGAGACAGACATGGGGTACTGGGGACCTGTTCTGTCACAGAATCCCTACAGGGAGACGGACATGGGGTACTGGGGACCTGTTCTGTCACAGAATCCCCTCAGGGAGACAGACATGGGGTACTGGGGACCTGTTCTGTCACAGAATCCCCACAGGGAGACAAGCATGGGGTACTGGGGACCTGTTCAGTCACAGAATCCCCTCAGGGAGACAAGCATGGGGTACTGGGGACCTGTTCTGTCACAGAATCCCCTCAGAGACGGACATGGGGTACTGGGGACCTGTTCTGTTACAGAATCCCCTCAGGGAGACAGACATGGGGTACTGGGGACCTGTTCTGTCACAGAATCCCCTCAGGGAGACAGACATGGGGTACTGGGGACCTGTTCTGTCACAGAATCCCCTCAGGGAGATGGACATGGGGTACTGGGGACCTGTTCTGTCACAGAATCCCCTCAGGGAGACAGACATGGGGTACTGGGGACCTGTTCTGTCACAGAATCCCTACAGGGAGACAAGCATGGGGTACTGGGGACCTGTTCTGTCACAGAATCCCTTCAGGGAGACGGACATGGGGTACTGGGGACCTGTTCTGTCACAGAATCCCTTCAGGGAGACAAGCATGGGGTACTGGGGACATGTTCTGTCACAGAATCCCCTCAGGGAGACAAGCATGGGGTACTGGGGACCTGTTCTGTTACAGAATCCATACAGGGACACCCTAGGAGTGAGTGATGTTTTGGTTCAGATCCCAGCACAGACAATACCATGGCAATTATACTTACTTTCTGTTGGCATCCTTGCGTTCAATGAGTCCGCTGCCCTCTATCGATATGCCTGCAAATATTCCCTTGGTCTTGGAGTATGTGTACATTGCTGCTGGGCTTCTCAGAGAGACGTCACCCTCGATGTTGCGCCCTAGCGGCCCCGCTGCAATCGTGAAGTTGCCACCCAGGGTCAAGTTACCTCCCTTGGAGAAGGCTTCGACAGCAGACTTCTTGTTCAGGATAATGACGAAGTCTGTCACCTGTCGGAAGCATGGTAGTTGAAATATGCAAACAAATATATCCATAACATACCGTGGCCATAGAGTTGCCGATTCCAAAGGTGGGATTCGAACCATGGCATTCTTATTCGAGGTTGGATGCCTTGTCCAGATGACTAAGGAGGTTAACCCTGTCAGCAAGCTGACAAGGTAAGGATCTCATCTGTGGGATGACTACACACTCTGGAACATACTTCCCCATCAACGAAAGGCACGTCCCAGGTCACAAAGTACGGTACTGAGACTTATTTTGCTCATAGTTACTATAAATGTTTCGAGCCCACATTGGGCACCAATGTACTGATTATAAAATTTTCAATTCCCGTGATGGGATTCGAACCCTGGACATTCTGATTCGAGGTCGGATGCCTTGTCCACATGACCAAAGAGGTTAACCCCATCATCAAGCTGACAAGGTAAGGATTATCATCTGTAGGTTGACTCCACATCCTGCTACATACAGTAAGCACTACTGTGAGAGCAAAGACAATAGTAGTAAATTCTCCCAAAGATCAAAGAAAGTCAATCATCTTCATGATTTTATATCACATGGTTCTTTTGGAAAGTTAACATCATCGTGCTATGTGATCCTAGACTATCAAAGTTTGTGATATTTATAACCTGTAGGACTTGTCTCCACTAACCTCGGCCCCGATCTCGAAGCCTCCCCCAAGACCCGCTATTCCTATTGCACTGGGAGCGGACCAACCTGGAACACAAAGTGTGAAGCAATGCATATATTTAACAAAATGGATGTTATATCATGGTTTAAACTGAGTGAGCCCTTTTAACAGTATTCCAGTTATAGAGTGGAGTGTCAGCTTAACGTGGGAGGAAAGCACGAAGTGATGCAGGTCTCAGACGTTTACCACTTCGGTGAAACCCAGGAGCACGGGTATGGTGCTGACAAACCTAGAAACATAATCGAGGCGAACCGGGATTCGAACCCACAATCATAGTTTCTGGTGTGCTCAAGGGACGCAACTCTGCACAGCGCATCGCGGCACCTTAGACGACTGGGCCACCCGTGCCCCCTGGACAGTAACGACAGTCCCTCCACATGGAAATAATTAGTCATCATTTTGTGTCACCTCACAGTTTTCTACCATCTACCGCATGTCAATCACAACTTTATTTATGCATTGTATAATGTATAGATGAGAGTGTCTTTGCGTGAATGGGGTTCGTGGCAATGAAAACACTGTTATCATATATTTCATCCCTCAATATTCATTTCAAGGAGCTTCAGACTTACCTGGGCAGAAGCTCCTATTTGTAACAGGACTCCAGAAATTGGAAAATTTTATAAGAAATTATTTATTTAGATACTGTATATACACTTTACACTTCTTCATTCTATCCTTAGAACAAAGTTTCCAGCTCTAAAGACATTTCCCCCGAACACATCCCAGCATCACCACAGACACCACCCAAACAAATGGATCACACACCGTAATCCTGTGCGTTGTGAGCTTACTTGATCTCCTGACTACCCCTGCCACATCATTCTCATTTTTAGAGCTGAAAGCTAGAGGAGCTGTGATGCGGGGATGGTCAGAAGGGCATATAGCATGTGAGATAGGATAAGTAGTCATATATAAAGATGATAAACAAACTGATGAGATTTTATTCTCAGTCGCCAGGGGCACTTATGCCAGAAGTGTATCCCATCCTACCACAGGTGTCCTGTCTCTGTATCACAACCTACCACAGGTGTCCTGTCTCTGTATCACAGCCTACCACAGGTGTCCTGTCTCTGTATCCCATCCTACCACAGGTGTCCTGTCTCTGTATCCCATCCTACCACAGGTGTCCTGTCTCTGTATCCCATCCTACCACAGGTGTCCTGTCTCTCTATCACAACCTACCACAGGTATCCTGTCTCTCTATCACAACCTACCACAGGTGTCCTGTCACTGTATCACAACCTACCACAGGTGTCCTGTCTCTGTATCACAGCCTACCACAGGTGTCCTGTCATTGTATTACAACCTACCACAGGTGTCCTGTCTCTGTATCACAGCCTACCACAGGTGTCCTGTCTCTGTATCCCATCCTACCACAGGTGTCCTGTCTCTGTATCCCAGCCTACCACAGGTGTCCTGTCATTGTATCACAACCTACCACAGGTGTCCTGTCTCTGTATCACAACCTACCACAGGTGTTATGTCTCTGTATCACAGCCTACCACAGGTGTCCTGTCTCTGTATCACAGCCTACCACAGGTGTCCTGTCATTGTATCACAACCTACCACAGGTGTCCTGTCTCTGTATCACAACCTACCACAGGTGTTATGTCTCTGTATCACAGCCTACCACAGGTGTCCTGTCTCTGTATCACAGCCTACCACAGGTGTCCTGTCTCTGTATCACAACCTACCACAGATGTCCTGTCTTTGTATCACAACCTACCACAGATGTCCTGTCTTTGTATCACAACCTACCACAGGTGTCCTATCTCTGTATCCCATCACAGGTGTCCTGTCTCTGTATCACAACCTACCACAGGTGTCCTGTCTCTGTATCACAACCTACCACAGGTGTCCTGTCATTGTATCACAACCTGCCACAGGTGTCCTGTCTCTGTATCCCATCCTACCACAGGTATCCTGTCTCTGTATCACTACCTACCACAGGTGTCCTGTCTCTGTATCACAACCTACCACAGGTGTCCTGTCTCTGTATCCCATCCTACCTCAGGTGTCCTGTCGCTGTATCACTACCTACCACAGGTGTCCTGTCTCTGTATCACAACCTACCACAGGTGTCCTGTCTCTGTATCCCATCCTACCACAGGTGTCCTGTCTCTGTATCACAACCTATCACAGGTGTCCTGTCTCTGTATCACAACCTACCACAGGTGTCCTGTCATTGTATCACAACCTACCACAGGTGTCCTGTCACTGTATCACAACCTACCAAAGGTGTAGTATCTCTGTATCACAACCTACCACAGGTGTCCTATCTCTGTATCACAACCTACCACAGGTGTCCTGTCTCTGTATCACAGCCTACCACAGGTGTCCTGTCTCTGTATCACAACCTACCACAGGTGTCCTGTCATTGTATCACAACCTACCACAGGTGTCCTGTCACTGTATCACAACCTACCACAGGTGTAGTATCTCTGTATCACAACCTACCACAGGTGTCCTATCTCTGTATCACAACCTACCACAGGTGTCCTGTCTCTGTATCACAGCCTACCACAGGTGTCCTGTCTCTGTATCACAGCCTACCACAGGTGTCCTGTCTCTGTATCACAGCCTACCACAGGTGTCCTGTCATTGTATCACAACCTACCACAGTTGTCCTGTCACTGTATCACAGCCTACCACAGGTGTCCTGTCTCTGTATCCCATCCTACCACAGGTGTCCTGTCATTGTATCACAACCTACCACAGGTGTACTGTCTCTGTATCCCATCCTACCACAGGTGTCCTGTCATTGCATCACAACCTACCACAGGTGTCCTGTCACTGTATCACAACCTATCACAGGTGTCCTATCTCTGTATCACTACCTACCGCAGGTGTGGGAGTCCTCATCAGCATCCTCCAATTTAGCGATGACGACCCCGCTACCCCCTCTCGCCGTCACCAGGAACCCCGCCTTCACCACGGTCAGTATGGCCAGACCCTTGGCCTTTGCAAGAATACCAGCTGCAACACCACAAAGATGAAAGGAAGCATGTCATGAGTTTCAAAACCATCATATGCTGGTGTGAAAGTCAGGTGAAACAAAGTTTGTAATAGGTGAGGTGAAATGGGGACTAATGTCGCATTCAAGATAATTGCATCTGGAAAGTACTGCATGACAGTACTGAAGATATTGCAGATATAAAACCATCTACTCATGAAATGTTGAACATGTGGAAGTTGAGATGAACCTACCATGTAGAGTTCTTGATATGTATCAATATGACTCGATACTTCACTACGCCTATGTATTGATTTAGAAGGCCAGATCTGCAGCAGGCATTTAGGACAGACAAACTGTGTCCTGTCATTTATAAGCTAAGTAACACTATCAGCTCTTGTAATCAACAAATTCACCGTGATCTGATCGTGTTGCCTGAAATGGGCATCATGCTTTAAGGGATTCATTGTTTTTTATATCCCCCGCCAATATGACATGTCTAGTTATGTGCAAGGCAATAAATATTTATGGTTTTCAAGATCTAGCACCTTTTCTAAGTCTAAGCCGTTGCTATGGAAACTCAAAAAATAATTTTTTTAAAAATCCCAAACTATCAAATGCACCAGTTTACCACTAGACCTATCTATAAGCCAAGTCTAGTGAAGAAATATTGAAGGGTTTTCAAGATCAGCTCCAGAAAGGAGCACTACCACCATTTTCAATCTAAGTCAAAGTTGTTGCCATGAAAACTTGAAAACTAAATTTTAATTAGTTTAAAATCCAAGACGAAACCCTACTTGGTGCACAGAAACATTGAAATAGCTGTTAAATACATGTACAATTTAAGGGATTAAATTCCAGAAAATGATAGGATTGAGAAAACAATGTACCTACCAGAAAGGTGGGCTCTGTGGGTAGGAGAATACTTATCATTTGCTTACACTCAATACTTATGATATTGCCTCCAAGGTCTAGTAGTAGAGCGGAAGATCAGAATTCGATCCACGTACCAAATGACGTTAAAAGATGGTACTTGTTGTTACCTGTTGTTGTCTGGCGCCCGGCATTGAGGGGCTAAAACAAGAACTGGTTGTCTCAGTGTCAGTCTATTATGTCAGGGTGGGGCGTCCCTGTTAAACTGCGGCATGGTATCTCAGTGGGCTAGCACTATAAATCGGCATCAGTCTGGACTAGTACAAGCAGCCACAAACACATGTGCATGCATGTCGCTATATAAGTGCAATAATCTTGGATGCAACGTTAAACACCATTTCACCTCACCTCAATACTTATGATGAATACTTCAACTCAGTATTGATACTGACTACACATACCAGGAATGAGTTTGTCTGGTCCAGCTCTGGCGCTTGGCATGGTGAACTCTCGCAGGATTTTGGCCGCCTTCTTGGCCTCAGACTTGAGGCTGTGTGGTATGGGTGTGTTCACCATCGTTGTGATTGGTTGACAGGCCCTAGTCTATGTCCCCATCTTTACAGTCTGCAGCAAACTGGAATAATGGTGGCCTTAGATGAGGTCTCGTACAGTCTGAGGCGGTGAAAGCGGTGTGCTTGTGGCTAGAGTTACATGATAGCTGCTGGAAAGCGGTGTGCTAGTGGCTAGAGTGTCATGATAGCTGCTGGAAAGCGGTGTGCTAGTGGCTAGAGTGACATGATAGCTGCTGGAAAGCGGTGTGCTAGTGGCTAGAGTGTCATGATAGCTGCTGGAAAGTGGTGTACTAGTGGCTAGAGTGACATGATAGCTGCTGGAAAGTGGTGTGCTAGTGGCTAGAGTGTCATGATAGCTGCTGGAAAGCAGTGTGCTAGTGGCTAGAGTGACATGATAGCTGCTGGAAAGTGGTGTACTAGTGGCTAGAGTGACATGATAGCTGCTGGAAAGTGGTGTGCTAGTGGCTAGAGTGTCATGATAGCTGCTGGAAAGCAGTGTGCTAGTGGCTAGAGTGACATGATAGCTGCTGGAAAGTGGTGTACTAGTGGCTAGAGTGACATGATAGTGGCTAGAAAGCAGTGTGCTAGTGGCTAGAGTGACATGATAGTGGCTAGAAAGCAGTGTGCTAGTGGCTAGAGTGACATGATAGTGGCTAGAAAGTGGTGTGCTAGTGGCTAGAGTGACATGATAGTGGCTAGAAAGCAGTGTGCTAGTGGCTAGAGTGACATGATAGTGGCTAGAAAGTGGTGTGCTAGTGGCTAGAGTGACATGATAGTGGCTAGAAAGCAGTGTGCTAGTGGCTAGAGTGACATGATAGTGGCTAGAAAGCAGTATGCTAGTGGCTAGAGTGACATGATAGTGGCTAGAAAGCAGTGTGCTAGTGGCTAGAGTGACATAATAGTGGCTAGAAAGAAGTGTGCTAGTGGCTAGAGTGACATGATAGTGACTAGAAAGCAGTGTGCTAGTGGCTAGAGTGACATAATAGTGGCTAGAAAGCGGTGTGTGCTAGTGGCTAGAGTGACATGATAGTGGCTAGAAAGCAGTGTGCTATTGTCTAGAGTGACATGATAGTGGCTAGAAAGCAGTGTGCTAGTGGCTAGAGTGACAAAATAGTGGCTAGAAAGAAGTGTGCTAGAGGCTAGAGTGACATGATAGTGGTTAGAAAGCAGAGTGCTAGTGGCTAGAGTGACATGATAGTGGTTAGAAAGCAGAGTGCTATTGTCTAGAGTGACATGATAGCTGCTGGAAAGTGGTGTGCTAGTGGCTAGAGTGACATGATAGTGGCTAGAAAGCAGTGTGCTAGTGGCTAGAGTGACATGATAGCTGCTGGAAAGTGGTGTGCTAGTGGCTAGAGTGACATGATAGTGGCTAGAAAGCAGTGTGCTAGTGGCTAGAGTGACATGATAGTGGCTAGAAAGCAGTGTGCTAGTGGCTAGAGTGACATGATAGTGGCTAGAAAGCAGTGTGCTAGTGGCTAGAGTGACATGATAGTGGCTAGAAAGCAGTGTGCTAGTGGCTAGAGTGACATAATAGTGGCTAGAAAGAAGTGTGCTAGTGGCTAGAGTGACATGATAGTGACTAGAAAGCAGTGTGCTAATGGCTAGAGTGACATAATAGTGGCTAGAAAGCGGTGTGCTATTGTCTAGAGTGACATGATAGTGGCTAGAAAGCAGTGTGCTATTGTCTAGAGTGACATGATAGTGGCTAGAAAGCGGTGTGCTATTGTCTAGAGTGACATTATAGTGGCTAGAAAGCAGTGTGCTAGTGGCTAGAGTGACATGATATTAGTTAGAAAGCAGTGTGCTATTGTCTAGAGTGACATTATAGTGGCTAGAAAGCAGTGTGCTATTGTCTAGAGTGACATTATAGTGGCTAGAAAGCAGTGTGCTAGTGGCTAGAGTGACATGATAGGGGCTAGAAAGCGGTGTGCTATTGTCTAGAGTGACATTATAGTGGCTAGAAAGCAGTGTGCTAGTGGCTAGAGTGACATGATAGCTGCTAGAAAGTGGTGTGCTAGTGGCTAGAGTGACATGATATTAGTTAGAAAGCAGTGTGCTAGTTGGCATGGTGAACTCTCGCAGGATTTTGGCCGCCTTCTTGGCCTCAGACTTGAGGCTGTGTGGTATGGGTGTGTTCACCATCGTTGTGATTGGTTGACAGGCCCTAGTCTATGTCCCCATCTTTACAGTCTGCAGCAAACTGGAATAATGGTGGCCTTAGATGAGGTCTCGTACAGTCTGAGGCGGTGAAAGCGGTGTGCTTGTGGCTAGAGTTACATGATAGCTGCTGGAAAGCGGTGTGCTAGTGGCTAGAGTGTCATGATAGCTGCTGGAAAGCGGTGTGCTAGTGGCTAGAGTGACATGATAGCTGCTGGAAAGCGGTGTGCTAGTGGCTAGAGTGTCATGATAGCTGCTGGAAAGTGGTGTACTAGTGGCTAGAGTGACATGATAGCTGCTGGAAAGTGGTGTGCTAGTGGCTAGAGTGTCATGATAGCTGCTGGAAAGCAGTGTGCTAGTGGCTAGAGTGACATGATAGCTGCTGGAAAGTGGTGTACTAGTGGCTAGAGTGACATGATAGCTGCTGGAAAGTGGTGTGCTAGTGGCTAGAGTGTCATGATAGCTGCTGGAAAGCAGTGTGCTAGTGGCTAGAGTGACATGATAGCTGCTGGAAAGTGGTGTACTAGTGGCTAGAGTGACATGATAGTGGCTAGAAAGCAGTGTGCTAGTGGCTAGAGTGACATGATAGTGGCTAGAAAGCAGTGTGCTAGTGGCTAGAGTGACATGATAGTGGCTAGAAAGTGGTGTGCTAGTGGCTAGAGTGACATGATAGTGGCTAGAAAGCAGTGTGCTAGTGGCTAGAGTGACATGATAGTGGCTAGAAAGTGGTGTGCTAGTGGCTAGAGTGACATGATAGTGGCTAGAAAGCAGTGTGCTAGTGGCTAGAGTGACATGATAGTGGCTAGAAAGCAGTATGCTAGTGGCTAGAGTGACATGATAGTGGCTAGAAAGCAGTGTGCTATTGTCTAGAGTGACATGATAGTGGCTAGAAAGCAGTGTGCTAGTGGCTAGAGTGACAAAATAGTGGCTAGAAAGAAGTGTGCTAGAGGCTAGAGTGACATGATAGTGGTTAGAAAGCAGAGTGCTAGTGGCTAGAGTGACATGATAGTGGTTAGAAAGCAGAGTGCTATTGTCTAGAGTGACATGATAGTGGCTAGAAAGCAGTGTGCTAGTGGCTAGAGTGACATGATAGTGGCTAGAAAGCAGTGTGCTAGTGGCTAGAGTGACATGATAGTGGCTAGAAAGCAGTGTGCTAGTGGCTAGAGTGACATGATAGTGGCTAGAAAGCAGTGTGCTAGTGGCTAGAGTGACATAATAGTGGCTAGAAAGAAGTGTGCTAGTGGCTAGAGTGACATGATAGTGACTAGAAAGCAGTGTGCTAATGGCTAGAGTGACATAATAGTGGCTAGAAAGCGGTGTGCTAGTGGCTAGAGTGACATGATAGTGGCTAGAAAGCAGTGTGCTATTGTCTAGAGTGACATGATAGTGGCTAGAAAGCGGTGTGCTATTGTCTAGAGTGACATTATAGTGGCTAGAAAGCAGTGTGCTAGTGGCTAGAGTGACATGATATTAGTTAGAAAGCAGTGTGCTATTGTCTAGAGTGACATTATAGTGGCTAGAAAGCAGTGTGCTATTGTCTAGAGTGACATTATAGTGGCTAGAAAGCAGTGTGCTAGTGGCTAGAGTGACATGATAGGGGCTAGAAAGCGGTGTGCTATTGTCTAGAGTGACATTATAGTGGCTAGAAAGCAGTGTGCTAGTGGCTAGAGTGACATGATAGCTGCTAGAAAGTGGTGTGCTAGTGGCTAGAGTGACATGATATTAGTTAGAAAGCAGTGTGCTAGTGGCTAGAGTGATATGATAGTGGCTAGAAAGCGGTGTGCTTGTGGCTAGAGTGTCATGATAGCTGCTAGAAAGTGGTGTGCTAGTGGCTAGAGTGACATGATATTAGTTAGAAAGCAGTGTGCTAGTGGCTAGAGTGATATGATAGTGGCTAGAAAGCGGTGTGCTTGTGGCTAGAATGACATGATAGTGGCTAGAAAGCAGTGTGCTTATGGCTAGAGTGTCATGATAGCTGCTAGAAAGTGGTGTGCTAGTGGCTAGAGTGACATGATATTAGTTAGAAAGCAGTGTGCTAGTGGCTAGAGTGATATGATAGTGGCTAGAAAGCGGTGTGCTAGAGGCTAGAGTGACATGATAGTGGCTAGAAAGTGGTGTGCTAGTGGCTAGAGTGACATAATAGTGGCTAGAAAGTGGTGTGCTAGAGGCTGGAGTGACATGATAGTGGCTAGAAAGCGGTGTGCTTGTGGCTAGAATGACATGATAGTGGCTAGAAAGCAGTGTGCTTATGGCTAGAGTGTCATGATAGCTGCTGGAAAGTGGTGTGCTAGTGGCTAGAGTGACATAATAGTGGCTAGAAAGTGGTGTGCTAGAGGCTAGAGTGACATGATAGTGGCTAGAAAGTGGCAAAATAGTGGCTAGAAAGTAGTGCAATTAGTGTCTAGAGATCGAGGGACGTGAGACTTGCTAGAAAGCGGCATGATCTTGTAAAATTATATCGTGAAAGTAGCTCATGAGTGCCGCAATAATTTTGTGTTTAATGCGTCAAACATGTCAAAAGTAACAGCATGTTAGAGCCACTTAGAACTTAGAATAATCACCTCTGCATATCAGAGCATAACACATTGGTTTTCAGATATGAAATAAATTTGTTATTCAAAGTTTTCTTTGACAAGCCAATGGCCATAACAACATTAATCATACATATTGTAAACAGCATGATTTCATGAAAACCTGCGTTTTCACACGAGACATGTCTATAAAAAGTGAAAGACATAAATGACGGTGCGGGAATGTTGAAATTATGAACATAAATGTACGTACAAATGAAGAAGCTACAATAGTTAGTAGTGACAGAAATCGGGTTTGGTCATTATGATACAAGCCAGTGTTACATAAGAAATAGCGTTAACATGACACGACAAAGTAAAGAAGTGTTACCATATGACAAAATATAGCCCTCCCCGAACAACAACAGTTGAATCTTGTTCACTTCCGTGTTACAGAGCATCGAGAGTTACTTCCCTTTAAACACTGTAAAACAAGCTCCTTCCCAGCCCGTGACACCTTCGTTACACTCTCGGTAGTATAGAGAGCCCCGCGAACGGGTTATCGCTGTGAGGAACTTGACCGTAAAACTTTTGAAACAAAACACACGCACGTTTAGCCCAGTAAAATAATTAAGCTTACATTTCTTAGGGAAATGCTGAAAGGTTTATAAGTTTGGCACTTGCCACATACCATACCTTCAGTTGAAATTTCTGTCAGGGAAGTGAAAACAAATATGAAAATGATAAATTCCTGAATTGAAGAGGAACCGAAGCAACTCCGCACAAAGTTTAATTAAACAAATGGAACCGTTCATCAGTTATATTCTGGAAGTGAACCCTACCTACATTTGAACCAAGTCCAATTATTTGCCTTTGAAAAGACAAATGTAAAAAATATAATAATCAAAATGTTGCATTTTGTACTGCAAAGATTCAGATGTAATATTATTGAGGTCACCTCGGGAAATAAACCCTACTCCCCTTTGAACATATGTCAGACGTGGGGCCATGTTAACTCTATCATTTATTACAAATGTCTGTATGTTTCATATTAGATATTGAATACACGAGTCCTTCTTGCTGCCTTGGAAAGGCAAAAAATGAAAAGGATAAAAATTAACAACACATGCACTCTCAATAGCCAAAGGCACTTTCAACTCTTTACTGGTGAGTATACAAAGTTTCACGTTATGCTACCGAAGCAAACCCTGCCTTTATGTTCAACCTTCTTTAACAGGGGGCAAATGCTCTTTGTCAGCACACCATCAGTCAGTCGCCCAACATGTTTGCTCGCCGCACTCAGCAATATTACAGCTATATGACGGCGGTCTGTATATAATCGAGTCTGGACCAGACAGTCCAGTGATTGACATCATGAGCATCGATCCACACAATTGGGATTGATGACATGCATCAACCAAGTCAGCGAGCCTGACCATCCGATCCCGTTAGTCGCCTCTTACGACAAGCATAGTCACCTTTTACGGCAAGCATGGGTTGCTGAAGACCTTTTCTACCCCCGATCTTCACGGGTCCACCTTACAGTGAGACCGTGAAACAAATGTGAACCTTTACAGGACAACGATACATAATATATTCTTACTGTTAAAGTGATGTCTAGGTTAGGCTACAGTACACTTTAAACCAATTAATTTCAACATTAACAAAATATAAGATCACAGCTGATGGTACTATCGCGTATGTATTACTGTATTTTTAGAGTCTATAGTCAATGAAGCGTACGTAAACATTCTTTCAAGAGGCGGCTGCAAATGCTGGAATTCATCGTATGCTAAAATAGACTTGATGGCATGTGTGCAACACATTTCACTTTAAACCAAGAGATGAAAACACATTTTGAACAAACTGGCATTCATTTACCCATAAGCCTCATCATCTGAAATACCCGTGAAGATCCGGGTCATAATTGATCTTGGGGGCACGGTTGGCCCAGTCGTCTAAGGCGCCGCGATTCGCTGTGCAGAGTTGCGTCCCTTGGGCACGCCAGAAACCTATTATAGTGGGTTCGAATCCCGGTTCGACCCGATTATGTTTCTAGGTTTGTCAGCACCATACACGTGCTCGTGGGTTTCACCGAAGTGGTAAACGTCTGAGACCTGCGTCACTTCGTGCTTTCCTCCCACATTAAGCTGACACGCCGTGATATAACTGGATATACTGTTAAAACGGCGTTAAACCAAACTCACTCACTCACCATAATTGATCTTCAGCAACCAATGTTTGTTTTATAAAAGGCGAGAACAGGATCGGGTGGTCAAGCTCGCTGATTTGGATGACGCATGTCACAGAATCGATGCTTATGATGTCAATCACTGGGTTGTCTGCCCCATATTCAATTATCAACAGGTCACTATCATGCAACTGGAATAGTTCTGAGTGCGGCGTTAAACAACAAAAATAATCCAAAATTATCACCGACAAAGACTCAAGCGGAGAATGTACTTTTGTATATACAATGTAGATATGTTGCGACGTATGTTTCATATGAAATTTCCGGGCATCGAATACTCAATATAACTCCCGTATCACAGAATGTTTCCCCTGTGAAGATCCGGGTTAGAATTGGTCACCAGCAATCCATGCTTGTCGTAAGAGGCGACAAACGGGATGGTGTGTACCCGTCCAGACTTATGCCGATTATATAGTGCTAGCTCACTGAGATACCATGCCGCAGTTTAACATGTACCCCACTCAGACACAGTATACTGACTCCGAGCCGACCGGTCCTTGTTTTAGCCCCTTAATGCCGAGCGTTAGGCTGGGTAACAACAAGTTCCATCTTTTAACGTCTTTTGGTATTGGGATCAGATAACCGACCTTCCCCTCCCCAGACGGACGCTCATCACGTATCTACAGATGTGGTCTCATAGATACCAGTCGCGTGGGATCCGCCATGCATGTCCTCCCAGACGTGTGCAGAAACACACACACCAATGAGATGTGTAATGTCTGACGTGGTGGCCCAAGTATGTGAATCATCTAAAGTCCACGTGAGAATTAACTGTTGTTACTGAAAAAGAAATCTCATCTGTTTTCAAAGTATTACGTGTTAATGAAATCATGTTTTTTGTACAATGGCTACCGTATTTTTGTTTCCTATCGGTATGGAAAACAGTAACACTGTCTCAGAGACAAAGACATGCCAAACTGATAAACTAAATAGACTAGACAACAGAACAGTTTATCCGACAAATGATTCTCCTTTAACACATTGTTAAAAGTAGGAAATGCGTGGTAATAAAGGAACATAATCGCAACCCCCTCTTCCCTCCCCCCTCCAATATATAAATAAATAATAAAAAATAATAATATAAAAATATAATAAAAATAAATAAATGTACAACACCCCAAAACACTCAATACAATTAAGTGAATCAAAACTACAAAAAGAAGAAGAACAACAAAACATTACAAAACTCCAAATTCCCCAACAACGAGAAACTCCTAACATCGATGATATTGTCTTCGTCTCAACAGTATAGTTACAGGCAGGTGTAGTGAAGGCACTGTCAAGAGTTTGAAAGCGCACGTTCTGCGCGTGCAATAGCTCCAACACAAATGGACATCAGCGTTGTTAGGTGGAGGATGGTAGACACAGGACGCCACTGCGTTATTTGTGCAGGAAACAGGCACTGTTAGCTTATGACGCTGACCGAAGTACATTGCCGACATATCGGAAACGGGATATGACGCTCCATACTTCGCTGTAAAATGTGGGAGATGTGTTCGACAATGACTCAATGACTGTTTGTGTGCGAGGATTTCTTCTACAAGACTTGTGGACCTCCTTCTAAACAGATTCGGATTTCAACTTGAAAGGTACTTTTTTTTCTTGAAATGTTATCACACTGGCGAACAAAGGGTCCTTTTTCCCCTATTCGAAAACCATACATTCGACTGTGATCAATGTCCATCTGTCAGTGAAAGTCCCCAATAAGTACCATCGTTTGTTAGATTAACGAAATAATGACTTAATGACAGACGTATATTTTAGTTTAGGTCTCCTGTCCAATGTACACTTTTATGTATGAGGATATAGCAGACTATGGTAAAGTACATAAAATATTAACTGTTAGTTTGTCAAAACCTTGACATTAGAGTGAGTGAGTGAGTATGGTTTTGTGCAGCTTTTAGCAATATTCCAGCTATAACGCAGGGGACACTAGAAATTGGCTCCACACATTGTACCCATGTTAGGTATCGAACCGGGTCTTGGGCGTCTTAACCATTAAGCTACCCCCCTTGACTTTAGAAACAAATGCTGTGTTAAGTAATATATCTTCTCATTTGTGAGTAGCTGTTTAACCTGACTATTCAAATATGTCACGAAATATCAAAATACATATTTGTGTAGTTCATATGATGTGCTACTCAACTTTTGAAAGGGATAACCAAAGTGCCCCCCCTCCCTTTTGAAAACCAAATGTAGTATTTTATAGGCAGTTTTATCTGAGAAAGGATTTTTGATATTTTGGACCCCTCCCTTTCACAAATACTGGATCTGCCCTTGATATATGCACTTAACATATAAGAATCAGTTTTGTGTCTCATTGACAGATACTAATATCCCTGTCAAAAGTGGAGTAGTATACATAATCAACTAAAGAAAGGGGACAGCAGTGTAGGGTAGACTCTAGATTATAGACCATCAGAATCAGTTTTGAAAATATGGAATTTTCTGTTCTCATGACCATAAAGGTTCATGACTGAAGAGGGGCGGTCGGTAGCTTCATGGTTAAAGCGTTCGCTCATCACGCCGAAGACCCGGGTTCGATTCCCGACATGGGTAGAATGTGTGAAACCCATTTCTAGTGTCCCCTGCCGTGATATTGCTGGAATATTGATAAAAGCGGCGTAAAACCATACTCACTCACTCACTCATGACTGAAGATTAAATTATCTTTGATAAAAGGAGACTACGGTCAAGCAAATTGATGTCTCAAGCAATTTGAATCAAATTTTTAATAAAACAACTTTGTTAGTATCCAGCTCAACTTTTATGATGGAGCTTAATCGAACAGTCAGTTGTTAACTTAAATACCAAAAGACATTGTCTAAGCACAATACATGGCACTAGTTGTAAACATTAAACCTAGCTAGGAAATGGGCACAAAACCATGAAGCAGTCATCTGTTGAAGCGACACTTTGAGAGGGCACGGTTGGCCTAGTCTAAGGCGCCGCAATTCACAGTTCAGAGTTGTGTCCCTTGGCCATGCTAGAAACCTATGATAGAGTGTTTGAATCCTGGTTTGCCCTGACTATGTTTCTAGGTTTGTCACAACCATACCCATACCAATGGTAAACATGTGAGACCTGCATCACTGAGGGCTTCCCTCCCACTGGATACATCAGGACTGTTTAAAGCACTGTTAAACAATACTCACTCACTCACTCACTCACTCACTCATAATTGCGACTTCCTTAATTTTGAAGTTGCTGTGGTGCTGTTTGAAATCTTGTGTATCTGTCTCCGCTTCAGTGACTAAAATGGACACAGTTTTGTCATTGCTTACACCAGAGGCCATATATGGTCTCTGCTTACACCCTTGTTCTACAAAAGAATGGTGGTGCAAGGTTTTAACCATTGGTGCTGATCTGATTTTGGTTGTCCATATCAATATGAATTCAGCTACATTGTATCAGATGTGTTCTTCTGGAGTGAAGGATATGACTCAGGAAGGATGAAGCTTGTGGGTGGGGCAGTAGCTGGAAGTAAGTTGTGGCCTCAATATTTGGTTCACTTCATGACATCATCCATGATTTTGTGGAGATAATTGAAGACGCCTCCTTTTCTAAGCTCACCTAAACTGAGCTCACCTAAACTAAGCTCACCTAAACTGAGCTCACCTCCTCCACTAGAGACATATAGAAACAGTCCATCACATATACCGTATTTGCCGTAATAAACACTAGGCGCTTATTAAAAACATACATAACAAGTTAATTTTGTTGTAAGAGATTGAAGTTGTAATGTGTTTTTTGTAATAGCTACTGGGCAATTATAAACCCCTTCTACACTGCTGTGTTTTCTGTAAACAATCTGTAGTATGCAATATGTCGATATATATATAATTCATACAGATATAATTCAAACCTTATAGTCCGTTATACTATGTATATATAGTTTGTTTTATGATAAACAATACCCAAGCATGATTTAATTTTTTCTAAATTTTGCTTCCTGTGTCTATCTATATTCACAAAGTAAATCTGGAAAAAGTCCTCAATCTTTTGAATTGCTCTGAAGTAGTTTCTTGTTTTTTGAATCCCTGAAATTACAAGAAGGTTATCTTTGTGACTGTGGGTACAATTTAAAAAAATGGAATTAATTTTGTAATTATTTTTTTTTGTATCACATTGTGTCAAATCTTGTTAAAAGGTAATTCCAAGAGTTTACTTTACTTTAATTTGATGAGACATTGATAAAACACCTATTTGTCCTATTATACACATCAACTGGCCCGAGGGGCGGTCGGGTAGCCTAGTGGTTAAAGCGTTAAAGCGACCTGGGTTCGATTCCTGACATGGGTACAATGTGTGAAGCCCATTTCTGGTGTCCCCCACACTCACTCACTCACTCACTCACTCACTAACTCACTCATGTATAATGTCGTCTTATGAAAACAATGTGTCTGCATTGGTCCCTTTTGTTCCTGGTAATAAAGATATTTATGGCAGCACCTGCCTTGTTCCAGCAGCTTATTCCTAACGCTCTCTCTAAGTGTTATTACTCACTCACTCTCACTCACTCACTCACTCACTCACTCACTCACTCACTCACTCACTCACTCACTCATCTGCATTGGTCCCTATTGTTCCTGGTAATAAAGATATTTATGGCAGCACCTGCCTTGTTCCAGCAGCTTATTCCTAAAGCTCTCTCTAAGTGTTATTACTCACTCACTCTCACTCACTCACTCACTCACTCACTCACTCACTCATCTGCATTGGTCCCTATTGTTCCTGGTAATAAAGATATTTATGGCAGCACCTGCCTTGTTCCAGCAGCTTATTCCTAAAGCTCTCTCTAAGTGTTATTACTCACTCACTCTCACTCACTCACCCACTCACTCACTCACTCACTCACTCACTCATCTGCATTGGTCCCTATTGTTCCTGGTAATAAAGATATTTATGGCAGCACCTGCCTTGTTCCAGCAGCTTATTCCTAAAGCTCTCTCTAAGTGTTATTACTCACTCACTCTCACTCACTCACTCACTCACTCACTTACTCACTCACTCGTCTGCATTGGTCCCTTTTGTTCCTGGTAATAAAGATATTTATGGCAGCACCTGCCTTGTTCCAGCAGCTTATTCCTAACGCTCTCTCTAAGTGTTATTACGTAACACAACAGCACCAGTCAGACACCACCATGCGTATCATTCCAAGCAGCTGCATAACACCCAACTCATCTTTCTAGTCTCACTATGAAGGTAATCTTAGTAAATACAATTGCCATGGCAACAGTTTGGGCAAGTACTTGAACTAGGGGACAGAGTAAGGGGATCTAGCTAGACCTAGTTAGGGTACATTCCAGGTTGATGCTCATGAAAATATGATATCATGTGATGTGGGGACATGCTGCGGCTAATGGATACAGTGCTGATCAGAAATAAGTGACATTATCTGAGTGTTCTGCAATGTCAGTTGTGCAGTGTTTTTCCGTGGGGTTGTCGTCCAGGGAAATGATGCATTTCTGTTCATTCACATTTTTAATTTTTTTTTGTGAGTTGTTTAACGAAGCACTTAACAATATTCCATCTGTATGACGTCAGTCTGTAAATAACTGAGTCTGGACCAGACAATCCAGTGGATGACGTCATGAGCATCAACCTACGCATTTGGGATACGATGACATTCATCAACCAAGTTAGCGAGGCTGACCACCCAATTCAAATAGCTTCTTACGACAAGTATGGGTTACTGAAGACCAATTCTAGCTCACATGTTCATTTATGAAAGAATAGAAGTGATAGCATCTGCTTTGGTTTTTCTTACAACATATAACATGTCAAACATTATTTTAAAAGAACCATAGTACCTCATGCTTGTCTGAAGTGCAGGCTCAAATGGGGATTGGGTGGACATAATGTGTGACCTACCTGATTGTGTTTCATTGTCAAACTAAAATAAAGATCAGAGCCCCGTTCCACAAAGCATTCTTAGTGCTTCGACTTTGGTAAGCCAAGGCTGAAGTAGGGTAGTTACGATCACCTTAGCGCTAAGATAGCTTGGTGGAACGGGCTCTGGGTGTTGTTGTACAAATCGATCTTAGTGCTAAGGCGATCGTAACTCCCATACCTTAACACAGACTTACGACAGTCGTAGCGCTAAGGTTGTTTTGTACAACGGCACCCTAGTGATTATTTTGTGCGTCACCATGATGACATGGAAGTTGTTGATGCTGTCCGCTACTGGAAGGTCTGCCCTGACCAACATTTACCCCTGAAATTTAAAATATTTTAAAACGATTTTGGTTGAGTTTTTTTTTAGTATATAATGAAAATTAGATTAGAGAATCTTTTTGCTTCCTGAAACTAACAAATTCTAGACTTGCCACAGTAGTAGACTTTGGGAGATTTCGGCTATTTTTGTTTCAGAGACTGTATGAGAGACTAGGCCTACAGAGACTCAGTTATGTTTATCACAGCAGGGTGACACCAGATATACATCATACCCATATGGGGAGTAAAACCCAGGTTTTTGGAATGACGAACCAACACCTCAACCACTAGGCTACCCCACTGCAACCTTATGACAAAGCCTTATTACACAAATAGATGAGAGATTGAGTGGTCTAAGCTGATCAAATGACCTCTTGAACCCCCTTGCTTTACTGCACACTTACAAAAGTCCAAGCACTTTGCGTCAGTGTTAAGTCTGCATCACAGTTGCTTTGTTTGTTATTTAATGCCACCCTCTGTAATATTCCAATGAAACAATGTTGGCCTGTAAATTATCAAACCTGGACCTGGAAATCCAATGATTGATTTTATGGGCAAAGTCTCTTCCCATCAACCAAGTCACTAAGCCAGCCCACCAATCCATTTTGTCGCCTCGTACAACCAGCATAGATGGTATGCTGGAATCCCTAAAGACACCGACACAATCATGTTTATGTTCATACTGTTGCAGGGGCAGTGGGGTAGCCTAGTTGTTAAAGCGTTCGCTCATCACGCCAAAGGCCTGGGTTCAATTCCCCATTGGTACAATGTGTGAAGCCCATTTCTGATGTCCCCCGCCATGATTTTGCTTGAATATCGCTAAAAGCGGCATAAAACCACACTCACTCACTCACTCACTCATACTGTTGCAGCAACAAAGATGCTACCTGTAGTTGAATATACACTACTCACTAAAAGTTAGGGGCTACCTGATTGTTTGATATTACTATAGACCATCTCCGTAGCCTAGTGGTAAAGCATCTGCCCCAAGAGTGGAAAGTCTGGAGTTAGATCCCCGGCCACATCATACCAAAAGACCTTAAAATATGGTACTTGTTGTTGCCCTGGCTGGCACTCAGCATAAACAAGGACTTGTCGGTGTGGGGGCAGTAAACTGTGTCTTAGTGGGGTATCCATGTTAAACTGCGGCATGGTATCTCAATGGGCTAGCACTATAAAATTTGCTTCAGTCTGGACTAGTACAAGCAGACAACACAAACACACACACGTGCATGCACGTCGCTGTATAAGTGCAATAATCTTGGACACAAGGTTAACCCCATTTCACCTCACCTCACCTCACCTCACCATATTACTTTAGCTAGTCTGTCATGCCATGACGTTCTTTCATGATACAATTTTTTTTATTTTGTTTTATATATTTTATTTCACCTTTTCCCTGTTACATGAGGAGGATGGCCATCCAGGGTAATGGTCACCCTCACATTCTGAAGACAATGTTGATCCAATTTTTTTAATAGTTAATCTGTCATGGCATTTTTTATGTTTAATAGTTAATCTGTCATGTCATGACAGATACACCATAGTAATGTGAAAGAATCGGGTGATCCTTAACGTATTGTGAGTAGTATGTAGTTGAGAGGTAGTTATTTTTTCTGAGATCTGTATGCAGCTTGACATTCTTTTACAACCACTACCATTGTACAGGAAGAACTGCCAAATAGTTTGTGTGTGTAGCGTAGATATTGCGTGAGCCTACTATCATATTACGTACTGCATGCAAGGTAAGCCATTTTGTCTTGTCACTGCATATAGTCATCTTCTGTGTTTGAATTGATGAAACCTAAACTAAAAAGATCACTTGCACACTTTGTAATGGAACCAAGTCCTATTTCCACATATGAGAGGTCACGTAATGGGGATCCACGCAGTTGTAGCGGAACATCAAGTCAAGATGTATTGTTTCACAATACCACCCACCTCAAAGAAAAAAAGATGTTTTAAATTCTTCTTGCATTTAGATACCTTTGACATTAACAAAACTGGTCTGGTTTGGCAGGCTACTGCCAATTTCCATCCTGGAGTCTTGCATTGTGATCAGTCTGCCAGAGGTATCAAATCTACATTAGACTGTAATTTTTCTGATACCTGCATTAGCATGAGAAAAAATTATATTCAGAATTATTTGTATCGCTCACTGATCATAATTCTTTAACATTGGTAAATAATATGTTGCAGTTTGTACACTTTGTGCAGGCAGTGTGGCAATATATATCAGGTGGAAAACTTGCTGAATATAAATACTTTGGCGCTTCTCTGTCACATTCCATGATGTCATGTGTACCGTGTCACGATGTTCAGACTTCCCTTCTGTAGAACTTTAGGATGTTGTGATGGTGGTGAGTACTTCAGAACAAAACATTACAAAGGTCGCTTGATGTTCTCTAGATATGTCAGTTTGAATAATGCTCACAGGATCTCCGCCTTCTGGATTTTATAGGCTGTCAGTGGAGTGGTTGAAGTATTATGGTGAAAAGTATGGTTTGGGTAAACATATATACAGATTAAAACCGATCTTCTCTGATCCCTGAATTTGCCATTCAACCTAGTGAAAATATTAGTCAACTGAATGTTAGTCTACGTTCAATACATCTGAACCAAAAACACATTAGGTTTATCTTTTAATTGTCTCTTTCAAAGAGGCATTCAAACCAACTCACTCACTCACTCTAATTGTCTCTGTAGTGTTATATTAGCTGCCCACGTGTCTTGAACTGTAGTTATTCGTTTGTTTGTTTGTTGTTTAACGCTGTTCTCAGCAATATCCAAGCTACATATCTTAGTCTGACAAGATAGACACAATCTTAGTCTGACCAGACTAAGATTGTGGCCAACTTATCTTAGTCTGACCAGACAATCAAGTGATTGATGTTGTGAGCAACGATCCATGTTGTCGGGATACCGTGGCACGCAGTCAACCAAGTTGCAGAGTCCGACCACTTGATTCATTAATTCACCTCACCTCACCTCACCTCACCTCACCTCACCTCACTTAATTATGACCTTACAAATTAAAATTTGATCACACTGGAAATATGTTTTGTGGCCAGTCCATTATTCAGCAGAACGGTAACTATGTGGTGGGCATGGCCCGTGGAGCTGACCTGGGAACTGGAGTAATAGGATTCTACATGAGTTGGAGTGACTGTCAGATTACACTAACTCCTGGTATAATTATATCACATATAACGAATAGTTCAATATGTGGCCATTTCAAGCATGGCATGATCTAGCTATATAAAACATGTCCCAGTGCAACCTATTATTGAAAAATGCAACATTATATTTATGTCTACTTGCACCAAGTGCATGTAAAAAAAATAATTCAAATTTGTGTCTGACTAGCCCTTACTTGTCCACACAGCGTCGCTCTTTGAACACACTCAATACCTCTTAGCTTTATTTACTATACTACATCACTAATTCCTGTGTTACGTGTAATTTGTCATGCTTTCTTGGGCTTGACGTCATCAAATAGTCTAACATCTAGTCTCTGAAATGAATATATAGTACAGAAAAAAACAGTCGTTCGGTTATCTTAATAAAAATATAATGAAAGGGAGCCCAGTGACTCTCCTGATACTGCAGTAATCTAGACTTGCCAAACATTATAGACTTGCATGGGCTGTATTTGATATATATTTGTATCAGGGTCTGTAAGACAGACTAGTCATCAAACTGTGGGTACTTTAAGTGAAGTTCTGTGCACATGTTCCTATGTTTTACAGCAATACTATATTTATTTATGTAAAATCAAGACAGTCATTAGTGATCTCAGATTGTATGTATACAGACTAGTTTATGTGTAATAGTGAATATTATCCTACCCTATTTTTTATCCCGGGGATGAAATTCTCTAGTGTCAGGATTTGAAGTGAATTTGAACCTATACCAGTGTGGCACTAAAGTAGGATACTATACTCTAGAGTAAAACTTATAATATAGGGATAATATTTAGGTAGGATATAATCCTTGCTTACATATGCACTGATGTTTCAACTTTGATAAATTTACGAGGCCAAGGTGCAACCTGGTTGTCTGGTGCCATTAGGCTTCATGTCAACATGCACCTGGTGCAATTTAAATCAAGTTCCTAAGTCGAGCCCTGAAAAGTCACATTTCTCAATCCCCCCCAGTAGTAATTATGGAAAAGAAAACAAATTAAAAAAAGTTTCTGAGAAATATCCTCTGAGGACATGAAAAGTTATTACAACCATTGAAATAGGATGTAAGCAGATGGTTGACAAGTCATTGAAGTAAATAATCAACTCAATAAAACAACAAATTTGTTTGTTTAAGTTAACTAGCTTTCCTTGTCAGATGTTTGATGTGGGAATAGATTGATGTATTTCCAAGGAGTTTGTGATGTAGGGGAGGTGTTCTTACATGAATAGCCTGCCCTTTACGACAAGGTGTAAGCGGAGACATATCTCAGAGGACTTAGTGGGCCATTCATCACCATAGACATAGGACCATCTCTTGACTTGCTAAATAAACTTGTCTCTAAAAACAGCCTCTCCAATTGCCAAGTGTAGGGTACAGCATTCAGCCCGCATCAGTGTTGTAGTTTGTCTGTTTTCTGTTGAGAGTTAACAGAAAGCTAAGCTTTGTTTTATTTTGGGTGTTCAGAAGAGCATAGCTCAACAGAATCTGGCTTGAGAGGCAAGCCGTCAGGTGGTACGTTGTCAGACAATGACATATTGCACACTCTCAGTACACTGGTAGGCAAGTGTGGTGTGTATTCCCCTGTATACCACGCCAGTGCAATAGAGTAGCTACGGAAACAGGTTATTATAGATGCTCTATCACTGTCTTCCAACAGCAAACTCCACACACCAGCTGGTCTGGTAATAGAAAACCAGGAATTATTCCGAAAAGGTAGGCATTTGTTTGTATTTTACAAATGTTGGTGTATATTTTTGTCCGGTGCTGAAACAGCACGAGGATTGTTGGTTGCGGGTTCACAAACTGTGCTGAGAAAGCTATAAAGACTGGCAATAGTGATAAAACTATATTGAGTTTCTGGCCTGCTTTTTTTCTGTTTGTATTTATTTTACAGAGATTTGCCTGACTTTTCTTGCACTTTATTTTCTTCAAACTGTGGGTTAGGGAAGAATTTATGAATTGAAGAAGCAGCTGAAGTAAGAGTATTGGTTATCAGGAGTTCCAGTGCCTAAGACTTGGTATTTGTATTCCAGAAGCACCAGTGGTGTACAGAGGGAGTCAGCAGAACTGATTGTCTTCACAGGTAGGATGTTCTCACAATATCACATAGGAAGGATGTGTGGATATATTTTTTATATCACTGATGTTTTATTGTTTTTTTTAAAGAGATTCTTTAAAGCTTTCAATGGTAGGTTGTTCTTGCAAATATGACATAGGAGTGATATGAGGATATGTGTTATATATATATATCACTGACAGTTTTTGTTTTTCATTGAACTTTGTTTAAGCTTCATCCAGGTAGATTGTTCTGACAAATATACCATAGGAATGAATTGTGGATATATTGTATATAACATTGATTGTTATTGTTTTTTATGGAAAATTATTTTAGTTCTTAAATGATTGATATTTATTTAAACTGCCAAGGTTGGATTTCATTTGCAGTATGAAAACACTGAGCCTGTGTCTGATATTATTATTATTGTTATTGTTGTTATTATTATGATTATGAATTATTTTGAATTATAATGTCAGTTTCTGTACTTTGTCTTGAAACTCGATATTAATGGATGAGTGATATGTTATAGCCAGTTATCACAGTTATACAGTTAACCTTGTTGATAGCAGACAAAATGATGTATATAAGATGATGTAAACAGTCATATCTCGTAGATTAGATTATGTTCAGAAATAAGACATTTTTGATAAATAAATCTATTTGACATATATTTCTAAAGCTTATGAGTTATTGTGACAGGTCACAAAATAGAAAAGCTGAGATTGTTAATATGCCTTCTGTTTCCTGATACTTTGACATTTCTAAAAATATTACTGCACTTGACAAATTGAGTGCCACAAGCACTTGCATAAGTTCAAAGGCAAAGAGGTGCTTTTGAGGACGACATCAACAGGGAGAGACTCATATCTAGACTAATGTGTTTTTGTAGAATGTTGTCTTATAACAGTCTATATGGCAAATTGCCAAAGTAGTTTTTGTGTAAAAAATATACAAAGGTTTAGTAATAGTGAAATGACTTGCAGTTTACCTGACCCTACCCAAATCTGAGTATTTCTGAATATTATGACTCTTTCTGAGTTCATTGGTGACCCTCTTCTAAATAGAATATGGGCGGTCGGGTAGCCTAGTGGTTAAAGTGGTCGCTCATCATGCCGAAGACCCTGGTTCGAATCCCGACATGGGTACAATGTGTGAAGCCCTTTCAGATGTCCCCTGCCTGGAATATTGCAAAAAGTGGCGTAAAACCATACTCACTCACTAAATAGAATATAAATTATCATATCGCATAGTGTATATCATCATATTCCAAAGTATATATCATCATGGCCCATTGTGTATATCATCATATCCCATAGTGTATATCATCATGGCTCATTGTGTATATCATCATAATGCATAGTGTATAGCATGATATCCTATAGTGTATATCATCATATCGCATAATGTATATCATCATATATCAAAGGTATATATCATCATATCCCATTGTGTATGTCATCATATCCCATAGTGTATATCATCATGGCTCATTGTGTATATCATCATAATGCATAGTGTATAGCATGATATCCTATAGTGTATATCATCATATCGCATAATGTATATCATCATATCTCAAAGGTATATATCATCATATCCCATAGTGTATATCATCCTATCCCATGGTGTATATCATCATATCCCATTGTGTATGTCATCATATCCCATAGTGTTTATCATCATATCCCACAGTGTATATCATCTTATCCCATAGATTTGAGCTGTAACTTACTTAGAAGTAATGTAACATAGCTTATTATCAAACTGTTACTACAACTGAAATATGTTAAGAAAATTAAACTCTGTCTCTTGTCTTTTTGACAGTCGCCAGCTTAATTCTTTTACCAATTTCCTGTAATAATCTTGTCAGTGCCATGATAATTAAATATGTCAACTTAAATTCTGCACGATAGTTCACTTTTCATCGTAAATGACGATTGTCTGCAAGTCACTTCTATTTAGCGGTATATTTTACTGTCTGGGGTGGGAAAAGATTTTGTGTCTACCACACTGACCCTGATATTGACCTTTTTATCAGTCAGGAAAAACACTCTGTAAATTTTTATAGTTCTTTGTACTTTTATTGCCAAAATGCAAAATAAGTGAATTATTATCAAAATATTTTATTATCAAGTTATTTTTGTGGTTATTTACAGTTAAATATAACTAAAGTGGTGGGCAAAAGTAGGTATACACTTTGAATTAGATTTGACCTAAAATTACAAATGTTATCAAAATGTTACTAGGCTGAAAAAAGTTGCCAAAACACTGCAAACGTAAAAGTCCAAAACACAACTATGATACCCATATCAAATACATCACCATGAAATAAATTTTAGCCACCCTCATTACTTGGGTATATACTTTCTTTTTCCAGCAGTTTATAAAACAATATTGGCATCACTTGTGGTAGTATATCAAGATTAAAATGTTATAAGCTGTTATTTGTTTTCGGTGTATGAAAATCACAAAGGTCAATTGGATAATTGTCCTGCTTATTTCCGCTTATGGTTTAAATAGTTCAGGATGTAGGTTTAATTAACACTGAATAACTTGGTCATTTCCTAAATGGAATAATGCGTAGTGGGTTCTATGTGAGAACTTGGGATATTCACCTACTTTGGTTTTTGACATGTTTTGATAGATTATGTGAAAAAACATGAGATTGATCTCAGAATTTTATTTTTTTTCAACAATTGTGAAATTTTGGGTCATAAACCAGAAATTACATGTTAATTTTTTACATCTTTTTCATTGTTTAATTTGAAAAAAAAAAGGTTCCACAAGTTACCTTTACAGTAATGGCTGATAATTATTGACTCGAGAAGAAAGAAAGGATGGTAAGGTTTCATCTGCAATCACAGAATTTGTATTTTTTTCTTTTTTAAAATTAAATAAGTAAGCCTAGAAGAAATATAGTACAACTTATAATAATTCAGTAATGAATAGGAATTCAGTACCAGCAGGGCAGTAAACGATCTCCACTTCTCTGTAATCTGGTTATCTTGACATTGGTTAAAAAATATTATCTAACCTTCAGCTCTACATTGCCATTTGATAGAGAATGTCAGGATGTAATGTATTTCATGTATCAGTATCATATCAATATGACATGTCTGTAAATCAAATCAAATGCAGCAAATTATGCACCATCCGGAGATAGCACGCCCAGTTTAGCGGAACATCACAATAAATAGCTCAAGCTGGGCCTGATACCTAAGGGAGAACTGAAGCGAGGTTCACATCTTCGCAGCATCCAGGTCAGGTTTCTCTGGTCTAGAACACTGTTCAAACAAACTGGAAGATTGGCATTCATCTTCAGGTGAATGTACAGATGATTACAGATGACGATGAAACCTGTCCTCCTCTCACTCCTGGAAGCTGGGAGGTATTCTTGGGGGAAACCCTAGGGGCTTCTACAGCCAGGAACACAAGACATGCTTGTTAAATGGTAAAGAAAGTGGAAGTATTTGATAGGCATTGAGAAGGTGGAAAAACTAGAAACACATGGAACTTTTTTATGAATGATGACTTCTTTATTGTCTAACATTTCATGGCTATATTTCTTGCAGTGAAAAAAAATGAAACAATGATGTACCTTTTTTCCTTGCCTGATGTAGGGGCAAAAAGTAGGGTTTTTTCCACCAGATAATGTGAGCAAAAAGTCCTTTTTTTCATCAGATGAAGGGGCAAAAACAGTTTCTTTTCACCAAGTAGACTTGTCAAAAGTAGACTTGTTTTCACGAGATGAAGGAGCAAAAAGTAAACTTTTTAACCTGATGTTTCTGAAGAGTGTAATTGTTAACTGCTAGATTGATAAACATAAAAATTGGGTTAACAGACAATGTGGCTTTTAATGTCTTGATTGAAACTTGGCAGGGCTGCCAAGTCACAGAACCGTACAGACGTTTTTGTGTAATAAACCTTACAATGTTAATTTTTATTGAATACATGATGAATATCTATGAACTGAACTATGAAGAACTTTTGGATCTACAGCCACACCCTGCTGACTGAACATGCTGAAAGTTTATGTCATTATCATTATTCATTCGATAGGCCTATAAGGCCCAATGCTTCACATTGCCAGGGGTCTTGCCAATAATTGACCACCCCTGAACAATAGCAACTGGCCTGGGTTTCAATCAGGGCCTTACTCCTGACACATGGCCCATCATTCTTATAGGTATTGGGGAACGTGACCCACAGACCACATCTACAGCAATAGGAGGCTCTGGGTATAAAAGTTGTCTAAAGGATACCTGGATATAGCACAGTACCTTGTGTCAGATTAAGGGTTTCATTAAGGCACCACATGGTATAAGATATAGTATAACCTTGCAGGCACAACAATGCTGAATCAATGCTGAATCAATGCTGAATCAATGCTAAATCAATGCTAAATCAATGCTGAATCAATGTTGAATCAATGTTGAATCAATGTTGTTTCAATGTGAAATGACATTGATTTTTCGTTGAATTTGAAAGTTTAACTGACGTGGACGTTGAATCAATATCAAATAACAATGTGGGAACAATGTTGAATTTTGGTTGAATATTGGTTGAATATTGGTTACTGATAGATACAACTATATAGGATGATCTAATCGGGTCAAATAGACTCCTTGTCATGTGCCTGCTAGGAAGGTATAAAGGACCATAATGTTTTAATTACATGTGTATGGTGTAAATGACCATAAGGAAAGAGGTATATACATAAGTTATTTGTTTGTTTGTTTGTTGTTTAATGTCACACTCAGCAATATTCTTGCTATATGACGGCGGTCTGTAAATAATCGAGTCTGGACCAGACAATCCAGTGATTGACCTCATGAGCATTGATCCATGCAATTGGGATACGATGACATGCATTAACAAAGTCAGCGAGCCTGACCACCCGATCCCATTAGTCGCCTCTTACGACACGCATAGTCGCCTTTTACGTCAAGCATGGGTTGCTGGAGACCTATTCAGAGGTATGATATATATACAAATTGTATTGTATTAACTGGTCTTTACTGTGC